CAAATCCTGCTAAAAGATGTTCAGCATTTCTTCAGTTTGGTGGTGGAAAAATTGTTGAGTACACTTCAAAACTGGGCATAAGTAGAGATGCTGTAAAACATGATGATATAAGCTTTTCATCATCTTGCCCTTGGATGAGTGTGGTTCCGGTTGGTACCGATGGGCCATTGAGGCCTTTGCTCTTTGGACTTGATGATGTTGGTCGGCTGCAAGTTAGTGGGAAAATCATATGCAACAACTGCAGCAGTTTCTCATTTTACTCAAAGTTGGATGACAAAGTGATCTCACATTTGATCCTTGCAACTAAACAAGATTTACTCTTTATTGTTGACATTAGTCATATATTGCGCGGAGAATTAGAGTTGAAGTATGAAAACTTCATACATGTTGCTAGTAGAAGAAAAGAAGAAGAAAGCATTAGCTTTATAAATATTTGGGAAAGAGGTGCGAAAATTGTTGGTGTCCTGCATGGAGATGAAGCTGCGGTCATATTACAAACAACCCGGGGAAACCTAGAATGCATCTACCCTAGAAAATTGGTACTGTCTTCAATTGTCAATGCGTTGATCCAGCAACGCTTCGGAGATGCATTAGTTATGGTGAGGCGGCATAGGATTGACTTTAATGTTATTGTTGACTATTGTGGTTGGCAAGAATTTCTCCAATCAGCTTTGGAGTTTGTTAAGCAGGTTAAGAATTTGAGCCACATAACTGAGTTTGTTTGTGCCATAAAGAATGAAAATATTACAGAAACTTTATACAAAAAATTTGAATTTCTCTCTCTGCCTTGCCATAAGGAGTCTAAAGATGTGCAAGCCAAAGATTTCAGGGATTCTGAAGCTAACAAGGTATCTTCAGTCTTGCTGGCCATAAGGAAGGCCCTCGAGGATCAGGTACCAGAAAGTTCAGCCAGGGAACTTTGCATTTTGACTACCCTAGCTCGTAGTGATCCCCCAGCTCTTGAAGAAGCTTTAGAACGAATAAAAGTTATTCGTGAAACTGAATTATTAGGTTCTGATCACCCAAGGAGCATGTTTTACCCTTCTGCTGAAGAGGCATTGAAGCATCTTCTGTGGTTATCAGATCCTGAGGCCGTTTATGAAGCTGCTCTAGGCCTTTATGATTTGAACCTTGCAGCTATTGTGGCCTTAAATTCCCAAAGGGACCCAAAGGAGTTTCTTCCTTTTCTTCAAGAATTGGAACGCATGCCAGCTCTCTTGATGCGCTATAATATTGACCTTAGGCTGCATAAGTTTGAGAATGCTCTCAAACACCTTGTTTCCTTGGGTGATGCTTACTATGCAGATTGTTTGGACCTCATGCAAAAATATCCTCAACTCTTCCCCCTGGGGCTTCAACTGATTACAGATCCTGTCAAGAGGGGACAAGTCCTCGAGGCTTGGGCAGATCATCTTAGTGATGAGAAATGCTTTGAGGATGCTGCTACAACTTATTTATGTTGTACTAGTTTGGAAAAGGCTATGAAGGCATATCATGCTTGTGGTAACTGGAGAGGAGTACTGACAGTTGCTGGGCTTCTCAAATTGGGAAAAGAGGAGGTAGTACAACTGGCTCATGAGCTCTGTGAAGAACTCCAAGCCCTAGGTAAACCAGGGGAAGCTGCCAAAATTGCTTTGGAATATTGTCAGGATGTTAACAGTGGGATAAATTTGTTAATTAGTGCAAGAGACTGGGAGGAAGCTTTGAGGGTTGCTTTCATGCACATGAGAGAGGATTTAATCTCAGAAGTGAAGAATGCATCTCTGGAATGTGCAAACTATGTGATTGGTGAATACAAGGAAGGTTTGGAGAAAGTAGGAAAGTACTTGGCCCGCTACCTAGCTGTTCGACAAAGAAGATTACTGCTTGCAGCAAAGCTCCAAGCAGAGGATCGAACAATGAATGATCTTGATGATGATACTGTTTCAGAATCTAGTAGTACTTTCAGTGGAATGAGTGTGTACACAACAGGGTATGCCTTTTATACATTTATGTCACATGCTTCGCCTCCTTAGTTCATCTTTCTTTACTAGGCTCTTGGTTTTTGTGGCTTCTCGTTTAGCTTGATTGCAGTTTATATTGACATACACTCATACATACCCAGTTTACTCAGTGTGAGGGCCCTGTAGTAAGAAGCTTGCTGCAACATTAATGGCAACACATACCTCGAGATTTATAATTTGCAAATGATAAGTTGTGCTTACTTTAATAATAAAAAAAATGTAACTATATAATTGGTGATACAGTTTGTTAATTGATCAACTGATTTCTGATCTGGTTGTTCTGTAACTGAACCGAATTCTTGCAACTCCTTATTTTGTTCTCTTTCCTTTTAATAAACTTTTATTATCATTTACAAATCCTTGTTTCTTATATCAATTTGAGTTGCTTCAAGTGGGTTGTATTGTTTCCTTGAACAGGACAAGGAAGGTTCTGCTGCTCCACCGCCACAATTGCAGCTAGCAGGGCAAGAGATGCAAAGCGCCAGAGAATAGAGGGAAAATCCGTCCTGGCAGGTAATTTTGCCTTTGAGGCCTTCTGACATCGTATTCTTTATTGGTTGCTATATATCATCTCCAGTCACAATCTTTTGGTGAACTTGTACTTGATTCATTTTGTAGTCCTGGGGAGGAGTTGGCTCTGGTAGACCATTTGAAGGGCATGTCTCTAACGGATGGAGCAAAGATGAGCTTAGATCGTTGTTAGAATCTCTTGTGATTGTTGGGGAAGAAGAAACTGCGAGGAAGCTGCAATACACAGCGGAGAACTTTCAACTGTCTCAAACGGCAGTCAAACTAGCTGAAGATACAGTGTCTAGTGATATCGTGAATGAACATGCACATAATTTGGAGCGTTACATAAAAATATAAAAGTGACTGAAAAATTCAGAGGCCTTTTCTTGGCGAGCTAAATTATTCGTTAATCCCGAGAAGTTTAGAGAACTGGGGCATGTACGCTTCTGTGCTTATTATATGGATAGAAGTGTTGTGGTCGACGTTATATCATGCTTAATTTTGTGCTTCATTCAAATTCAAAATTGTTATGCATCGATTACTCACTTGGAGAAGCTTTTTTTGGCTCGTTCTGTAGCAGCATAAATATTTTTCTGTATTCTGGCATGATGAGAGCGAAGACTGTGTTATGGAGAGATGAAATGAGGGCAGTTTTGTCACAGAAGCAGTTGACTTAAACCTTTTTTTTTTTTTTTCTTAAAGAGTATCATTCTAGATTTTGTGTCAGATTTATGTGGTTTATTTTATTTTTCTAGTAACTTTGCTTAAATTGTTAGTTCCTGTTGAAATTGGCCAGGGCGCCGCTATAGCTCTCATGTTCACTGCTCACTGCTATGAACCTTGGCAGAGTATTATTTAACTATTAAAATAATAATTGAATATGTTTTAGGAGTGTTGTCTCAACTTATATTTTAAAATTAGTTATTTGCTTGTTTATAATTTTTTTGAGTTTATAAGTAAATTTTTTTTTTATTTTTTTTTTTTATGAACACTCGTTTTATAAGTTAGTTTGATCAAGTATATAATTACATTATCTTTATTTAATTTTAAAATTTTATAGTATACTCTTATTTAATGTATACCATTTTTAGTCATTTTATAATAAAATGTACTTATAAATTATATTTTGTCAACACGTCGATTACTTAGCAATAACTTATAAATACTTTAATTAAATACGTAATTATTTAAAATTTTAAATGCTTATAAGCTAATTTTGTAAGTTAAACAAACACCCCCTTAACCAAGAGTTGACCAAACTAGCTGAAATTGTTTTCAGGAAGAGGTCACCGATTAAAAAAAAAAAAAAAAAGACCTTGATCTGCAGTCAAATGCTCTACCACTTAGCTATGGACCCGATGATCTACAGTCAATTACAATATCTTTTTATTAAAATAACTTTTATCAAATAATATATAATACTTAAATTTATAATATTTTTATCAAATAATATCACGGTCATAATTTTGTCAAATAATTGCAGATGAAAATTTTAATAAACTTTCGAATAATACCACACTACGTAGATTTATCATAAATTTTATCAAATATACTATAGATAAAAATTTATAATAAATCTTATTGAATAATACAATTGCACGTAATTTGAAAATTGTACCAAAAATATATAAATTTATAATAAATTTCATCAAATAATATCATGTATGTAAATTTATAATAGGTTTTAATATTTTCTAAATAATACCACGAACAGTACTATAATAAATTTCATCAAATAATATCACAAATCACACAATATATAAATTATATCAAACAATACCACGGATCACACAATATGTAAATCTATAACAAATCATATCGAATAATAACACTAAAACATTAAATTTACAAAAAGATATAAAATTTTAAAAAATTATCTTTTTTAAAATTTAAATGCTATCTTGTATTATTTGAATAAATCTATTATAATTTTTTTTTAAAAGATGAACTTTTAAATTTTTGAAAGATATAAATTTTTTTTTAAATATATATATATTTTTTAATTTAAACGCTATCGTTAATTATTTGATGAAATCTATTATAATTTACAAAAAGAAAAGAGTATGAAAATATTTTTTAAAAACAAAAAGGGCCCAACCGGGTTCGAACCGGTGACCTCTTGATCTGCAGTCAAATGCTCTACCACTGAGCTATGGACCCCTTGCTGAAAGGAGGGTTATCACAAATCTTAATATATAAAGAATTTCTACAGAGCAAAATAAAAGATTACTGTATTCAACCTTGAGAGAGAATTGAAATATAAACCATACTGACAATCTTTGAATAGTATTATATACCCTCTAGATTAAAATTTACTCCAAATAAAATACACTTAATACTTTATTGATAATCATGAGTGTGTTTTAATTTTTATCTCTCAAGCACTTTTACTGAAAAGGATTAATTTAGTGTTAATATTTGGGTGAACTGATTGAAAGTTTAGATCAATTTGATGGTGTCATTTTACCAGGGCCATCATGCCAAAGCAAGTCTTCTCAGGTATGATGCTGTTAGCTTTTAAGCTATACAATGATGGTACATTTCCATTTCCAACTCTAAACAAGTACAAGATCACCAGTAATCGTTGCATGAGCAGATTCCATCCTCAAATTGATGAAAACGAGTTGTATCTCTAACAATGATTTTGCATCCAGTGATTTTCGTAATGAACTTTGTGGTTGTATGGCAATCTCTGCAAGCTCGGAGATTCTTTACTATCTGGATGGTTGATCCAGGTTCTGCATTTAGTAGAGCAAAAGTTATGGCTAGCCTCTCACTGTGATTGTAAAGGAACAATTCTTTGTCCTCTTCCTCCACATTTTGCAAAACACAGCTTGTATCAGGAACATATCCGATTTTCTCCATCTTCTCAAGTAATATGCTCCATAAAAGGCGCATTTTTTCAAACTGTGGGTGGCTCTGGTCGCCTGCGCAGAAAGCATGAATTTGATTTTTTATCTCCACCCAACTACAACCTGGAGTTTTTGTCAGCCCTCTTTCAATCATCTTTGATTTTGTGTTGCTTGCATCATCCCACCTTCCAGATTGAGCATACATACTTGTTAAGACGACATAATGAGTAGGATTTTCAGGTTCAAGCTGAACAAGATGATTCAATACAATTTCTCCCAACTGCACATTAGTATGCATTCTACATGCACTAAGTAAGGCTCCCCAAACTCCAGCATCTGTTTTTATTGGCATTTTGCTTATAAAATCCAAAGCTTCATCGAATAAACCAGCACGACCTAAGAGATCCACCATGCAAGCATAGTGTTCCAAATCAGGTGCAATGTGATGGGTTTTGCACATGGAATCAAATAATTGACGCCCTTCTTCTACTAATCCTGAATGTCTACAAGCAGACAAAACATTGAGAAATGACACAGAATCAACCTTGAAATGTCTCTCTTGCATTCGTGAAAAAAGAGCAATGGCATGACTCCCTTGCCCATGTACTGCATACCCTGCAAGCATTGCATTCCATGAAACAGTGTCTTTATTTCCCATCTCATTAAAACATTTCTCTGCATAGTTGAGCCTCCCACATTTTGCATACATATCAATGAGACTATTTCCAACAAGTGTATTAGATTGAAATCCCATTCGGATTATACAGGCATGAATTGCCATTCCTTCTTTTAGGGCTGCCAAATACGCTGTTGCAGGGAGGACACTCACAATTGTTACCACATTAGGCTGCCAGTTCTCTGATCTCATGTGATTAAAAGCAGAAATCGATTCTTTGGCATTTCCATTTTGCAAGTATCCNTCCAACAAGTGTATTAGATTGAAATCCCATTCGGATTATACAGGCATGAATTGCCATTCCTTCTCTTAGGGCTGCCAAATACGCTGTTGCAGGGAGGACACTCACAATTGTTACCACATTAGGCTGCCAGTTCTCTGATCTCATGTGATTAAAAGCAGAAATCGATTCTTTGGCATTTCCATTTTGCAAGTATCCGGCGATTATTATATTCCATGATACTTCACCCTTTGGAAAATCAGCTCTATAAAACAAGATCTTGGCTGAGGAAAGGTTTCCACATTTAGCATACATGTCTAGGAGAGCATTCATGGCATGACTGTCGGATCCAATTCCATACTTCATGATTTTCCCGTGGATGCTGGAGCCTAGGCCCTGGTCATTTAAGAGGACACAAGCTGAAAGCAAACCCACCATGGTTCCTGGGTCTGGATTTATATCAGATAATTCTAATTCATGGAATATCTCAATTGCATAGCAAGGGTCACCAATATGTGTATATCCATTTATCAAAGCATTCCACGTAACAACATCTTTAAATGGCATTCTGTTGAATATAATCAATGCTGGCCTCATAAATCCACACTTAGCATACATAGAAACAAGGGAAGTTCCTGTTGAAATGTGGGAATCAAAATTAGCCTTGACAGCATAGCAGTGTAAGCTCTTTCCTAATCTCAGATGAAATACTTCTCCACAAGCTGGAAGAATACTCATCAAAGTTATACTATTCGGTCTCACACTATTGTTTTGCATATCTCGGAATAGAGATAGTGCCTCTTCAGGATAGCCTGATTGGACAAAAGCAGCTATAATAGCAGACCAAGCAACTAAATCTCTTTCTTGAAGTTCCTCAAACAATTTCTTAGCCTCCTCCAGTTCTCCACACTTTGCATACATGCTCATTATGGAAGTAGCAACATCAATGTCAAACTTCTGCTTCATAACACAATCATGAATCTGCTTCCCTTTCTCTAAATCTCTCATCTCCCCAGCAGCCAAAAGAGCAGCTGCAGCAGAGGCCTTATTCATTATAAGATTATCTATTTTCATGCGATCAAACACTTCCATAACATCAACAAAGTATCCATTATGGGCATACCCTGCCATCATTGTTCCCCAAGAAACACTATCCTTAACCTGCATTTGATTAAAAATACATCTAGCAGCATTTGCATCTCCACATTTACTATACATATCAATCAAACCATTAGAAAAAATCTTATCCGAACCTCTCCTAATAACATAACCATGAATAGACCAACAAGAACAAAGATCACCCAACTTCGAAACAGCGGGAACTAAGTTCAACAAACTCACTAGATCAAGCTCCACACCACTAAACTGCATACTTCTAAAGAACCCCAATGCCTCATAAGGATCAGAACTTTGTGACAAGCCAGCAATTATTGCATTCCAAGCCACAACATCTCTCTCAGGCATTTTATCAAACACTTCTCTCGACAACCTTAAATTACCCATTTTACTATACATATCAACAAGACCAGTAGCTACAAACACATCATGTTCTAGTCCCTTATTAACAATCTCATTATGAAGAGAAACACCCTCTTGTAAATCTAAAAGACCAGTACAAGCTTTTAAAACAAAAATGAAAGTATATTTATTAGGCTCTAGTCCTTGTTGTATCATCAAACGGTACATTTTTAAAGCTTCTTTGTGTTGGTTTGCTCTTGTGTAAGCTCTTATAATAGAATTGAATAAAACAACACATGGGTTTGGTGTAGAATCGAAAACTAAACGAGCAAAATGGGATTTTTGAAAGAAAGAGTAAGAATTTATGAGATGGGTACTCATGGAAGTGTGTTGTAAGAGAGCTGAAACTATTAAATGGGCATGAATTTGAAGAAGAGACTTGAAGTCCTTGCATGATGAAAGTAACCGAACGTAATCTTGTGGTTTTTTGGAGGGTAAATCGCAAACGTTGTAAGTTGTTGAAAGAGCATCCAACTCTCTGCGTAGTAATTGTTTCCTAGTCATGGTTTTGACTTTTGAGGATGAGTTGATGAGAAAAACTTTGATATACAAAGTTGAAATTTGTGGACTTTATTGCAGACTCAACTGTAATTTCTGGTTTTATTAGACTCTAATGTTTCAACTTTCAATTGCAATATGTTAAAGTTAATATATCGAACAGCAAGTTATGGATGAGCTTCAAAGAACACCAAAGTTAAGATGTGAAATATGGATGTGTACTTTAGCATGTAATTTGTTTATAAAATATCCACAATTTTTAAGTCAAAATTTTTATAGGATGATGTGAAATTGTAAATTGCACCATCATAGTCTTGGAGCTGCACATTATAATATTACATCTCTGCATGCCCATTCATTTGATATGGTATCAGTCATTTCTTATTTTTATTTTTAACTTGTTTAGACTTTAGATCCCATTGAATATCAGCAATAAAAATATTTGACTTTGACACCCTAAAGCTCGGAAGTAATTGTTCTCGAGAGTCGAGTCCATTATGCACCGTTCCACAGGCCAAAATGGGATAAATTTCCCATTGAAAAAGGTCTTTTTTAACACACCAATCATCTGTATTTGATAATATACAGTCCTACAAAGGCTTTCCTATTTGCTAAGTAGGAGGGAACATTCCAAAATGGCTGATATCAAAGACGGTACAAGAGGTACTTATTTATTCAATAGAAAAATGATGAAATAGATTGCTATGATTTGTGATTTACTCACTTCATAACATCTGCCTATTTGAATTCTTCAACAAACGCTTCTTCACCTTCTTTCATTTTGAAAACATCACCTTTATTATGGCTCCTGTCTTATCACCCTACTTAATCATATAATTGTAAAAACACAACGTATGTCCATAAGACTACTAAACTACTTCTGGAAATGAAAATGGTACAAATTGGTGAATGACGATGCTTATTTAGTAAAGGGAAATATGCATAAATAACCAAGCATATAATTTATGTACAGTATAGCACACAATAGAACACCAAGACAGAGGCAAGCAATAAAAGCTAAATTGAGATCTGTACCCCCACAAAACATCGTATATTAGTCTGTAAATATCACACCAATGGGGATACCCACCCCATTAATCCACAGATTTAACAAATGAAGAAAAGACTTCAAAATTATAACTCCAACAACCACCCAATATTAAACCTTTTTTTAAAAGTCTCCAAAGATATAGACATTACATTAACTGAACCATGTAGTATTGGCGTTTCCCATTGCACCACCTCACGCAATTAATCTACATTCAATTAGAACGGCTTCTAATGACATCAAGACCCATCTCAGTAGGATCAGTAGCCTGCAGCTCTATCTGAATACCATCCAATTCTCTCTTGAACCTGTCCTTGGAGCTTGCATAAATCATCTTGCTTCTCACTTTTGATGTGTCAGGGGACCTTAATATGTTTAATAATTGCGAATGAGTGCGATGATGAAGCACAAATTTAGAATGAACTCAATTAAGAAAAATTAAAATGGAAGATGAACTGTATCACATAATTATTACCATGCAATGAAAACAATCTTGCTCTTCTGGCAGTTTTCTTCTGTGACAAAATCAAAGTCATAGACAGCATATCGACACTCATCAGCAGGAAGGCTGGCAGTAAAATTTTCATAACTATCAGTGGGTTCACCAAGCTTCTCCACAATAACTTGCTTCTGCTTCTCCTCAATCTTGTACACTATGAAGCGGTAAGTCCTTTTCGCCTTCAATTCTAAGAATTTCAGCTTGCAATCATCATGCACAGCCATCCCTGATGCTGCGTTTGCCTGACAATATGACAAAAAAAGACTTTATCAAACAAGAACTCAAATATTCATACCACTAACAGGTAGAAAATTACAAATTCTCCCAAACCCAATTAAAACCCCTTGCTTAATCATGGAACTAGTCCAAGAAATACAAATAACAATTAATTGAACGTTGCTGCATATCCACAGGTATCACATAAAGATAGTAATATTACAAAGTATTTGATAAAATGAACTGATTGTACTAGATAAATTTACCATGCAAAATGGAAGAAAAAATTCTCACCCACCTTACATCCAAATTTGCATACAGATAACTCATATCACTAAACAATTCACCAAGCATACCAAACAAAAATATAAAAACCTAGAATCACCATGTAATCCCAAACAGAATGAAACTTTTATTCCCATTTCCCTATCTACGCCACGAGACCATCAAATCTCATGCAAAAAATTTCTATATTATTTATCCTGAATGCCCTACAGTGAAATCATCCCTAACTATTTCAACACACATTTCTTTCCACTGCCAAATTATCCTTCAACTTCCACAATGCACCTAGTTGCTTAACACAAACTCAACCAAAAAGACCTAATCTCTTAATTCGGCAAACAACTCTAACCATCTTTACCACTAAGGCAACCAAAAACAAAGAAAACCCTAATACCAAATCACTCACGGCAGACCCTAAAATTAACCATCTGCCTAAAATTTATATCAGAATAGAGATGCTTGTTTCAAGGAACAAAAAAGACTACCGCTAAACCCAGCATCACACCAACACATGCACACACTAACAAATATTCTCCAAATAATAACTTAAAGAAAAATTCAGAAAACTTACAAGTTCATCACATTATATATATACCAAAATCAGCAAGAATTTTTTTATCAAATCACACACAAGAGTAAAGTATCAAACGATCACAAAAAATCAAGCTTCATTATCAAGATATCGAAGCAAAAAACCATCCAGATCGACGAAACGACACGTCACACAAAACCTAAACAATATTCGGACCATTATTTAACAACAGATACAAATATCAAATTTACAATAAATCAAAAATCGATTCCACAGATCAAGCACCAAAGCAAAATAATTTTTACAACAGACTTGAACAGAAAAAAAATAATCATTAAAAACAAACTGTGATAAACATCAAACAGTAGAGTGAAGTGGTGGACTTAGCAGAAGGGCTTACCATTTTTTCCAGGAAATAAAGGAAGACAAAATGAGGGAAAGTGAGAGAAAATTTAGGGCTCAATCGAGAGATGTGGTTGATAAAGATAGACTTTTTTTTTTTAATTTTAATTCCTTTTTTCCTTTTTTCTTTGCGCTTGTTTGTGCTCTGTGGTGGCTTGCTTGCGTGGTGTGAATGTACTATTGTTAATGTGACGGTAACGGTCACAGGGGATCTCAGTGAACGAAGAGGATTTTCCAATGATGTTTCGCCACGTAACTTGTATGGCGAAAAGTACCGCCACGTCATGGCGGTGGGGAAGTAATATGAATCACGCAATGACTAACAAATAATGAAATTGATACGACGCCGTAGGAGTAATTATCTTCTCCCTTTTAAAAAAAAAAAAAAAAAAAAAAAAATTAAGGTGTCATTATTCAATTATAATTTATATATCTCAACTTGTCTTAATTAATATTTACTTTTAAGATTATAAATTGATTATTAAAGAAGTCACTTTGACAGAAGAAAAGGTGAATGTTTTGATCTAAATTGATTTTAATTGACAAAAATTTCCAATTGGTCGGGTAAAAACTCCAATGGTCATCTTTATTAGCAACTAAAAAGGGATTTGAACTCAAGACCTCTTGAGTGATAACTTAAAAGTAACCACTCGACCACTCAGGAGCTGGTTAATTTAATTAATCATGTTGAGATAATTAAATCAGTCTTATATGGGTTTTGTTTTAATAATATATAATTTTTCTGGATGCACAGAAAATATAAATAAATAGCAATATACAACAGAATAAAAAACTATGAACCATCATAGTATCAATTGAACATATCATTTTGTTATAAAGAAGACAGATTATCTTCAATGGCTACTTTGCTGTCATAAGATATAAAAATTGAGCAGAAACAAAATGGTATTTGGGTTATGCGGTCAAGGTGGGTGTAAATGGTGCTAAAAGTTTTTAATTTCTTGATATATTGTGAGGATCAACCAGATCTTCCTTTGTTACTTTCTGTGTATATGATGTTGGAACCAAACAAAGCCCTCTGCTTCTCAGGTCTATCTCTTCCTCTGTTATTTCCTGTTAAACAATTATCAAATTATGCACAAAAGAAATTAGAGACTCCATAGTCAATGCAGTAAATCCTGCATGTAAAGCTTTATATGCAAAATAATACCTGTGAATGAAGAACTCTGGCACTGCTGTATGAGCTACTGAGCATCTGAAACAAATTCTGTTAATTAAACAAGAGGGCCAAAAGAATTCTTAAGAATATGAATAACTATTTTTAAAGCTGAGGAAGGTTGATTAATTTGTTTTGTAAATTTACAAACCTGAATTTGCTCTTGCAAGAGTTTGATGTAAAGAGAAGCCTCTTGGAGAACTGAAGCTGTATCAGTCTGCAAAAAGTTAAGAACTCAAATTAATGTCACACCAAAAATTTATGTATTCCTTAAGATCAAATGTACTGACCTTGCCATATGGGGAAACCAGTTTTTGAAGAGCTGTGATTTTGTCACTTAGTTTTTGGCTTCTCCTTACTGGCACCTGCAACTGCAGGAAAAGAAGAAGAGCTGTAAACCTGTAAACCTGAAGACCAACAATTTAACTGTTACGAATTATATATATATATATATATATACCTTTTGCTCAGTTGATGCGTTGATGACTTGATGATGATGCCATTGTTCTTCACAGGATGTGTTCCCTTTCTTCTTCTTATTAATCTTCTTGCACACGTTTAAAGATGTGTTGTCGCTAACAAGATCACTGATTCCTTCTTGTGGCAGTAGGCCATTTTGCAGGGACTGAAAATCCTGAGGAAAAGTACCACATTCGATCATTGAAGCCTTCATTTTATTAGTGTTTAATTTCAGAAGTCTAAATTTGGAGCAATATAACCAGTATCTACACACCACTTCAAATTGTGGAAGTGAACGCTTTCGAGTAAGCATCGGTGAGTGCTGAGAAATGTTGTCAAAGCTGGCGGAAATAGACTGAAAACCTGCAACCAAAAATGGTCATTCATAAGCCCATAACATAATGAGCAGATGAACCAAATTAGGCAAGAGTGAGAAGAAGAAACCTTGTTGATAGTCTATGAGGGGTTGACAAGAAACAGAAAAACCGCCATCTCTCAGCTGGTTGTCATCTTTGTATGATCTGGAATCCACGGAAAAGCCATTTCTGTGGATATTTGTTCTGAGACAGTGCAGAAAACGAGCTTTAGTTTAAAATCAATACTTTTTTGACGCTTTAATTTGCATCCATTAATTTTTTTTCCCATCAAGTGGAAACATTTGACTCATTAACACAGATTATACCAATTCAAGATTCCTCCCAACAGGGCATCTGGTGCTAAATTGTTAATGAAATATCAGGACAAAAAAAGAGGTCGCATTCAAATACTTTTTAAGTCTTGAGTGACTCTTGACCTTAATTGATTAATTGAATTTGAACCAAATATTGATTCCTTGAACGCTGCGACAAAATTTATATGCCAAACCTTTCTATACACTGAATCTGTAAAGTACTTTTATCTAAAGTTTTAAAGGCAGTGTCCAGAGCCGCCCAAATATGACCCCGCGTGATACATATTACCGACAAATGTAGTTTGTAAGTGCTTTTATGAAAAGCTGCTTTTCTCATTATCCCTTTTGATAAAAAAACACTTTGTTATCTGGAAGTGCTTTGAACATTAACAAGGCTATAAATAAAGCATGGCTGTCTTAGAGATTTCTGTAGTTATTTGATGTAAAATATGAAAGGAGAGCAAGAAGACATACACGATACTATCAACCTGCAACATGGAGACGTCCCAATTTGGCATCTGAACTTCGTTGTTTCCTGAAGTTTAAGTTTAACCAGCATACTGTTAAATTACATAAAAGCAATAACAATATTTTTTGGCTTTACAGAAACCATTACAATGTTCAAATAAAGAGTAAAAAGTTTACCAAAGTTGTAAGGCTGTGAAGAGACGGTTGAATAAAGGGCGTTCCTCATTTTATTCAACTATCAATTCTCCAGAAAATTTCTGCAATAACATTACAGAAACAAAGATAACTCGTGAATCTTAACTGAGATGAAAAGAGGCAGTTTTGTTAAAAGAAATGAAGAAAGAAAAGACCAATCGATCATATTGCATGACTTGCCTGCAATAATTGAAGTAAACCCTTTAGTTTTCCAGTAAATAAAGAACTGAAAAGGATTCGAGTTTGATAATTAATGAGATAGGACCTTGAAGGGTTTCTTGCAGGTTATTACAAAGAAAGATTGTGATCATAGTAGAGGTTATTTATTGCATGAAAAGAATACGAAACGTCCAGGTGAGTCATCATCAGAAGATATATAAAACCACCTTTATAAAAATGGTAGGATGGGCGGCTCTCTCTCTCTTTCTCTAACAGGTTATCTGTTTGATTTCGCTTTCATTTAGCTTTGACTTGATTTGATTAGTGAATAGTAATTAATTATATCAGAGATTAATTAATACATATCCAGCTAGTCAAAACTTAAACGTGTGGTAACCACCATCTGACTCCATTTTTGCGATGACTCAGACGGCAATCAAACTCAGTATGTTACAACTCATGATACACCAAGATGGTAAAGTTAAACAAATTAATTTAAAATTTCTGCAAATTAGTAAGTTCTTAAATCTTTCATTAGCGAAGGCACAACTCTTCATTGCTTCATAAACTGGGTTAATCATAGGTTTATATTTGGTATTTAGATCATTCTGAAGCTTATGATGGGACAACTTCTGCAGCTATAAGTGTAAATGAAATGCTATAATTGGCTACAAACAAAAGGGTTAATTGACACCTAACTGATGGGATTTTATATTCAAATTTGCATTACTTCAATTAAGAAGGTAGAGTAGTAATAAAGGTTTTGGTACGTACGTATCAACATTTATCAGCAAGAGCTGTTGAAAATTTTGATAAAACAAGAAGAAAATGTCCAGAAAAGAGATTGTAAACCAAACAGATATAGCATAGAATTTTTTTTTTTTTTTTTTTCTGTTGTATAGAAAATGATTTCGATAATTTGTATAAATCTGGTAAAGTCGGCCATGCCACAGATATGTGAATTTGATATACTCTTAAATGGTGATATATTTACTCTTAAATTTGTCTTTCCTTGCTGGGTTCTTGTGGCTTGTCCTCGTTTGTGCCATGACTCCTGTTTCTTAAACAAATATAATTGTTGACCTCTTCTCTTTGCGTTGTTTTTACCATATCCATTTTGCATTAGTTTTAGAAAGAGTTAATTATATGGCTACCTCTGAGGTGTGGTAAAAAACTTTTCTCTCTCAAATTTTGGGAAAATTAATGCTGACACCCCCCGAATAGTGTTTTTTCATTTAAATGTAACAGTGTAAGAGGTATAAAAGATATTTTAATTAAATAGTTGACGGTTTTAGTAAAAGGATTAACCATTTTTATATTTGAGAATCGTAATAGTACTAAAATGGCCAATCGTTTAGCCAAAACTTTTAACCTTTTTGTCAAAAACTATTAGTTGTTGACAAAAAAATCAACGATTTATTGAAAATATTATTTTTACCCTCTTGAACCGTTACATTTAACTAAAAAAAATATAGATTCGAGAGTGTCAATATTAGCTTTACAAAATTGGGGTTAATGTTTTTTTCAATGTTCTGAAACCCGACCTATGGTGTCACCCAACCAAGGGGTCGGGTCTCAGGTTGACCAATCCAACTAACAATCTTACCGGTGATCCAACAAGTTTGAAATCTAACAAGCATACCCCTAATAAGTCCCGATAGGTTTAAAATTCAGTAAACACACCCCTATGATTTGGCCAAATGCAAATTGACGGTCGACTGGTTGGGCAACAGTGACACACCAGAGAGAGCGGGGTTGAGACATTGGGCTTGGGCTGGGAGGGTGTGCGGCTGGCATCGTGCAACTGCGATTGCTCGGTTGTTATCACGACTGCGATCACGCGACACTACCTGTTGTTGCGCAATCATGCGATGGAGGTTCAAGTGAGGGTGGGCAATGAACAGGTTGGAGATTTTTAAACAATGGACAGGGGTAACCCAACTCGGAGAGTGCCTCGGGTGCCAGTCCGATTGGGTTTTAGAAAAATGGTTTTTTTATCATACCTCAAGTAGGACACCGTAATAAATCATTTCTAAAAATATTGATTGGTATTGTTAAAATCCCTAAAAGGGTATATTGAGTTTAAGAGTTTTTTATTAACTTCGACAGTAACACAATGGAATAAAACCTGTTTGCATATACTATATAGTACATAAGTTTGTAAAATAATGCTGGTATCATATGGTATTTTATTGAATGAAATATAATATAATATAGTTTGACTAAGCTAAGACTTAAAAAGGTAAATGAGCAAGTTTTCTCTTTGTCTGCTATCTGAATATTCTACTACATGTTAATTGTTTTATGCAGAAATCTCCGAAGATGAACACATGTAACAATACCGATTAAACCATGACTTAATTATGTGATTATCAAACTAATTTCATACAAATTAGAACTGTTGTTATCCTAAAATCACTATTACGTCGTCTTAAATTCTTATGTAATCATCTCCTAATTTAATAATTTCTATTAAAAGTCAGCGATCATTCTGTCTTATGTTTTAGTTAGCATTAATCCTAAATGTTCCATTGCGACGACACGTGGAATTCGTACAATATGGGACTTTCCTACCAAACCGCCATGCTAATTATCAAATGGACCCTCAAAGTTTCAAAATTATATCATGTATACTGCTTTGCCCTAACTTTGTTATGTTATCATTTGTAATAGATGAGTGAAATGGTAACGTTGATCTTATAAGATAGTGTTCGGGTAAAATGATAACTTTGATATTTTGAGAAAGTGATTTGCAAATGTAACAACGATGTGACGGGGTTAGGGCAAAGGAGTATCTATTATAAAGTTTTTAAATTCTAACTACTATTGAGTGGCTGAGTAGTCAATTAGGACTCTTAGGTGTATTACTTAAGAAGTTTTGAGTTAGATTTACCTCGATTGATAATAAGGATGGCCATTACAACTTTTATTAGGCCGATAGTTTCAGAGTCCTAAGAGATTAATTGAGGTGCACGCGAGTTCGTCTGGACACCCTTGATCATATAAAAAATAAATAAATAAATAAATAAGAGTTTTTAAATTTTGAGCAGTGTTCTGAAAACCAGACTGGACCGTTTGGTCGGACCGGTTCGACCAGTAACCGGTGGCGTGTCCGGTCTGGAATTATGTAAAAACCGCTATTTACGTTTAAACCGGATTGGGCAGCCGAAATAGTGCCGAATCGCGGCTAAATCCCACCGGATTCTGGCACCGATCGAGGGAGAAAACACTGCCATTAGACTTGACGGCATCTCTACGACGAAATCCAACCATTTTCAGTGGCTGTCGTCCAGCCTTCGTTGCTCGCCGTCCACCCGAACTTCACGCGACCGTTGGACTTCTTTTGTTGATTCCGACGATTTCCGGCGCCGATGGAACTCTCTAACACCACCATCAGATTCGTCAGCATGTATAAATCAAAAGCCCCATGATTCCAAACCTTGATTGGTCGTCAATCATCGTTGCCGCCACCATCAGCAGTCTCTTCGTGCGATAAGGGTGTTTTGGATAGATTTCAAACTTTAAGAGAGTATTATATGGGTGTTTTTGATAAATTTCAAACATTCGGAGACTAAAAATTTTTTACAGAATACGGTCCAACCGATCGATCCAAACCGATCAAACCAAAAACTGGACCCTTAAACGGGTCATGGTCCGGTCTGGTTTTTGGAACATTAATTTTGAGGGTTCGTTTGATAATGCAAAGGGGTATCCATGAAACGGTTTTTTTTAACTTTGAGGGTTCATGATAAAGTGCGAAAAAGAATTTGGAAACCTTAAGGATAGACTTAATACTCTCCCATTTATTTAACGATTTTTTTCAATTTAAATTTTGTATATTAAATAAAAAAAATTGATCTAATCATTAAATCATACATTTTAAATATCAAAATTAAACAGGCCCAGTCAACTTTTTCTTCATTTAATCTTGGAAATAACATAGAGATTAAATATGATCCATGATCTATTGAAATAAAATTCTAAATTGAATTCAAACAACAGCAAAACGACTTCGTTCAAATGATATTGTATAAATCAAATCAATAACTATAAAACTTGGGAATAAATAGGGAGAAAAGCAAAGACCGGCCACGCAATCATATTATTACTCCAGTTATAATAAAAAAATATAAATAATTATCGGTTATATGTTTGTAATTAGGAAACAAACCACAAGTTTTTGGATCTATTAAGGAACACAATCCTAATCAGCTAGCAACAGCTGTTGTGGATTAACGTTGGATTTTTTTAATTTAAGATTATGTTTCAGTAATGCGTGGTTGACGAATTTGATAAACATTAAAATGTCAATGGAGTTTGTCAATTAGGTCTTGTTTATATTCTGCTAAATTCAAGTTAAATTTATTGTTACTTATTAATTATTATATTCCCATGCAAAAAAATGTTTAATTAATTATTTGCAGGCCAATTTAGTGATTTACATGGTTATAGTCAACTTAATAACTTATCCATTGATTTTTTATTATGAATATTCACTTGTCTTTTTTTTGTTAACGATACTATTAATATTAAGATTTTTTTTGTTCAAATTACATAATAAAAATTAGGGGTGTTTAAAAGCGGTTAACCGAACCGGTTAACCGCTTTTTCAAACCGAACCGGTTGTTCGGTTTGGGAAAATTTTCGAACCGGTTTGGGGGAAAACTAGTTTTCCTCTTTTTTATTGGATAAAACTTTTTATTTTTTTATTTTTTCCTAAATTAAATTGTAAACATAAACAATACATATCCAAATAAAAATTAAACATTCATACATATCCATTGACACGTACTAACAATTTTTTTAGGAATTTGTTTAAATTATTATTATTTTATTAATATAAATATATAATTTTTATTTTTATTTTATTTATATATAATAAACCGGTTCAAAAAACCGTTTTGATTTTTCCCGACCGAAATTTGGTTTTTTGAATTTCTGAATCGTAACCAACTTTTTTTTGGCTCGATTATCGGTTCAGTTTGGTTTTTTGCATTTTTTTGAACACCTCTATAAAAATTTTAATGTGGTACAGCTGAGCTAGCTGTGATACTCTGTGAGTGAGCAGTGTGCAGCAATTCAATTTAGGACTGCATATTTCAATCAAGCCATAAATGTGAAGCCATAGAGGAAGATTATAAATTTATAATATGCTTAACATGCAACAATTAGAGAGACATAGGAACAAGGTTATTGTTATTATTTTTTTAAATGATTAGGGCTGTCCACACTAGTTTACGCGTACTTCAAATCCTCAACTAATCTCCATAACTCTAGAATTATCGGCCTGATAAGAGCTCTAGTGACTACCCTTATTAGCACCCGAAAGATTATTGTCTTGTTGATATATTTCCACTAACTTATAATTAATCACATCATCATATCAAACAATGGTCTAATTAGCATGATTCTTTAAGACAGTTTTTTTTATCTTTAACATACGATGAGATTTAAGAAAATATTAGAAAGAACCCTAAGGTACGAGAAATTGTCTAACTTCTCCTTAGGTTTGAAAAAAATCATGACTTACCTCCCTTTGACGGAGAATTCTAACGGTCAAAATCATTATGATCATCAAGGGAGGTAAGTGATGAGTTTATCAAACCTCAGGGGAGGTAGTAATAGTTCAAAAATCTAGATCAAACTTAAAAGCGGGCCTTATTTGACCTAGTTTTGACCGGTCAGGCCCGAATGACAATCATTCTTATTTGGAGTACAATCAAGCCCACATAAGCCCAATAACATAACAACTTACAAACCCAAGAACAAGGGCATTACAGTAATTCCGCGTGTTCCTTCACTAACCAGATATATAAACAATATGGTTTCGCGTTTTCTTCTTTCACTCTCCCAAAAACCCTAGTTTTTGTGCTTACACACTCTTTCAGAGGCGGCTCTCCCTGCTCTGATTTGCGAACGGTACGTACAGTTCTATCCTGAGGTCCACGTTTAGGAATACGAGTCTTACTTTTCCTTCGTTGCCTGATATATCGGATTCGATCTTCGCAGTTTACAAAAATCTGTTTGTTTTCATTAATTTTTCTACTCATGATTTTAAAGACGATTTAGTGTCATCTTGTATTGTTATTTTCTTAATATCTGATTGGTTGATAGTAATTTTAAAATGAGATCGTTAGCTCTTCAGTTTAGCATTCTGTTCTTAAAATTATTGTAAATGTTATGCGTTGCAAGATTATAAAGTTTGTGATGGTTGTATCGTTTGTCCAGTACCATTACTGGGATTAAGCTTTTCGGTAACCCACAACCTACTGGAACGTAAGATCAATGAAATATAAACTGTATGTTTTATTAATAACCGTTTATGCTTTGCAACTTGCCTGATAATGTTACTGGAATGTTACATGGCTTGGAGCAAACTAGATTCATAGGGAGTGTAGGGAAAATCAATAGTTTTTTTGTTTTTTTTTTTTAGTTTCCTCGTTAATTTTAATTGTTGTTTGGTGAGAACTATAATCTATATGTGGGCAATGTGGTTCTCATTTTGAGGCCGAGCAAATATTTTAGGAGCTTCTTTTTCTGTCCTTTTCCCTTTGTTTCTGCAAGATGTTTTACTTGTGGGCTAAAGTTTTGTTGTGGGCTCTGAGATCTTTTCTTTTATAATGTGCAGCAATAATGGTGAGAGTTAGTGTTCTGAATGATGCTCTCAAGAGCATGTATAATGCTGAGAAAAGGGGAAAGCGTCAGGTCATGATCAGACCATCCTCCAAAGTTATCATTAAGTTTCTTCTGGTTATGCAGAAGCATGGTATGAAACCAAGATTTACACTAGAGGATTGTCTTAAAATTTTGCTTCTTTTATGAATTCTTGAAATTTGTATAATTATTTTTATTTCCTGTTCTGTATAGGTTACATTGGAGAATTTGAGTATGTTGATGACCATAGATCTGGCAAGATTGTTGTTGAACTGAACGGAAGGCTGAACAAGTGTGGCGTTATCAGTCCTCGTTTTGATGTTGGTGTCAAAGAGATTGAAGGTTGGACTGCCAGGTTGCTTCCATCAAGACAGGTTAGTTCAAGAAGTGTTAAACTTGTCTGTTTTGATACTATGAATACAGTACTGTGCATTTGTACGGTTTCAATTTGGCACTCTATCATTATCTCCTTCCTGGAATTTCAGGGGTATGAAAACTTGTGCACAGTTTGTATATCACAATCTTCACTTTTTAGGGTGCATCTAGAATCCAATTTTAGTTGCCAAAACCTTTACTGCTCATTGCTCATCTGTGGGGGAAGAATTAGGCAACCTTCATATCTCTGCTTATGTGTATTATTGTTTATTTCTCTTAGCCTCATGGTAATGGTTTTTGTGCAGTTTGGTTACATTGTGCTGACAACTTCTGCTGGCATCATGGACCATGAAGAGGCAAGAAGGAAGAATGTTGGTGGTAAAGTGCTTGGTTTCTTTTACTAGGCTGAGTTTACATCAAGGATGGGATTGGAGTTTTGCTTTTGAGATTTTGATGTGTACTTTGGAAGAACTTGTTTACAATTGGATTAGCTCTTTCGTTTCCTTGATTTAATTATGAATTTTAAAATGAGAATAGTAGTTATTGTCTTTGTTAGTTGAAGACGAATGATGTTATGTATTCATACATTTATCTATTATTGGTTGATGTGGTTATCAATTTTCATAAAGTTTGTCAAAATTGCGAAATCTTAGTATGGAATTCAAATTTAAGTCTTTGATGGGGCGAAAGTTTGTCTTTTTTCACCTTTTGGGTGTTATTCCCGAGGTGGCGGGTCAACAGTACACCGCTAACACTTCTGTTCTTAAAAATGATGGTGGCACAGTGAATATCTGTACCAATTTCTAAAGATTCAAATGTTTCATCGTTTTGTTGTTTTCTTTTGAGTAGTGAGCATTATATTCTAAATGTTCTAAAATTTTCCTCTATTCAAACTCGGATTATTATAGAACTAGAATGTATGGAGTAAGTGGAAGATGCATTAAATTGTCGAATCATAAGCTTCCATTTGTTTGTGCTTCTGAATTTTATTTCATAGTGCCATAACAGTAATGTGAAATGATGTGATATGCATTGTGCATGTCAGAACAGGGAAGAGAAACACATCCACTGGTCGAGAAACACTATCTAAAAGCGTGGTAAAATGTTGAATGTGATGTGCTTCCAATGAGACTATGAGAGTAGTCAATAATCCTTTAGCTCTTACAATTTCAATAAAATCTAACCCTATTTAATGAATGTTACTGTTTAAATTAATATCTTATACGTCAACAGACTTGTTCTTCTAGCTCTTACCAACTGAAGCTATCATAAATTACATAAAAATTTTACGCTTGAGCTTTGAGTAATTACAAAATATCCATAAATTTTTTTGTGATTTCATGGATAAAATGATTCCTTTGCAAAACAAACATTTGTTCTTGTATTCAATCAAGAATCAAACCCAATATTTCCCTCACTTCCTAATTGATCTTATTACTCTTTGGCTGCCAATCAACTTTATTGAATTAATTGCAATCATTTCACTATTATTTTTTATCCTTCATCAACATAAACCATGAATATACATCCACCAACGACAATTTTATTTTATTTTATTTTTAAATATTTTGTGCCCCACTGAACACAGAAAATACAACAGTGAACTGTAAATTTGAAGTAGCTATAAATAAGAACAGTTAAACAGGGAGCAAGACAAAAGAGGATCTGTATATCATTTAAGACTGTCTTGATAATATGAAGCGCCTATAAGCATGAGTCGTTACATTTTGCCAAAGATCATAGTTGCCCTGATGGTGTAAAACAACCATCATGACTTAACTTTCAACATAATCTTCTTCAAACTTCTCATCATCACTGCTCTCGGTGGCACCATTGCCACCACCAGCGGATTCGAAACTCATCTGAAAGAGCAGAGAGGAGAGACCTGTACAAGAACAGGGAAGAATATATAGATCAAAAAGCTTCAAGTTTAAGTGGGCGAAAAATGGTGTCATTTAGAGGGGTTTTATAGGTATTAAAATGGTGGGGACTAGAAAAAAGGACATTCTCAGCATATACTTTGAAGCATAAAAACTTGCTTTTGTTTGCATTTTATGCTAATTTTTTAATGATTCATAAACCACATAATGTCGAATCTGCCTAAGATATTCTGCCTATAGTGGATTTTCTGTTCTCATCTTTTGTTTTCGTCACCAACTTCAGTGGAAGTACCCAGTTGCTGACAAGTAACACTTTCCTCCATCGTCAAACTATAAAGGATTGCTTATTGCTAAGGTAATATTATCATAAACAACATTATTTCTTAATGTTTAACCACAAAATTGGTAATGCATGACATATTGAAAATTTAGCAAAAACATAAACCACGATCAAATATTTTATTCTTCACATATGCATAAAAATGATAAAATGGCATAAACTCGTATCAGGGGTGTAATTGTGATGCTAGATGAGTGAATTATTAAATCATAAAATATATTAGTATTGAATTTGTGAATAGTAGCATGAGAAGCTTACTATCCTCTACCCATGAGACCAAAAGAGTTGGGGTGAGCATGGGTAAAAGGTAGAATTGGAACTAGCTCCATTAGGGTTAGGTTCTAGTTCTGAAAAATTTGAACTAGGAATTCTCGGATCCGGTTCTGGTTCCTATAGTGTTGGAACCAGGAACCAGAACTGAGATTTAGGTACTCAGGTAGGAATCAGGACTTAATTATAAATTTTGTAAATTATTGGGGGTGTATTGTAATCTTTTGGGGTTTATTTGTCATTTTAAAAAAAGATAGGGTGTAATAACTTAACTTGAGTACCCAAAACCGAAATTGGAACCTATTTTTCAGGTTCTGGTTCCAGGTTTCTATGAATTGGAACCAGCCGGTTTTGGTTCGAAATCTTAGGAACTAGCCAGTTTTGGTTCCTTCAAAAAATGCAGAGTATTCTGAACCGATCATCCCAACAAAAGAGTGTGGAACTTAATGGACTAACTTGCAAAATATTTGACGATAGTTACATCAAATTGGGTTTTCTTGTATAGATAGTAGATTGACATTGTCAATCTACTAAATGTGAGAAATGAAAAACGACATAATCTCATAGTTGTAACATTACTAAAGAAGTAGTAGCTAAATATAAAAAGGGTTTATTGGTTGTAATATAACAAACAAATGATGTGATGCCTAATTTGTGAGGCAAAAATCTCCATTGTTACATGTTGGTGGAAGTGATGGAATTGAAGAACAAAAAAAAAAAATATATGACTTTAAACTCCAAGGGGTTTGCCGGGAGATTAAGAAAGTTTATTTCTTTTATTGACTTTTTAGATTCGAATATTGAGATTATTTATCATATTTGTGACTTACTTTGTTTTATTTAGTAATTTAGTTCAAATACTCCAATAAAAAAATAATAATAATAATAATAATAATGAGATACAATGCAATGGGCCTACTTTGTTTTTAATATATGTCTCTTTGTCTGTTAGATTTTATGCTTGATGTGACAATTCATTTAATATTTGTACTTATTTAATCAAAAATATCAATTTAAAGTCAAATGAATGATAATTCTCTTAATTTATTTATTAAATTACAAAAAAATTATTTTAAATGTAATTAGACATTTTCATGATTAGTTATTTAGTTTTCATGTTGAATATTTGAAAATTTATGAAAAGATTATGGAAGTGATATCTTAATAAAATTTTTATCTAAATATTTTCAAAATATTATTCGTTTCTATACTCCATTATACAATAAGATTAAAAGTAATCCTATGTAGCCTAGTGTACATTTGCAACATAGATTGTCCAATCCAATAGCGGGGTGGAGGCATAGAAAATTGCCACGTATCAAAACGCGGAGAGACACAGACGAAGTCCGAAACTCAAAAGTCTCTGATATCATCCCATGTTACTGAAGACTCATTGAACTTTTATTATTACGCTTCAAGGTAATCTCTGTCTCGCGCTTTTCATTTCTGGCTTCTGATCTTCGTATTTATTCGTATAATTTTATTGTTGTTGTTATTATTTAGAATTGTTTTGACTATACGTTGCGCGTAGAAAGAGAGAAAGAGCTAGAGAAAATCGATGGCTGCACCACCAGTGAGGGCTCGTGCTGATTATGATTTTCTTATCAAGCTTCTTTTGATTGGTGACAGCGGTTAGTTTCCTTTTGTTTTATTTATTTCATTTTTTTATTTATCATTCTAATTTTTGTTGATTTGTTGTTCATTTGGGAATTTGGAGATATGGGAATAATGTGTGTGATCTTGCTGTGTTGATTCGTTGTTTGTAAAAGGAAACCATATGGGTTATCAATTTCAGATTCATGCAGTTGTTTTTACTTAGCATTTGCATTTCCCTTCCAAGTTGAGAAATATTGGAAATTTATTTATATTTAATGTGCTTAGGAGTTAGGGGTTAACCCTTTATGTGAAGATGATTTTTTTTTTGGTTCTAGTTGTAGAAAATCTCTGGTTGATTATACAACTTAAGGTGACATATGTGAAGAAATAGTTTTGCATGCGGGCTTCTTGCTGTGCCTGCATATCACCTTTCATTTGTGTCACATCATTTAAGATCTTTTGGTTGGTTTTATTACCTTCTCTGGCTAGAAATTCTTGTTAGCTTTTTGTTTCTTTTTCAATTTTAAAAGGCTAGGGACTTTTATAGTGTGAAAAAGTGAATAGTTAGGGAATCATGTTTTTCATTCTTGCCGATTGGGTTGGTTGACGTTTTATGTTTTAATCGTTCAAGTTTTTTTCTTCTGATTATTGAAATCATTTCAGGTGTGGGGAAGAGTTGTTTACTTCTGCGGTTTTCTGATGGTTCTTTCACAACAAGTTTTATTACTACTATTGGGTTTGTAGCCTTTGGAGCTCCGCCATTGTTATATTTTGATTTTTTTTTTTTTTTTAACATTATCTGCATGGTGTCATTTGGATATCAAGAAATGGAATCAAGAGTGACTATTGCACAGACCTGCTTTTGAGATCTACATTGAATATTTAGGATGAATGAATGATTATTGGCCATCTAGTTTCACTATTATTGTATGCTGGTTAGAAACTTGCACAATACTTTTCGGAAAAAAAATTAAGAAACTAATGCTATATAGTTTTTCATGCTCACAGCTCCCTCAAACAACCTCCCTTGGTTTTTGTGTCTAGAATGGCCCTCTCTTACAGTTGTTGATTGAGGAACTTCTAATATCAAGGGTTACATCATTTTTATTTTATTTTTGAAAATTTCTAACTTTTCAAATATCTTATGAAGAGGACCTGTACTTTTCTGTTGCTGAAACATTATAAGCGTAAGAACGCTTCTTCAAATCTTACTTTCAAGCTTTTTTCAACAGCATTGATTTTAAGATAAGGACCATTGAGCTTGATGGCAAAAGGATTAAATTGCAAATCTGGGATACTGCTGGTCAGGAGCGATTTCGAACCATCACAACAGGTTTGTCTTTTGTGAATCTTTATTTAGAAGGTAGGTAGACAGCCAGTTGATGCTGCCCTCCTATTTGCATTGGAGTTACTAGATAGGGAGGGGAAGTGCCGTTTCATTGTTTATCCATATTCAAGCTGTGAGACTGCCAACTTAACCAGCTGTTTACTAGTACTCTCATTAATTAAGTCATGTTATTTTCTCTCCAAAGAAACTTTGAAGCAGATACTGTAGAGCTTAGATGGTTTGGAATATACCGTAATGTTTATAGTTTACCTTGGTGGTTCTATGTGCTCCATGTGGTGGTTGTTATTGGAACATTTACTTGGTGACATACAAAGTAAGAGGTCTGTGGTTTTGCTTGCATAGGTGGTCTTGTTTAACAATCTTACTGTCATTTTATCCTGAAATGTATCTTGCGAATTTCAGATAGTCCTGGAGTTCACTTGTGTTCTTTATAATCTTTGCAGCTTACTACCGTGGGGCCATGGGGATTCTGCTGGTGTATGATGTTACTGATGAGTCATCTTTCAATAGTAATTCTTCTTGCCTTACTCTCAGTTTTTGAATTGTTCATAGCAATTTCTGTTTTCATAAATTGCAAAATGTTGCTGGATTCATGCACCCACCTTGTTGGATATTCTTTCATCGTATACATGGTTTTGCATCCTCCATTTCAGTGTTGACAACTATTGAAATAGGTTTTATGCAATTTTCTTATCTTCTTTAGTTGAGTGGATGGTCGAAGATCTGCCTCTGTTGTTGAAACTTTGTCCATCCTGGTAGAGTTAGAATTAAGTCTCCATCTCTTGCAATTCGTATTAATCTGGGTTTTCCTTCTGTCCAGATATAAGGAACTGGATTCGCAATATTGAACAGCATGCTTCTGACAATGTCAATAAGATACTGGTTGGGAACAAGGCTGACATGGATGAAAGCAAAAGGGTAAGTATTCTTTAATTATTCATTGATGGGTTCAAAAAATATATTCTTCGACATGGTGGTTTGGGTTGTAAGTTCACCAATTGGACATGCAACCCCTTTTCGGTTGGATGACTTGTGTAACTTACTACTTTCTGAGACCATGTCTAGTTGTCCTGCTTCTGTTGCAGACTTTGGTGCTAGATTGGGCTTCCATATTTTGTGTCCTTGTCCTGAGTTTTTGTGCATTTGCATTTGTGTGTATGTGCTGACTATTAGCTACAAAGGATCTCTTATTTTTATTCTCTTCCAAGGCTGTGCCTACCTCCTATGGTTGAGATATTTCTTCAACACAGTGGGTTGGTGTGGGTTCACTAAATGACAGGAAATCCTCTTCGAGTGTATGACTTAATTCACTAACCATCAAACTCCATGTGTAACCGTTCTGGAAGTTTGAGAAAAGGATGACTTGTGGAGGAGTTGATGACTCTGCTTCTTCTGAAGACTAAGTTGTGGGATTGGAGCTTTTTATTCTGTGTATGTATATGCTTGCTTGTATGCTATCTTGATTTTAAAGACAATGGATATTCTTTCTATTTCATGTAGGCTGTGCCTACGTCTAAGGGTCAAGCTCTTGCTGACGAGTATGGCATCAAGTTCTTCGAAACTGTAAGTGGCAATGTGCTGTTGGGTTTAAATCTTTGAAATTCTGTTCTGTTTCTTTCTCTAATGGAATAATTTATTTCTCCAGAGTGCAAAGACTAATTTGAATGTGGAGGAGGTTTTCTTTTCAATTGCGAAGGATATTAAGCAAAGGCTTGCAGAATCTGATTCGAAGGCTGAGGTTTTTACTCTTTATTATTTTCTTCATTTCTTGTCAATTTTATCTTTTCTCTACATTTGTTTATGTTTGCTGGTGGTTGCAGCCTCAGACAATTAAAATAAACCAACCTGATCCGGGGGCAAGTGGTAGTCAAGCTGCACCGAAGTCAGCTTGCTGTGGTTCATAAAGGAACCCAAATATATGACTTGAGGGGAAACATTCTGCCTGTGGCAGCCATTGCAGGGTAGAACTAATTGTGATGACACTGTGGTTGGTGCATGTATTTATCCCTCTGCTATTATTTTCTGTTACCAGCATTATTATGTTAAAGGTAGTGCTCTTCGCAATCAGTCTGTGGAATTTACAAAATTGCTGTCTTTCTTCTTCTTCTTCTTCTTTTCTGCATCTTTTCTATTTCGGAGGTAGAACTCAATTGACACTTTTATGTATTACTTTTTCTTTGTGTAGATAGATAATGAAAACCTTGGATCATTTCTCTTGCAAGAAATTGTCTGTGCTTTCTGTTGCACTGTTTAATGGAATGTCCCCTATGCCATTGTTAGTCTTTAACACAGAATTAGAGATGTACTTACATTTATTCCTTGAGGTTGAGTCTACTATCTTTCGTTATAGATCCTCCAATTCTAATAACGTTAAACTATGTAAGAGTAATAATATAGTTTTAGTAAAGTTAGATTAATGTCACCTTTTTGGGAATATTTGTCTCTGTAAAAAGATGATGTTTTAGAGTTAGATTTTAACACGAAAAACTCTGCTGGATTAAGTCTTTTTCTCCAAGAATTAATACTTTTTTTTGAATGTTACCAATTTATGGAACAATTCTCTTAGAACTTGATTGATGGTGGTAGCTGCTTATCTCATCACTTTTTGTGCTTTGCCACTTTCAGCGTTCCTTGTATTTTTCAATTAAAATTAATATAAAAAGTAATATCTCCTTTTATAAAATGACTAATTTCAACATGAGTGGTCGAAGGCCACGTATGTATTTATTCTTCTTCCTGGCATGATTTTGGACAATTTGTCAAATTTGGAGTAATTGACCTTCTTAAATAATAAAAATTCATCAAATTCGTTGATTAGCTCATAAAATTAAGATCAACACTATTAACCTCTTTCTAAAAGTGACCACCTTTACAGTGTTTTAGCAAAATAACCTTCAAAATAAGCAAAGTGAGAGGAAAGAAATTCGGGTTCAATTGGTTTTCCAATAAAATGTGGTTAGTTTCCAGTTTCCAGTTTTTTGGTTAATTTTGTACAATGTGAAAGTGCCATTATTAAGAAATTTCAAAAACGAAAGAACGAAAAAAATAATTTGACCAAAAATTTAATACGAGAAGATGTTAGAAATATAAAAAAAAAAAAAAAGAAACCATAAAAATACACAAAAGTGCGGTTTCAACTTTCAACGCGGACGGAGTGACCGTCACCGTCACGTTCCAGAACGACTAGGGTTCCTCTCTAATTCTCTTTCATCTCGAGCTTTGTAGGTACGCCTCTTATTCAAACCATTCATTTTTAAATCTGTTTTAAAGGATTTCTGGAAATGAATATCACTGCTGTCTTAGTTCTTGATTTATGCGTTGAATTTGTGGAACGTCTATTGATTTGTGTAAGACGAAATTATGATCCGTTTATCTATTTTTAATAAATAATTTTTTTTTGGTGGTCAATTTTCGTTAGTCATTTCTTTAGTTTCTGATCTTGGTTGTTTTTTTTGTTTGTTTGGTGTTCGATGAATTGCTTGTTTTTTATAGAGTTGAGGATTGAGGTTGATTGCTATGGGTGGTTTAGGAGCTGGTTCACATGGCAAGCTTGCCATTAGGAGGACTTTAGCTCAAGGTGGTTCATATGCAACGAGGACACGTGTGGTACCGGCACAGTCCCGGTATTTTCACACCACTGTGTTAAGTCAAGGCACAATCTGCACCTTGCCTCGCCCTGTTCCTTATCTAGGTTAACTGATAGCTTCTTAGATGGAACTAGTAGTGTCTATTGGGAGGAGTTGCAGAGGGCTTGGGAAGCTGACCCTAATAGTTGGGGATGATTCGGGATAATTTCTTTAGGAATTTTGTGTCAGCTGCTACATCTCCTGGGATTTCAGGTCAAACGATTCAGGAGAGTATGCGTTTGTTGTTGCTTGTGAGGGCATACCAGGTTAATGGTCACATGAAAGCAAAGTTGGATCCATTGGGATTGGAAGAAAGAGAAATCCCGGATGATTTGGACCTAGCTCTTTATGGGTTCAGTGAAGCTGATCTTGATAGGGAGTTCTTTTTAGGAGTGTGGAGAATGGCTGGTTTTTTGTCTGAGAATCGTCCTGTGCAGACCCTTAGATCCATTTTAACCCGGCTTGAGCAGGCTTACTGTGGGAGCATTGGTATAGTACATGCATATGTGCTGATCGGAGCAATGTAATTGTTTGAGAGACAAGATTGAAACCCACACCGATGCAATACAACAGGCAACGGCGAGAGGTTATTCTTGATAGGCTTATATGGAGTACACATTTGAACTCTTGGCCACTAAGTGGACTACGGCTAAGAGGTTTGGGCTTGAGGTGGGGAACATTGATTCCTGGCATGAGAGATTTTTGATAGGGCCTGATCTGGGGTTGAGAACATAGTTATTGGAATGCCCCACAGAGGAAGACTGAATGTGCTGGGTAATGTTGTACGAAACCCCTTCGCCAAATATTTAGTGAGTTTATGGGTGGTACAAAGCCTGTAGATGAGTTGGTCTCTATACAGGAACTGGTGATGTTAAGTATCACCTGGGAACTTCTTATGATCGGCCAACTAGAGGTGGTAAAGAGAATTCATTTGTCTTTGTTGCTAATCCTAGTCACTTGGAAGCTGTAGACCCTGTTGTTGTTGGAAAAACTAGAGCAAACAATATCACTCAATGATGTGGACAGGACCAAGAATATGGCGGTTTTGATTCATGGAGATGGTAGCTTTGCTGGACAGGTGTTGTCTATAGACTTTGCATCTTAGGCCTTCCAAACAACACTCTGTTACTATACACATGTAGTGAACAACCAAGTGGCCTTTACCACTGATCCAAGAGCAGGCAGATCCTCACGTATTGTACTGATGTTTGCCAAGGCTTTGAATGCCCCCATTTTCCATGTAAATGCTGATGATATGGAGGCAGTTGTTCATGTATGTGAACTTGCAGCAGATGGCGGCAGAAGTTCCATTCAGATGTTGTGGTTGATTTAGTTTTGCTATCGTCGATTTGGGCACAACGAAATTGATGAGCCATCTTTCACACAGCCCAAAATGTACAAGGTTAGTCCTGTTATAGTTAGCTCTACCTTTCTTGTTAGATTTGTGGCTAAAATGTGTTTGATTTTCTTCTGTTTTCCTTCCTTTTTTATTTATTGTTTTTTTTCACCCTGATCCATATTTTTCTTGTAGTGGCGTATGTTTCCTTGTTTTAATGAGCATCTAAAACCTGCTGCTCTTTAGCAAGTCATAAAACTAGACTTTCTGATTGGTTGAATATAACAGGTCATTCGGAATCATCCATCAACTCTAGAGATCTACAAAAAGAAACTTTTAGAATCTGGACAGGTGACCCGAGAAGACATTGATAAGATACAAGAGAAGGTCTACACAATCCTCATGAAGAATTCTTGGCCAGCAAAGATTATGTTCCTAAAAGAAGGACTGGCTCTCGGCTTATTGGTCTGGGTTCAAGTCACCTGAACAACTTTCACGTATTCGAAACACTGGTTATGGTGGTGTTTTTTTCAGTTAAAATTTTATTGTAGCTTTCTCTGGCTTCGTAGTTTAGCTTAATGAATTTGTTACGGTTTTGTACAGGTAAAACCAGAAATCTTGAAAAATGTTGGCAAAGCAATCACAACCCTTCCTGAAACTTTCAAGCCCACAGGGGAGTGAAGAAAGTTTATGAACAACGTGCACAGATGATAGAATCTGGAGAAGCATTGACTGGGCAGTTGGGGAGCCATTGCCTTTGCTACATTGCTTATAGAGGGTAACCATGTTCGGTTGAGTGGTCAGGATTGAGAGAGGTACATTTAGTCCCGGCATGCTGTGCTACATATCAAGAGACAGGGGCAGTATTGCCTCTGGACAATGTTATGATGAACCAGATGAAGAAATGTTCACTGTGAGCAACAGGTAATGCATTACTTTTCCATGTTTGTCTTTAATCTGTTCTACACTTTCTCTATGTATCTTGTAATGCTCATGTATGATTATCTTCTTCTTGTGTACAATAAGACACCAATTGTAATGGTTGTAATAATGTGGCTTCAAAAGGAAAGAAGAATGTGTTAGGATCCCACATTGAAGGGAAAAGGTGGGCATGTGGGTTATAAAGACTTGGGCACCCTCCCTTGGCAAGCCGGTTTTCCAAGGAGAGTTCTAACCCGCCCATGAAAGACCCATGCCCCACCCAAATTGTTGAGTATTGGAGTGGTTTTCTATCAATAGCTTAGAGTTTAGCAAACATGCATTAGTGTGCATGCTAGTATTATGTACCTAATGTCATCATAAAGAAGGTTCCTTACTTTTCTCAAGCACATGTCCCTGGTATGTTGACTTCTGAAAATGCATATGAGATTAATGCAGTAAGTAACCATCTTCTCCAATTGCATACACATACCCAGAATGTTTTTATTTTCCCCTTGTTCAAATTGATGGCAGGCATGGATGAGGTGTAATTTCTGCATCCTAAGAATTTCTTATTGAAAATCTATGCTATTCTAGTTACGATAAGAAAACCCATTGTTACTGATGCTGGGTAACAGTCTTTCTACTTGAGGCAGTTAAAAGTGCACCAGTATCTCCTGAGACACTTTATAATTCTTGAATTATTGCTTCTATTTTGGTTTTTACATTCAAACTATTTATTTTTCTGAACAGTTCTCTTTCGGAGTTTGGTGTTCTTGGATTTGAATTGGGTTATTCAATGGAAAACCCAAACTCTTTGGTAATGTGGGAAGCACAATTTGGTGATTTTGCTAATGGAGCACAAGTGATATTTGATCAGTTTCTAAGTAGTGGTGAGTCAAAGTGGCTGCGTCAAACAGGACTTGTTGTGTTGCTTCCTCATGGTTATGATGGTCAGGGTCCTGAACATTCAAGTGCACGATTGGAGCGTTTCCTTCAGGTATGCCCCACAAGTGCATTTGTATTGTCCTTTATGTACTAGTTAGGCTGTACATCATGTCTCTTTTATTTGGTTTACTTTGTTGGACCATGTTTTTCATGTGGACGGTTGGGAAAAGGCATGCAATGGACTTGTATCTCTTCAAAATATTTGCCTGGCACACTGTATTGTATTTCTCAGTGTGTCTTTTTTCTGCATGGTTCCTAGTTGGGTTTATTGAACCCTGTCAAGGGGAATGTGGATGATAGGATTTGACTCTGTTGCTAACTGATATAGATGTTTATAAATTCTTTGGTAGATGAGTGACGACAATCCATTCGTTATACCTGAGATGGATCCAACTCTTCGAAAACAAATTCAAGAATGCAACTGGCAGGTTGTGAATGTTACGACTCCTGCTAATTACTTCCATGTTTTGCGCCGTCAGGTGAGTACAACTTATTGAATTATGAATTACTTACCAGTTTTTAGCTATGTCTCGTCATTTTATTATTTTTGCTATTTCATCTTGCAGATACACAGGGAATTCCGTAAGCCTCTGATTGTGATGTCTCCCAAAAACCTACTCCGTCACAAGGAGTGTAAATCAAATCTTTCTGAGTTTGATGATGTCCAAGGCCACCCTGGTTTTGACAAACAAGGGACCAGATTCAAGAGGCTTATAAAGGATCAGAATGATCACTCTAATCTTGAGAAGGGTATTAGACGCCTGGTTCTTTGCTCTGGGAAGGTGTGTCATTCTCTTAGTGCCGCTTTTTATGTCTGAAATTTTATTAAATGCTGGATGATCTTGGATATCCTTGTTATTTTCCATATTATATGTTACATGGCCAAGAAAGCAAACAATTTGTTTGTGCTTGACATGATAATTAACCCCACAAGAAAAAATGGTTTATTAGATGGAAAATGGTTACAGTTGATACATAGTTCATATGCATTCTTGCTTGCAGGTTTATTATGAGCTTGATGAAGAGCGAAAGAAGAAGAATGCAAGTGACGTTGCAATATGTAGGGTGGAACAGCTTTGTCCATTTCCATATGATCTCATTCAGCGAGAACTTAAGAGATACCCAAGTATGTATTCTAACTACTCACCAGAGGTGATGGTGTGCATTATTTATAATGGAGAAGCCACATCTCTCTTTTTAGATGTTTTCATTGATTACGTGGATTACTTGCATAATTATTTATGTTTGTAGTTATCATCAGTGTGTTTTTACGTGGTGCATTCAGTTGTGTTCTCCTGCATTATTATCTGGCATGATCAATGCTTGCACGTTGTAGTCTTGAAATAATATTATTGACAGAAAATTTGTGAGACGATGAAATGTGTCTGCTCCCAGTAATATAGATTAATACTTAAAAGCTTCTAATAGAATAATGCTAGATAAGAGACGAAGCAGATCTAAACTAAGTTATTGAAATGAACTTGTGAAATCCTTTGGAATCTAGCTAGCGTTTCTTATTGTAGGACAGGATCTACTTGCTAAAAATTGAATACATTTTCGTAGGGTTGAATTTATCAGAGAGCCTGCATGTTTTTCTGTTCAGTTTATTTGATCAGTCGGATTTCTTCATTTCTCATATTCTTTACACAAATTTCTATTGACATAGCGAGACTGTTTTGTTTCGACTTTGATCCTTTTAGATGCCGAGATAGTTTGGTGCCAGGAAGAGCCAATGAACATGGGTGCATACAGCTATATTGCACCTCGTCTTGGCACTGCCATGAAATCACTGAGCAGAGGAACTGTAGAGGACATCAAATATGTCGGCCGTGCTCCTTCAGCTGCCACAGCCACTGGTTTCTATCAAGTTCATGTGAAAGAACAGACCGAGCTTGTGCAGAAGGCCATTCAACCTGAACCAATCAACCAGCCTCTCTAAAGTTCTAAACCCTTGAAACCAGTATAAGAAGATTAATGATTTGCTCCAAGAATAACTCATGGAATCTGAAAATTTTTATTTCCATTTCTTCTATTGTTTGATGTTTGTCGTTAATTCTGTTATCTTCAAAAACACCAGGGAAATCATACAAAAACTGAATTTCAATACCAATATGATATTTATGCACTACTTTTGTAGTGTTTTTGACTGTAATAATGTTGTCTTCCTTTGAGTACTGGATGGATAGACTTGTAATTAAATTTCAGTTTCTTTTTCTCTCACTCTTATCTCTTTCAAGTATTTTTAATTTTTCCCGTCAATTTTAATTGTGATAATGATGAAGAGAAACGGGGGGAGGGGGGGATGATGAAACGTAAAGAACCGGATTTGTACAAATTTATTTGTGGCTGGAGCATTTTTTATTACTTGTAATAAAAAAATAAAATATTGATAAAATTTCATATACATATATATTAGTGTATTAATATTACACATTTTAAAATATATTTAGTGATGACTTTTTGCATGTGTTCTTGCTTGTAAATAATAAGCCAATAAGGTGACACTATAGAAGATATTCTATATAATTTCATAATACCTATCTTTCCTATATCCATTATTAATAACAATATAACAAAGTTAGGATAAAGGGATACTTTTGATAAATTTCTAAAATTTTGGCAGTCCATTTGATAAAACAAAGGGATATCAGTGACACATTTTTTAAACTTTTAGGGTCTATTTGAAATAAAAGCAAAAATTAAGATACTCCAAATGTCATAACACCTATCTTTCTCATCCATCATTACCAAGAATAGGCGGGATTGCCTTACTGGAATCGACAAGACGTGCAGATTTCTTTACAAATTTGTGGGATATTTTCATTTTATACTTAACACAAATATATTCAACAAAACATGTATATTTCTTTATGATCCAGAACTCTTCATTAATTAATTTGTTATATTGTCGCCATTTTTTCCCTGCAACTATTTCTGGGTTCCTGAGATTCGTGATTGCTTAGAAGCACTTCTTAAATCAAGGAAACTGAAAACGATCACCTGATTTTGATTGCAATCATAATACAAATTCAACTCTTACACAGAAAAGTAACACCCAAAAAAAAAAAAAAAAAAAAAAAAAATTACAAATAATATATATATATAGGTATAGGTTTTTACTATAAATGTGGTTAAAAAATGCAATAAAAGGCAACCAAATGCAGATTCAACACAGACGGAGGCTAGGTTTCTCTCTTCCTCTCCAGCTTTGTGGTACGCCTCTTACTCTTAGCCATTCTGAAATTGAAAATCACTGTAGTCTCTTCCCTTGATTTATTACGCACTTGAAATTACTTGGATGTGCTAATTCGTTTTTTTTTTTTTTTTTTTTTTTTAATCTCGTATAAATTATGGTTTCACTCACTTTTATCTCATTTCCCAACAACGTAATTTTATCAGTTGATATTTACTGCTCAGATTGTTTATTTATTTTCTGTCTCTTTTATTTACGATTATTATTAAATCAATTACAATAGTAGTTTGATTTGGTGCTACCCCATAGTAACTGATATCATTTTATTATGTCAATTTCTTGTGCAACACGGTAACTATATTGATTTGTATAAGACGAGCATTATGATCTGTTTGATCTATTTTCATGAATAACATGTTTCTTTTTTCGTTTTATTATTTCTTTAGTTTCTGATCGTGTCGTTGATTTTTGTTTGTTTGGTGTTCTATAATTTGCTTGTTTTTAACAGAGTTGAGGATTGAGGTTGATTGCTATGGGGTGGTTTAGAGCTGGTTCAAGTGTGACAAAGCTTGCCATTAGGAGGACTTTAGCTCAGGGTGGTTCATATGCAACGAGGACACATGTTGTACGGATGCACGCCCTGTATTTTCACACCAGCGTGTTCAAGGCAAAGGAACAATCGACACCTATGCCTAGCACTGTACCTTTATCTAGGTTAACTGATACTTTCTTGGATGGAACTAGTAGTATCTATTTGGAGGAGTTACAGAGGGCTTGGGAAGCTGACCCTAACAGTGTGGATGAATCGTGGGATAATTTCTTTAGGAATTTTGTTGGTCAGGATGCTACATCTCCTGGAATTTCGGGTCAAACAATTCATGAGAGTATGCGTTTGCTGTTGCTTGTGAAGTCTTACCAGGTTAATGGTCATATGAAAACGAAGTTGGACCCACTGGGGTTGGAAGAAAGAGAAATCCCGGATGATTTGGACCTAGCTCTTTATGGGTTCAGTGAAGCTGATCTTGATAGGGAGTTCTTTTTAGGAGTGTGGAGAATGGCTGGTTTTTTGGCTGAGAATCGTCCTGTGCAGACACTTAGATCCATTTTAACCCGGCTTGAGCAGGCTTACTGTAGGAGCATTGGATATGAGTACATGCACATAGCAGATCATGAGAAATGTAACTGGTTGAGAGACAAGATTGAAACACCAACACCGACGCAATACAATAGACAACGGCGAGAGGTTATTCTGGATAGGCTTATATGGAGTAGCCAATTTGAGAACTTCTTGGCCACTAAGTGGACTACAGCAAAGAGGTTTGGGCTTGAAGGTGGGGAGACATTGATTCCTGGCATGAAGGAGATGTTTGATAGGGCAGCTGATCTTGGGGTTGAGAACATAGTTATTGGAATGCCTCACAGAGGAAGACTGAATGTGCTGGGTAATGTTGTACGAAAACCACTTCGCCAAATATTTAGTGAGTTTAGTGGTGGTACAAAGCCTGTAGATGAAGTTGGTCTCTATACAGGAACTGGTGATGTTAAGTATCACCTGGGAACTTCTTATGATCGGCCAACTAGAGGTGGTAAGAGAATTCATTTGTCTTTGGTTGCTAATCCTAGTCACTTGGAAGCTGTAGACCCTGTTGTTGTTGGAAAAACTAGAGCAAAACAATATTACTCCAATGATGTGGACAGGACCAAGAATATGGCTGTTTTGATTCATGGAGATGGTAGCTTTGCTGGACAAGGTGTTGTCTATGAGACTTTTCATCTTAGTGCGCTTCCAAACTACACTACTGGTGGTACTATACACATTGTAGTAAACAACCAAGTGGCCTTTACTACTGATCCAAGAGCAGGCAGATCCTCACAGTATTGTACTGATGTTGCCAAGGCTTTGAATGTGCCAATTTTCCATGTAAATGGTGATGATATGGAGGCAGTTGTTCTTGTATGTGAACTTGCAGCAGAATGGCGGCAGACATTCCATTCAGATGTTGTGGTTGATTTAGTGTGTTATCGTCGATTTGGGCATAATGAAATTGACGAGCCTTCTTTCACACAGCCCAAAATGTACAAGGTTAGTCCTGTTATCGTCATCTCTGCCTTTCTTGTCAGATTTCAGGTTCAATTGTGCTTGATTTCTTCTCTTTTCATTTCTTTTTCTATTTTTTTTTTGTTTCTTTTTTTTTTTGGGTTTTCACCTTGATCCATATTTTTCTTATAGTAGTTTCCTTGCTTCTAATGATGGTCTAAATATATGCTGCTCTTTAGACAAGTCAATAAAACTAGACTTTCTGATTGGTTGAATATAAACAGGTCATTCGGAACCATATGTCACCTCTAGAGATCTACAAAAAGAAACTCTTAGAATCTGGACAGGTGACCCAAGAAGACATTAATAAGATACAAGAGAAGGCCAACACGATCCTCAATGAAGAATTCTTGGCCAGCAAAGATTATGTTCCTAAAAGAAGCGACTGGCTCTCAGCTTATTGGGCTGGATTCAAGTCACCTGAGCGGCTTTCACGTATCCGAAACACTGGGTATGGTGTTGTTTTATCAATTAATTTTTGTTCTTTGCTGGCTCTGGCTTCGGAGATTTAACTTATTGAATTTATTATGATGTTGTGCAGGGTAAAACCAGAGATCTTGAAAACTGTTGGCAAAGCAATAACAACTCTTCCCGAAACTTTTAAGCCTCACAGGGCAGTGAAGAAAATTTATGAACAACGCGCGAAAATGATAGAAACTGGAGAAGGCATTGACTGGGCACTTGGGGAGGCACTTGCCTTTGCTACATTGCTTGTGGAAGGTAACCATGTCCGATTGAGTGGTCAGGATGTCGAGAGAGGTACATTTAGTCACCGGCATGCTGTGCTACATGATCAAGAGACGGAGGAGCAGTATTGTCCTCTGGATCATGTTTTGATGAACCAAGACGAAGAAATGTTCACTGTGAGCAACAGGTAATGCACATTACTTTTCCATGTGTGTCCTTAATCTATTCTACACTATCTCTATGATTATCGTTGTTAAATGCTCCTGTATTGTTATCTATCTCTGAGATTATCATTATTAGTGTAACTATAAGACGCCAATTGTAATGGTATTGTAATAATGTTGCTTCAAAAGGAAAAGACTAATAGCTTAGAGTTTAGCTAACATGCTAGTTTTATGCGTTTCATTGTCATCATGAAGAAGGTTCCTTACTTCTCTCAAGCATATGTCCCATGGTATGTTGACTTCTGAANGCTGTGCTACATGATCAAGAGACGGAGGAGCAGTATTGTCCTCTGGATCATGTTTTGATGAACCAAGACGAAGAAATGTTCACTGTGAGCAACAGGTAATGCACATTACTTTTTTATGCGTGTCCTTAATCTATTCTACAGTATCTCTATGATTATCGTTGTTAAATGCTCCTGTATCATTATCTATCTCTGAGATTATCATTATTAGTGTAACTATAAGACGCCAATTGTAATGGTATTGTAATAATGTTGCTTCAAAAGGAATAGACTAATAGCTTAGAGTTTAGCTAACATGCTTGTTTTATGCGTTTCATTGTCATCATGAAGAAGGTTCCTTACTTCTCTCAAGCATATGTCCCATGGTATGTTGACTTCTGAATATGCATTTGGAAACTAAGGCATTAAGTAACCATCATCTCCAATTGTTTACACCTACCTAGACTGTTTATTTTTATCCCTCAAAATAGGCAGGCATGGGACGAGGTTTACACGATGCTAATGAGTGCAATTTTTGCATCCTATGAATTTCTTAAGAAAAAATCTACACTATTCTAGTGAAGATGAGAAACCACGTTTTTACTGATGCTGAGCAGAGTATGTTTTGGTAGAAAATAGTCTCTCTGCTTGAGGCTGTTAAAAATGCACCTATATCACCTTAAACATGTGATAACTCTTGAAATTTTTGCTTCAATTTTGGTTGCTTATATTCAAACTATTTATTTTTCTGAACAGTTCTCTTTCAGAGTTTGCTGTTCTTGGGTATGAATTGGGTTATTCAATGGAAAACCCGAACTCATTGGTAATGTGGGAAGCTCAATTTGGTGACTTTGCTAATGGAGCACAAGTGATATTTGACCAGTTTCTAAGTAGTGGTGAGTCAAAGTGGTTGCGTCAGACAGGACTTGTTCTGATGCTTCCTCATGGTTATGATGGTCAGGGTCCTGAGCATTCAAGTGCAAGATTGGAGCGTTTACTCCAGGTATGCCGCACAAGCGGATTTGTATTGTCCTTTATGTACTAGTTAGGCATGCAATGGACATAGTAATATCTCTTCAAAATATTTGCCTGGCACACTGTATTTTCTCAGTGTGTCTTTTTTTCTGGGTGGTTCCTAGTTGGGTTTATTGAATCCTGTCAAGGGGAATGTGGATAATAGGATTTGACTCTGCTGCTAACTAATATAGATGTTTATAAATTCTCTGGTAGATGAGTGACGACAATCCCTTCGTTATACCTGAGATGGATCAAACTCTTAGAAAACAAATTCAAGAATGCAACTGGCAGGTTGTGAATGTTACGACTCCTGCTAATTACTTCCATGTTTTGCGCCGTCAGGTTAGTACAACTTTTTGAATTATGAATACTTCCCAGCTTTCAGGCATGCCTCTTTATTTTTATTATTTTTTCCCATTCCGTCGTGCAGATACACAGGGGATTTCGTAAGCCTCTGATTGTGATGTCTCCCAAAAACCTACTCCGTTACAAGGATTGCAAATCAAATCTTTCCGAGTTTGATGATGTCCAAGGTCACCCTGGTTTTGACAAACAAGGGACCAGATTTAAGAGGCTTATAAAGGATCAGAATGATCACTCTGATCTTGAGAAGGGTATTAGACGTCTGGTTCTTTGCTCTGGGAAGGTGTGTCATGCTATTAGTGCCCCTCTTTATCTTTCCCTGAAATTTCTAGTTAGTTAATGCTGGATGATCTTCCATATCTTTGTTAGTTTCTAGTTTATATGTTACATGGCCAAGAGAACAAACTATTTACTTGTGTTGGACATGATAATTAACGCCCAAAAAAATGGTTTATCAGATGGGAAATGATCATGGTCTATTGTGGCATATGCTATTTATACTTAGCTCTCTGCATTCGTGCTTGTAGGTTTATTATGAGCTTGATGAAGAGCGAAAGAAGAAGAATGCAAGTGACATTGCAATTTGTAGGGTGGAACAGCTTTGTCCATTTCCATATGATCTCATTCAGCGAGAACTTAAGAGATACCCAAGTATGTCTTTTCAACTAGTGAAAAGAGATGATGGTGTGCATTATATATGTTTGTATTTATCATCAATGTGTTTTGACTGGTGCATCAAATTCTGCTTTCATGCAATATTATCTGGCATGATCAATCCATTCTCATTGTCGCCCTGAAATTAATGTTATTGGCATAAAATTTGTGAGATGATGAAGTGTGTCTGTTTACAGTAACATAGGTTAATATTGAAAGGTTCTATTTAGAATTATGCTTGATAAGAGACTAAAGCGGATCTAAGCTAAGTTATTGAAATGAAGAATTATTGAAATCCTTTTGGAATTCAGCTTGTGTTTCTCATTGTAGGAGTATCGCCTGGCTAAATAATTGTATGAATTTTAGTAGGGTTTATTTTGTTGGTAAGCCTGCGTATTTTATAGCTTGGATTTCTTCTATTACATAACGAGGTTGATTTGTTTTGACTTTGATCCTTTTAGATGCCGAGATAGTTTGGTGCCAGGAAGAGCCAATGAACATGGGTGCATACAGCTATATCGCACCCCGCCTTGGCACTGCCATGAAAGAATTGAGCAGAGGATCCGTAGAGGACATCAAATATGTCGGGCGTGATCCTTCAGCTTCCATAGCCACTGGTTTCTATCAAGTTCATGGGAAGGAACAGACCGAGCTTGTGCAGAAGGCCATTCAACCTGAACCAATCAACTACCCTTTCTAAAGTTCCTCTACTAAACCCTTGAAACCAGTACAATAGAATCAATTGAAACCAGTATAATAGAATCAATGTTTTGCTCCAGGAATAACTTGTGTTGCTACCTGAAATTTTCTTCAAAAGTGCCTGGGATATAATAGAAAAACTGAGAATTTCATTACCAATTTGATATTCATGCACTATAGTGATTGTTTTCTTTCAGTTTTATACCATTTTTAATTAATATTTCAAAAAAATTTATAGTGATATTAAATGATATGAATAACACATAAAATAATTAATCATTTAAAATGAAAATTGGGATGTATATAATATTTCCTCTATACAATTTAATAAATAAATTTCCTTCCTAGAATTTTATTTTTTGGATTGATCAGAGTGTTCGGGTCAGTTTGTATGTATTTCAACTAGTCTTCTAAAGCCCTGAAGTTAACGACAAGGTAAGTCTTTAGTGGTCATCTCTATTAAGAATTAAGGTGAATCGAACTCAAAACTTCTTAAGTAATATGTTCAAGAATCTTAGTTGACTATACGGTTAACTAATGGTGGTTCCTCTTGGAAGTTTCACATATAAGATCAACAAAACGTGGAGAATATTTTTCACACTTTTGTGGGATATTTTGATTATGTACTCATCACAAATATAATCAAATCAACAAAACGTGTAGATTTCCTTACAAGTTTGTGGGATGTTTTCATTAAATACTCTTGGAATCGTCAGCTGAGGTCCGATTGCTTCTGAACTGAGTATGAGCATTTTGCATTATATAAATGTCATCTTTAACATAATTACGTGATGGAACTCTTCACCTAATAATTTGTTATATTGTCGGTAGGAATTGCTTGCTCAGTTACACATTGATTTAATCACTGCAACTTAAATTAAGAAAACTGAAAACATCAGCTCATCATACTCACAAGAAAGCCACAGAAAAATAACGTCTGGAATCCCTCTAATAAGCACGAATAATAAACAACAGAAGTCTAATTCCAAAGACGAATTTCTCTAATCAAACTGGAGAAACCTTTAGTTTTTTTCTTGAAATGAACCAGTTTCAGCTCCTCACGGAAAGGTGTTTATGTCATTTGTCTGAGCAGCTGAAGATAGTTTACGATTAATTATATAGTCTTTGGTTTGACTCAAGAAATTAAAACAAGATTATTTCTTAGAATAAGAGAACTCCAAAAGGGCTTTCGTCTTCTTCCTCTTTGGTTTGAGTTCCATATGTTTGTATATAAAATATCGGTTCCTAATATTTGGTGCTGTGTTCATGATCCATCCTATATTTATACATATAAACGGCAAAAGCAAATCACAAGATCACGAATCATGACATGAACTTAGAAATTAAGGAGTGATTTCGATTACATTTTTGTTGGCAGATGGAATAACTTAACACGTACGACATGCTTATCACCCTGAACCTGGAAGAAAAAGGTGATGATAGAGTCAAACTGGGTTTAAGATAGAGATTAGAGGCACTGATTTTATCCAAAAAAAAAAAAAAAAATTCACTTTTACAAAGTAATATTTGTGAGCTGTATATTATGTGTTCAAGAAGCTTAGTTTCACAATGCTGAGGTGTTTAAGTTATGAATATATATCCATGAAAACCACTTGCTTTATTTGAGAAGCCTGCGCAGCCATGCATATTATGACTACGTCCATGTGTTCATCAAGAGGGTTAGATCAGATTAAACTTACAGCCTTATCGATTAGGGTGGATTTCACGATATATGCTAAAAAGTGGTATCTGGGGAAACATATATTATGGGTCAGTTAATTGTGGAATTAATGCATTTAGTTCTTCCTCAAAATCCAATCAGCATATATGGAAAGGTAACACTTATCCAATAAAGAAATGTTTTTGGGGGAGAAATCCAGCAGCTAAAGCAAAAATTAATGGAAACTCAAGTGGCATGACATGGAGTCATTAGCCTTTTAATTAATTAAATGTTTTTGGTAGAAGAAAAAGCTATAGAGTGGTGGAATTTTTAACTCTATTTCTCTCCTAACCGTGGGCAAGAACACATGGAATTTTTAGCTGCATTACTACAGTTATAACATTGATAAAAGAAGAAATAATGTGTATCCTTAACCAATATCCTTAGGGCTGAATAATTCGATAGAGACTCTTGGGTGCATTACTGAAGGGATATTGAGTTCGCGTTCCTCCTTGGTTGTTAATAGGGGTGGCTAATAGAGCTCTTACCCGATCGGTAGTTTCAGGATTTTAGAAGATTAGTTGAAGTATGCATATGCTGACTCAAACACCCCCAGTTATATATATATATATATACACGCACACACACACACACACACACACACACACACATATGGCATCCATGATCCGAAATTGTGGATTATACAATAATATTAATAATGATAAGAATGTAAGAAGACCTACACACACACACACACACAGGTCTTCTTACATTCTTATCATTATTAATACTAATGTATAATCCACAATTTCGGATCATGGATACCAAGTGTGTGTGTGTGTATATATATACTTGGTATCCATGATCCGAAATTGTGGATTATACATTAATACTAATAATGATAAGAATGTAAGAAGACCAATGTATATTAAAAGCACATGTTAATATTTAAGGTCGCAAAATACAAATTTTTGATGATACATAAAATAATTGGTTTCCTTGTCTTCACTTGTTGACAAATCCCTATGATATATACTGAAGTCATGCATTTTGATCAATATAATAAACTACAATATATAGTCTCTAAACAAAAATAATCTCACAACAACAACTATATATACATAGAGAGAGAGAGAGAGAGAGAGAGAGAGAGAGAGAGAGAGAGAGAGAGAAATCCAAGGGGGTACACAGTTCGACCAAATTAATTTATTAAAGAAAATGGCAAGCAAGTGGAAGTGCATGAAAGAGTACAAGAATTTCCTTTTTCTTCTTAACCCATTAACAATATGGGGAAACTAGGAATCGATTTGGACAATACATGGGATTTTTTTTTTTGGATAAAGTTATTTATACAAAGAGAGTTTATATAAAGTGACGTGGCACATCATGTGAGTGCCACGTGATATGAAGGTCCACATAATATTAATGTGGCATTAAGTTACGTAAATCCTAATGATATATGACATGCTTTATAACAAGTCACGTCAATTTGTACAAACTTTCTTTGTACAAGAGTTTATACAAATAGTATTACCCTTATTTCTTTGGGTAAAGGGTAAGCATTCCTTGATGACGCCGATTACTGCATGAGCCCTGTCCAGCACGTAGTACATGGGAATATTCAGGTGCTTGTAAAGGATATATTGGTGGTTTCCTAATAAGAAATTGAGTTAATGCTTCAACGTAAGAGAAGTGCAAATTAAATAAAAGATAAAGCATTATATGAATTAATGAGGTTATGAAGTATGAGATGGATAGCATTTTTGTTAGTGCTTTAATTTAATATCACCAACATAATCCACATTTGAGGCTAGCTGTAAACGAATCCTCTTTTGGCCTATATATTGACTTTTGATTCTCATTGGCAAGATTTATATTAATTTGAGAAAGCAGAAGTCAATATCAGGATTAAATTAATAGTCAACTGATTAGTTTTTTTACACCATAATGTCAAGGAATTGAGTACCAATATATATTATTATGAAAGAACTCGAAGATTGAATTAGGCTGCATTATCAAGTAATTCATATGATGTGGATACAAAAAAGGTCTAATTGTTTAGACCTCTTTTTAGTTTTTACGGCAAAACTAACCAAAAAGTTTAGGGATCAAATTATCTTAATTATTTAAGTATTTTACAACTATTGTCAACTAAATACAATAATTATTTATATATTTCACCGGAACCAAATACAATAATAATTAATCTCAAGGTTGTCAATGTCACTGATAATCCAATGTTTTTTGTAATAAAACATTATCGGAATCAAATTGTCCCTTATATGCAATATGGAAATCCACCAACTCTAGCTAAGAAAATAATGTGTAATATTTAATGAAATTACATCTTTTTTTTATTTGCAACTCAAACTATTGATGAAGTCGAGTCATATTAAGTTATATATGTAGCAACTGGAAGGTTTGCTTGGTACCCATAAATTTTACACCTATTTTAGAACAAAACAGAAGAAATGAGATATGTTATGGGTATCAAATGATTTGATAATTATTTTAAGTTAATGTAAGACTATAATTTATAATTAATTATATAGTTTAGCAACATACTTTCTATGATATGCACTAAAACTGAGCTATTGTAGAAAACACATTTTATATGTTCATTAAAGGCACCGACCCATACATGCACTAATCAATTATAAAATAAAAAACGAAAAACAAACTATGTTATATTAATACTATTATTTTCCTAAAACACTTTCATCGTTCGGCTCAATAATATATATATGTTGTCATTTTCAAGCAAACCCTGCTTTTTATATTTAATAAAAATTGACTCACAATCTAATTTTATAAACTTTTTTTTCACAATCCCGACGTATTAGCTCATAATTAGGCAGACAAGACTCATAGTAATCAAACATGACTTATTTACAAGCTGTCACGTCAGGATTGTGGAAGAAAATTGGTGAGATTGAGTTATAAGTGTTACCCTTTTATATTTTATAAACAATGGTAATTAGGTGGCCGATTAATCAGCAAACTAAAATGGTGTTTGATATATATAAATATGTGTGGAAAAGATTGCTTGCTGGCTAGCTAGCTTTATGATACTTTGAGTGAAATGAATGCTGCATTAAGATATGCTGTTGGTTTCATGATTTTACGTAGTGGAGTCCCTAGACTTCAAAAAGAGAAGACGTGTTAAGTTTGTAAATGTCCATGAAAATTAAACAGCTGCCCTTATTGTCTCTATATAAACAAGTTTACTCCTACTCCATTTTGCTCATCATAAACTTGTTTGACTTCACTATTTAGCTCGAGATAGAAAGAAAAATTGTTAAATGGGGTCATCTGGTGTCATGTGTAGTAGAGCTAGGCCATATCTGGCTGTGATTTTGCTGCAATTTGGATATGCAGGGATGAACATAATTTCTAAGTTTGCCCTAAATAAGGGCATGAGCCCACATGTATTGGCAGTCTATCGCCACGCTGTTGCCACTATTGTTATTGCTCCTTTTGCCATTTTTCTTGACAGGTATTGTATCTTTCTTTTCTCTCAATATGTGAGCTTCTTTGACGCTATATTGTTTCTCTTTCTCTTGTCGTTTTTAGAAAGCAGTTGAAATATTCTTTATTTAATTGTTTGTGTTAAAGTCTTTCTCAACATGGGTTTTTGGAATATAATTAATTTAAGACCTATATAAATATTATAATTAAGCTTTAAGAACTAATCATTTTCTACCATAATGTCGAACAGGAAAGTGAGGCCAAAGATGACCTTCTCCACCTTCATCAAGATATCATTGCTCGGCCTACTGGAGTGAGTCCTGACCATTAAGCAATATTATTTTATTCACCATCCTATAATCTTCAAATATTATATATATATATTAATAATTAAATCTGTCTATGTGCAGGCCCACAATCGACCAAAATTTGTACTACACAGGCATGAAATATACCACAGCCATATTCACATCTGCCATGAGCAATATTCTCCCTGCCTTCGTATTTTTGATGGCTTGGATCTTGAGGTAAAGTCAAATCTGTCCACATTAGAGAATGACTATATATGTATACACACTCGATGGTTCATGCATGATTAATTTTGCGAATGGTTTTTGGTAGACTTGAGAGGGTTAATATTCGGAAACTGCATAGCCAGGCAAAGATAATAGGAACCGTAGTCACAGTTGGAGGAGCAATGCTTATGACTTTAGTTAAAGGACCTATGATTGATTTGCCATGGATAAAAGTAAGTGACAATCAACAATCTTCAGCCACTTCCACAATGCAACATCCAATTGAAGGTGCAATTTTGATTGCAGTGGGCTGCTTCACCTGGGCTGCTTTCATCATTCTTCAAGTAAATATTATATAATTTATATACCAAAGCAATCAATAATATATTAATAATATTAACTAAACCACATATTTTAATTATCAATTTAAGTTGTGCAAGTAAATTAATAAATGAGTTGCTTGTTTGACTTGTACAGGCAATTACACTGAAATCGTATCCTACTGAGCTCTCCCTCACGGCTTTGATTTGCTTGATGGGCACCATTGAAGGCACGGTAGTGGCCTTGGTAATGGAAAGAGGCAACCCTTCAGTCTGGTCTATACATTTTGATTGTAAACTCTTAGCTTCTCTTTACAGTGTAAGAATTTTCTGTTCTTCCATCTCTAACGGATCCATTTATTCAATTGATACTGACATACAAATATTTTAATATATAATTCAATATTGCAGGGAGTCATATGTTCAGGATTGGCTTACTATATTCAAGGTGTGATAATGAAGAAGAAGGGACCAGTTTTTGTCACTACTTTTAGTCCTCTAAGCATGGTGATAGTGGCTATCATGGGGTCATTTCTATTAGCTGAGATTATGTATTTAGGAAGGTGCTTGTCATTTTCTCTCTACAACTTCCCCCACAATAATTAATTAAATATATAAATACCAAGACTAATTTTACTAAAAAAATTTGCATAAGTTTCGCAGGATTATTGGAGCACTTGTGATTGTGTTTGGCCTTTACTCGGTTGTGTGGGGCAAGAGCAAGGATGATGAAGCCCTATCAAGTTCAGGCATCAATAAGGCTGAATTAACGATTGATCTCCATCATCAACAACAACCAATGGCTAAAATGAGTGGGATAGTGGGGAGTCTGAATGAAGATATTGAAGATTCAATTGGCTTCGATCTTGATTTGACGTCCTCCACAAAACGAGCTGATGAATCTGTTTGATGCTGAAAAACCAAGAATTAAAAAAAAAAAAAAAAAAATTACATGCATGGGACGTTTTATGATCTTGGAATTAAATAATTCCAAGAATTAGTTCCATGCAACTTTGAATGAATTGAAGATGTGTAATGTGTGTGTTCTTGATTTGTTTTTAGATTTCCATAAGTTAATGAGACGGCATTAATTCAATTACAAAGCATAATCGTGCTTCTTCTTGCTACTTCAAACTTTTTATTTTTGTAATTATTATTAATTAAGAGTGTTTATGTTTCACGTTCTTCTTCTGAAATTAATATATTATTTAAAAGTTACTGACAACAGTAAATAAAGACAACATGAAACTATTCTTGGTCATGGTAGAAATTGCGGTAATTGAGGCCCTTAGACCAAGTCAACATTAGAAGAACATTGATTCAACAAAGTTAAAATGCCCGATTTGACGTAGAATTCAACATCATGTGGACTCGTGTTTCAAACATTCAATGGTTTCTCATGGTATGCACGTTCTACCAAATTTTGAACAAACGGGAGGTATAATTTTTTACATATTTTCTTTGAAACTAAAGCCAAAACCGCAAAAAACACCCAACCTTGGGCATTCCCAAAGTGACATGGCTAAGAGGAGCCAAAACAAACTTAATGTTTCTTTTTCTTTGAAATTATGTACTAAAGAGTGTCTGATAATTAGTATGTATAAGTAAAATATACTATTCTTTTAGCATTATTGGGTTTGCTCTCTATAGAACTAGTTAGGATTTTCTTTATTTAAATAGTATTATTATTATTATTATTTTGTCACCTTGGTTAATTTGTACACAAAAAATGTATATATGGCAATGTCTTTATATCTAGTAGTACTATACATTATATTTATTAACTGAAAAAGGAAATAGAAAAGTGTAGTGTGGTTGTGAAAGTAGTAATTAATCTCAAAGTTAAAATTATGTCATTAATTATTAATAATATATAATTAGTAATAGTCACTAATAACTGCCATAGACAGATGTTGAATGACTCATTCACGAAGCTTAATTGGTAGCTCTTGAAGTTGATATTATCTGTAACACTTAATTACATTAATTTAATACAACACAAATGAACTCATGTGGAATCATGTTTTATATAAATATATTTACAATAAAGATCGACTCATAATCTAATCCTACAAACTTTCTTTCACAACTCCGATATGACAGTTTGTAATTTGATAGATGAGATCCAATGAAATCTATCATTGGATAGACGGGATCCATTGTGAATTGATCAATTACGAATTGTCACGTCGAAGTTGTAAGAGAAAGTTTATAAGTTTGGGTTTTATAACAGTGACGGTTATATATGATATTTCGTGTGGGGCTAGATTAATAGATAACTTTATATTCTATGTATATTAGAAAAGAGGAACAAACATGTTGGTTGTCAAGTCTTGTGGAATATGATTTCTGCTTTTCCAGGGCCTAATTAATGACCCTCAATCTCGAAAGTTTTGAAGAAGACGTTAAGTCTTTGTAAAAAGTCTTTTGCTTGTACTGTTGTTGCTTCGATCACCCTTTGCTTGCCATGCTATAAATGAAGACGTCTTAGGCAAAACGTTTAATATCCGTGAAAAATATATATCATATATACACTAAAAAACTCTTGAGTAGATTATAAAGAAATGAGGTTTTTCAACAAATCAAAGCCATATTTGGCTGTGATTTTTATGCAGATTACCTATGCATTTATGTCCATAATTGCAAAGCGTGCTATGACCGATGGGTTGAGCCCACTTGTTCTGGTAGCACTCAGGATGCTCGTTGCTGCAATTCTCATTTCTCCTTTCGCCATTGTATTAGAAAGGTATGTATCTCTAACTCTTTAACTTTCTTTCTGTGTGAATTTTGATCAAATTTTAGAATGTTAATCATATTATATCTTACAGAAACACCAGGCCGAAGATGACATTCCCCATTTTTGCAAAGATCGTGTTGCTTAGTTTATTCGAGTAAGAATTTTACCTACCAAGCTACATTATTTTTTACCATAATTAAGAACACTTGAGAGTATTCAATCTATATATGTACACAGGCCTGTGCTTAGCCAGAATTTGTATTATACTGGGATGAAGTACACTACTGCAACTTATACAGTTGCCATGTGCAACATTCTTCCTGCCATGGCATTTATAATGGCTTGGATTTTCGGGTAACTATTCTCATCTCTTGTGTCTTTAGCTTGTCAAAAATAAAAATAAATAAATAATTAATAATTAATTAGTACCATTATGAATAAAGGGATGAAATAAAGAAAAAGAACGAAGAGTTCACAAAAAGTTTAGGAAAAAAGAAATGGAAGAACAAAAAAATCAAAATTAATTGGACAATTGTATCATCAAAAGTTCAAAAATCCTCATATAATAATCCAAAAATTGAAATAGAAAGAAAAAGTGGAGGTTTGTGATGATTTTTCAATCTAAGTTTCAATTTTTTGTGAATTTTTTTGCAGGCTTGAGATCGTGAAAATTAGTAAGGTCCATAGCCAGGCAAAGATACTGGGAACCATAGTGGCAGTCGGGGGAGCGATGATTATGACATTTGTGAAAGGAAGTCTTCTGGAGTTGCCATGGACGAATGGAAGAACTGGTGTTCATAATAAATCAGGAAGTGATATGCAAGATACAGATCTAATAAAGGGAGCTGTAATGATCATAGCTGGTTGTTTTTTCTGGTCTTGTTTCATCATTTTGCAAGTAAGAAAATATTCCTATCTGTATTGTTTTCACATTACAGATAAGAGTACTATTTACTAATCAACATCTTTTACTAAAACCATTCAGATTTAACTATAAAAACCAATTAAATGGGTTGTTTTTACAGGCATTTATATTAAAATCCTACCCTTCAGAGCTCACTCTGACCGCTTTGGTGTGCACACTAAGTTCCATGGAAGGCGTCATACTGGCGTTTGCAGTTGAACGAGGAAACACAAAAATCTGGTCAATATTCAACCCAGATGTCAAACTTCTAGCTGTGATTTATGGGGCAAGAACAAATCCTCAACTCCTAAAGAAAATCAAAATACTATATGATAATATTGAACCTAACAGTGATGTTTAATTTTATAATATATATATATATATATATATGCAGGGAATGGTGTCCTGCACAGCTTATTTCATGATGGGATGGTTAATGAAGAAAAGGGGTCCTGTTTTTGTGAGTTCTTTTAACCCTCTCGGCATGGTTATCATCGCAGTTTTGAGCTCATTTCTTCTAGCTGAGAAACTCTTCCTAGGAAGGTATGCATCAAATATGCGAAAACAAATTTTGTGATTAATAAAATTGTAGAGAAAATGTGAAAACAAAATTGATCCAACGTTTTGTTGTTATTATGAGTAGGGTTATTGGGGCAACTGTGATTGTCATTGGACTGTACATGATCTTGTGGGGTAAAAGCAAGGAGTATCGTCGCTCAAAATCACAAAACTGTGAAGATGCCGGGGCACAAAATGGTCAACAAATGGGTATAATGAATGGTGACACAGAAACTCCAAGTCATGAGTCCGCTGTGACAGTCGATAATAGACAGAGACCTGAAGAAGATTCCATTTAGATTTAACAAAAATTATGGTCCCCAATAAATGCTAAGATCTTAAAAGTTTTCCGAGTCAAACTGGTGGCTGCTGCCAACCTAAAATTTTTGTAGGGCCACCATAGTATAAATGCAGATCAGTTTCTGTTGTTGTGAAGAACAATTTATAGTTGTTCTTCATATTTCATTTTCTTAAAACAAATAATGTTACGAAATGAACCCATTGCTCATATCTCAAGTATTTGTTTGTATGAATGTGAGTTTAGAGATTAGATAGGTTCTACTTGAAGTAAAACGGGGAAACATAAGCTTTTTTGGTATGGGCAATACTAACTTAATCGTACAAATTTTCTCTCACAATTCCGATGTTACATTACATCTTGTAAACTTTGTAAGCTTAGATTAACTTTGTAAGCTTAGATTATGAGTGTTAGTTTTTAGGCCTAACTTCTCACCCAAAAGACTTAATTGAATGGGAGGATCGTCTACTCTTATAAACCCATTAGCTTGAGCGTACTTAGTAAATATAGGATTTTCAACAGTCCTTCTTACTGTGAAGCCTATATGGTCTACTTCTTTATGAATAGAGGTTGTTTGACAGCCCACCGCTGGTCTATCACTCAGCTCAAATGAGACTAACTCTGATTCTATTTGTTGATTTTTGGGTCTAACTCCTCACCCAAAGGATCTTATTGAGTGGAAGGATTATCCACTCTTATAAACGTATTGACTGAAGTGTACTTAGTCGATATGAGATTTTCCAACCGTAAGCCATTCTTCTGGGTATAAGAGGAAAAAAATCTAGAATGCCACGGGCAGCACGTCACTTGTATCACTCATCAATGCATTTACACTACCTATAAATATTTTCTTCTAAATCTTTATCATTAAAGTAATTGGTAGTTGTCAAAAATGTTTTGAGACTCGACTTCTGTATTGACCCGGTCAAGAGCTTGAGTCTCAGGTTGACCGGTCCAACTGATCCGATCGATGGGTTGAACTAATGACATCATTATGTTGACGTCGACAAACTGATGTCATAAAAAAATTTAAACCCTAAAAATTAATAGGAGCTTAAAAACTATTTTAGAAAAGACAAAAAGTCAAAAACTAATTTAAACTTTGAATTAAGTTGTTAATGAACAAGCCAATAAATAGATTAAGGACAAATGAATTAATTAAATTAAATTGAATTGAATAAGAAAACAAAAAGAGGATTCAAACTTCTGGAACTTGAATGGAAAAAAAAAATGATATTAAACAATAACCGAAATTTGATAATTTTAATAAATATATTAAAATGGAATTCTAATAAAAATAAATATAAAACAAATAATCCAACCATCCATTACAAGCTTTCTTCAAAATTTTCCTTCACTTTCTGTCACTATTACAAGCTTTTGAGTTTCACGTTGCTTTCTCTTGGCTTCGAATTGAATTGTATTTTGAAAATTGAAGTTGATCTCTCATTGTGCATCAAGATCTCGTAGTAACACAAACGTTGTATGTTAGATCCGGCAGAGGAGAGAGCGAGGATCTGAGAGTGGTTGGGAACCGAAGAGAGAGAGAGAGAGAGAGATTGTGTTCTCTTTCTCTTAGTTTTGTTAGGGCTTGTGAATCTGAGACGAGATGGCTTTGTCAGGCATGAGAGGACTCTCTGTTTTCATAAGCGACATTCGTAATTGCCAGAACAAAGAGGCGGAGAGACTTTAATCGTTGTGGTGGATGTGTTGCCGAAGGTGGTAGTTAGGATTAGTATTGCATCAGGGTCTGATTTTAATCGTTGAATGGGGTATGATTTAGCAAGGTTTATACGATACATAATACTATATACATCATTTTTATACAAAATTTTTCATATAATATTACGTGGCAAGATATGATCCGATGAAAATTTAATTTTAACTTTACATTACCCAATCATATTTTACCACATAATGTTATATGAGAAATGTTGTATGACAAGATATGAGTGGATAAAAGTTTAATTTTAATCTTATATTAGTCAATCATATTTTATCACATAATGTTGTATGACAATGATATATATGTAGTATTACTCTTATATGATTGTTAAAGATGTAATGGTAGAGTGTAGAGAGAGGTTATAATTGCATTAACTCGGTTTTGCCACAAAATCGGTTGGACCTACGGCTCGTTACAACAAACCCAGTCCAACCGTAGGTCAAAACGGGTTAATTGCACTCACCAGTCACCAATTTTCAGCCTTGACTGGCCCGGTTAAGCCCTCGGTTGCCAGTCTAATCGGTTGAATCGATCGGGTTGGATCCGATTTTAAAACATTGGTACATAGATAATGGAATACTCTCAAGTGCTCTTAAATATGATAAACATAAATATAGCTTGGTTGCAAAATTCTTACTCGAGTGAACTAAGCAACATGATGTTAGCAAAAACAGAGAATGTCATCTTTGGCTTTGTGTTCCTGGGGAAATAACACGATTAAAATTCACACAAAGGGAAAGAGAGTAAGAGATACATTTCTTAGACAATGCCAAAAGGAGCCACGAGAATTACTGCAACGAGCATCCTAAATGCCACTCGAACAAATGGACTCATCTCTGGTAGTAACGAACATCCTAGCTAGGTTCTTCAACAATGCAAAAGCCATACTTGGATGTCATTTTCATGTAGTTTAGCTATTCATTTATGTCCATAGTGCATTTATAGACGTAAATGAATAGCTAAACTATATAAAATTCATAGTCAAGCATGGCTTTGCAATGTTGAATGATAAAACTCAACAAAAAATGGAAAGATTAACTCACAATCTTATTTCTTATGTGCCATGTACAATAGAATTTATATACAGAGACTTGAGTTCAAGAAAAGAAAGAACAAAATATTGCTACGCATAAGGAGAAAAAGAAAAGAAAATAAGATAAACGGGAGCAATATATGCACAAAGCCGTTATCATCAACAAACTCCTTAAATTACTCCATGTATCACTTTCAGTTTGTCTGCACAATAAGTTCCACAGATTACTCCTTCAATTCTGCTCCATAATATCAGTTTCTCTGTATAATAAGTTCCACAGATTGCTTTTCAATTCTGCTCCATAGTATTGAAAAACCTAGTTAAGGATCTCATATCTTTTATAATCTGAGGAGATTATTGTGTTAATATATGAGTGTAGGTGGGGGGTTAGGTGGTGGTGGTTGATGGTAGGAAAGAAAGAAAGAAAGAAAGAAAGAAAGAAAGAAAGGTGAAAAAATGAAGGAGTGGGGGAGGGAGGGAGAAAATAGAAAAAATCAAGGGGCCTGAGAAGTATTAGGATTTTTGGGAACTTCTGAGCGGAACGTGATTAAGTGACGTCCTTAATTACTTACTAGTTACTACTCATCTCTTAACTTTCCCAAATTGGTTCAGTTGAAGATATCAAAATACCCCATTGCTAGGATTCCAACTTCTACATTCAAGGGTCCAAAGTGATATAATCTTACAAATTTCAAAACTACAGTACTATATTTCAAGAGTGATATTTATCTACCATTTATGAGCATGAGCATTAGGTTGAGGCTAGGAATTACTAACCTTTCGTAATTCCAATATTTCTAATTAACCCCAGCGTATTATACATTATTCATCGAAAGAACATGTTAGATGAGCATCGCCAGTTCACTCCGACCTGTATCAAAGAAAAATGCATTTTGTATTCCGCAACTAACATAGAGAAGGCACCTCTGGTGCTTCAAACTCACACTTTCATAAAAAGTTCCCTTTTAACAGATGATACAATTGTCCTGAACCAAAAACATAATTAAAAAGTCTTACTTGATTAAAAATAGATAGCCTGTGGCTACCCATCTGCTGAAATTATTAAATAATAAAAACCCAGTTTGTAACTACTTTGCTGAAGTTCACGGTTATTGGCTTATTGCTGCTACTATGAACAAATTACACAGCTTAACCCAACTCAATGACCCTCTGATACCAGAGTCTTCACCTTTAAGAGGAGGTGATGATATCATCCTTCCCATAAATACGCTGAAGTTCACGGGTGGCAGCTTGATATGAAGCTGAGAAGAAAAGCGAATTTGATTCAGAGAATAAATTTTTATTTTATTTAAAAGTAATGCCAGTCACTTTAATTCATCTACAATTGAATTACTTGAACCCCAAGAATGGTATCTGCTTTACCTTTCCAGATGCGGAAATTTTTCTGATTAACTTGTGATCCAGTCACAGTTTGAATTGCTTCAAACAGCATCTCCTGAGGAGAACTCTTCAGCTCTTGCACAACTGCATATATGGTCTTTCCATTCTCGAAGTATATGTGATTGTTGGGGTGTTTGGTCTTGCAATTAGCATGACGCTCAAACTCATAAGCATTCAAAGCCTGCGTAATACAATTTTAATGAACTGTTGAAGTAATGAAACTTAAATTGAATATGTATTGGTTAACTTAAATGAAGCTGAAATGTACAGAGTTGCTTACCTTGGTGAAGTTGCAGTCTTTGCAGCCACATAGATACCCAGTTCCTTTAATGGTTCCTTTAAGATTTTTCTACCCAGACAGTAAGTCAAACAATGTCAAAAAGAGTTACAGGGATATTCACATTCTTTAAATACGAAACAAAAATTTAGCATAGGAAATAAAATGCACCTCTCTTGACCAGGAGACGTACTTGACAGGAACACCATCAAGCATACCAGTTGATAGCAAACTTTTGACATTTGAGGGGAAGCTGTTTGCAGGAACCTTCCTAGCAGTCTTCGGCTCTTTGGTTTTAGGTACCATATCAGTTTTAGTATTTGAATTGGAAGAGCTAATGCCAACTGAATCCACATTTGGCTCAACCAAATCCTTCTGGCCTGGTTCTTCTGAAGCTTGAGCTGAGCTCCGAGTACCCATCAACGAATCATAGCTGCTAATGATATTCCCAGAGGGATTTGTCTCGGTTTCATCTTGAAAAACTCCAAAACATAATGTATTTGTCTCACCCTTATCGTAGTTGTGGCCAATAGAGAGAACTCCAGAATCCCCTTTGTTTTGAGAAGAATCCACAGATGTGATGTTGGAATCTGGCTTGTCATATGTAGTAGCGATTGCCACGATATTATCAGTTCCCTTACTGTAGGAAGAATTCATTGAAATGAAATTCTCATTTGCGTTATCATAGGTGTGGCCCATTGAAATAAAATTCTCATGCTCTTTGTTATAGGAGGAACCCATTGATATGACATGGCCAACACCCTTTTCAGAAGACTGGCCAATTGATATAAAATTGCCATCCCCTTTGTCAAAGGACTGACCCATTGATAGTATGTTCTCATTTCTCTTGCTATAATTGTAACCCATCGATATGAAATTCTCATCTCCCTTGTTTAAGCTGTGGCCCATTGAAGTGAAACTGGTGTTGGCCTTACTAAAGGTGTGGCCAATCGATATAGTATTCTCATCTGAATTATTGTTATTTGGACCCAATGATATAGTGCTGCTATCACTCTTATGATAGGTAGTACCCATTGAAATTGTGCCATCATCTCCCCTACTATATGAGTGCCCCATGGGTGCTGATATTCCATTGCCAGAGTCCTTAACTTGATTGACTTTGACCTTTCTAATTCCACCAACATTGAAACCTGAAGGATCTTCAACAAAATGAGAAGTAGACAAACCCATTGACGAATCATTATAGTGATCCTGGAAATCCTTTCTTCCTATATTTGAACTTCCACCATCAACAGGAATGTTCCTATCAACCAGATTGACAGTCCGTACAGGCTCAGATCCAAATAGGCGGTCAGGGAATTGCCCTGAGACTGTCTGAAAACCAGAAGTGTTATGCCATGGAGAAACATTCCAATGTGGAATTCCCGAAATTGTTCTGCTGTTAACAGCTTCTACTGCTTGCTTCTTGTTACTGAACATTTCTGGTGTGGTAGCATCCATGAACCACTGATGACCACGCTTGGGTTCAATTCTTGAGGAATTATCATAACCCATCTCTGCATCAGTTAGACACCCAGCATCTCTTGGCATCCAAAAGCTTTTGTGCTGGAAAGACTGCCACAAAAAAAAAATGGTAGGAACACCATTAACTGGAAGTTATAACTTTAAGACAACAACAGTAGCTTAAAAACAAATGAGAAGCTGGTCATACTGCAAAATTATGATTAAAAGAATAATATAAACTAAGAAGGAAAGGAGGAAACAGAAAGGAAAAAAGAAGAAATATTGCACATTAAGAGAAGAAGAAACACACCATATAAATTTGAGAAATACCAATGAAACTTATTCTATTTAACATAAGGTATTAATCTGTTCAATATATCTTTCTTTTTTTATTTTTCCCCTCTTGCACATTCCTTTTATACATTCTACATTTGATACAACCCTCGGTAAACTCTATGAGCTTACAAACATATATATTACAACAATATGAAAGTAAACTGTAAATATATCTTACTTAAGTTAAAAATTCACATAAAGAATATCTCTTCATAAATGGAAAGATGATAATTCACCGGATTTTTACAACTATTCATCTCCAAAATCTCGCCCGTCTAGACATTTGGCAGCATTATCATACCCATAGTACCAGATAACTCACTACATTATTCCTCCCAACATGTTATACAAAAATGGAATTATACTGACAAATAACAATTACCTAATACAAATGCAATGAAATGTAATAATCATCCACCAATCTAGTAGCTTATAGTCACGTGTTAAAACTCGCTCAAAACTATTCATCTCCAAAATCTCGAGTGTCTAGACATTTGGCAGCCCATTGTCAGTCAGACCCACATTACCTTATCACTCACTATATTATTTCTCCCAACTTGTTATACCAAAAAGGAACTACACTGACAACAATTACCAAATACAAATGCAATGAAACTTAATAATCATCCACCAATCTAGCAGCTTATACCCACGTGCTAAACCTCGTGTCTGCAATTCTGTAGTAATTAACTTACAAAATCATTAAACAACTCCGATCACCATAATTAAATGTTTTAGATTAAACATCACCGTCATTAACTTATTTAAACATTCATATCCACACACAATCTCAGATTAAATCTGAAAACTTCAACCAGTACAGATAACAATTATGAATTACCTAATACAAATGCGATGAAACTTAATAATCATCCACCACTCTAGCAGGTTATAGACACGTGTTAAACCTCGTGCCAGCAATTCTGTAGTAATTAACTTACAATATAATTGAAACAACTCCGATCACCATAATTACATGTTTTAGATTAAACATAACCCTCATTAACTTAGCTAAACATTCATATCCACAACACAATCTCAGATCAAATCCAAAAACTTCGACCAGTCAGAACACTGTTATTAAAACTACTTGTAATAGTTACTTATCACTTAAAATGCCACACAACAGCAAAACCTCAAACATAGCAAACACATTAAACAACAAACAAACAGAACACAATAGATAATGTCATAATCATTCAAAATTTTATTAAAGAAATGGAAACTTTCAATTCTGGATATAGCATTTTCATGCAAAAGCTTTCAAAGCCTACCATTTTCGCTGCTCCAACTCAACTACTCAACTGCTTCAAAACCTGTACCACCTTAATCCTTATACTATGCCGTTTTGTCTACTCATCAGCTTCTAACAAAATCTGACCAAAAAAAAACAATTAAGAAAAAAAAAAATAAACATGGAAGAAAACCTAACAGTTTATTTAAATCAACAAAATTACAAACAATCAAAACTCGATTCAAACGACATGCAATTTATGATCCAAAGAGAGAAACTATACACGGTTATAGAGACATAGACATTGACTATAATTCAAAAATCTACCTACATAAACATGCACAAACACACATTTATATACACACGCGCCTCAAAACAGTGATCAATGAGAGAATTTTATCTTGTCTAAAGAGAAACTACCTTCAGTAAGATTTTCCAGATTAATCACCGGAGATGATCTCCGGCTCCGGAAGGTTTTTTTTAATTTTAATTTTGGTTTTTTTGGACAGGGGAGTGACTTCAGTAAGCAGAAGAAGAAGCTCAGGTCAGTCTGAGTTTTTAAAAATGAGGAGAGAAAGATAGTGTACAGCTTTTTCTATGAACACTATTTATCCCAGGTTCATCGGGATCGTTCAAATTGAATCGATTGTGATTTTGAGGGAATCGTGACCGTTGAAAGTGGTTACTGGATTTCAAGGAATTTTTTATGGCATTTCAGTGAAGTCAAGTTTGGCAATGATCATTGATACTATTCAAGGTAATGATTCCACGTGGATTAATCCTATAGGTTTACACGTGTAATGTACTAGGTTGCTTCACTTGTTATTACCCCGTGAAAGTGATACCATGGGAAGGAAAAAATGTTAGTTGCATACTAGCCAACCAACGATCGCCACGTCATTATTCATGGGGCTACAAAAACTATTATTCTACTACTCTTCGTACGTGATCATAACCCTGTAATTATTTTAAATTTAACCAAAAAGTCTGAAAATGTTTTATCATAGAAATAACGATATGCTTTCACTAATATTATTTCAAATTTATCATTATCAATTTCAATAATTAAAACAGAAATTTATTAAAAAAATTAATTAATATAAATTATGGTTAATTTTTTATTATTATTATTATTGTGAATGTCATTATTGTAAATTTAAAGCTTTTATGGTTGTCTGAGTTGGAAACTTGAGTGTGACAACAAATGACTCCACATTTTGTAAACAAAATACCAATTTTAATCACTCTTAATATATGGTAAGTTGGTGAGGGACATTATGGTAATATAATAATGAAATGTCATTTGTTACTTCACACAATTCATCAAGTTTAATGGACCAATATTCAATCTTGGCCATTAATTTCACTTCCATCCCCATAATGTCATGCATCATGCTTATATGATACTTATTACCTCCTTGAATTCAATTGCAAGTGATTAGCTTATGAATAAATCAATGTATTAGACAATAGTATAACTATAATATAAGCGATAATGTTATCTGATCGATATAACCTAACTCAAAATAATTTTTATAAAGGAATGTATAATTTTTTTTATTTTAATTTGAATTATTTAATTGGGGGACTCAAATAAGAACTAATACCAAATTAAGTTTGTTTTTAAATTTTAACAGGGTAAACTTCCAAATTGGAGCTCTAGGATATATTTGGAAAATAATACTTTGCATTTTATTAGTTTATTAAATTTCCATAGATGTAGATTATGTTACCTTCTTTAATATTTGTTACTGAAGATAAGAAAAAACATGCAATTCATGCTTGTAGAGTTGTAGTACTTAGATTCTCTGTTAAATTGTTCAATAATTGTGGTACCAAAACCAAAGTTGTTCCACATTAAATGCTTCTTGTTCTTAATTAAAAGCCCTCGTAATAAATATAAGCTAATTTTAGACCAACTCCAACTTAAAAGAAGAACAATAATCTAAAGCCTTTGGGTTCAAATTTTGGGCTCTTTCTAACTTTTGGCCCATGGTCTTATAATTTCGTTAATTTTGTGCAATGTAAAGTGGGCACTAATAGGGAAAAGATTGAATTATAATACAATCTTACAAATTTTTTTTTATAACTCTAACATGATAGCTCACAATTGGGCAGATAAGACCCACAATTGGATAGACAAGACTTATTATGAGCTGGCCAATTGTGAGCTGCCACGTCGGGATTGTGAGAAAAAATTTGTGAGATTGGGTTGTAAGTAAAATATTGTTCTATCTAATAAAAGTAATACCTCTATGACATTAACTCAAATGAGTTGGTTTGTTGGTCAAAAAAGTTTGCTCTCTTCATTGACTTCCTCGGTTCAAACCTTAGACTACCTATCACATTTGTTATTTACTTTAGAACATTGTGTTTGTAAAGTATTCAATGGTCATTTGTGACTTATCTTAGAATATTGAGTTTGTAGGGCATTCAATGGGGCCTCCCAAGGATTAGCGGAGATTATCGAGACATCCTAGTCATAAAAAAAAAGAGTAAACGACATTTTCCCACCTAAGGTTTGGCGAATCTACAAGTTCCCATCCTTAGTTTCCTAAATGTAGATTTCCACCCTTAAATTAATTGAAAATTGTTTAATCTAACAATTAAAAGGGTAAAATGGTCATTTCAAAGATGAAAATTTCAAAATAACCCTTCATTTCTCAAATTTACCCCATCGAAAAATTTCAAAATAACCCTTGACTTCTCAAATTTACCCCATTGGTGATTTTAGGCCATTCCGGCCTGTTCTCGGTGCAGTCGACCTCTCTTGACACCACCATTACAATCCCCTCAACCTCCACATCAAAACCCCTAACCTCCTCGCCTGATTGAACCCCCCAATCGCTAGCTACAGCTCTTAGTTTCAGTCAGCGTTTCATCCAAATTTCGGCAAGTCCCGACACTAGAAACCACCCCTAACACCACCAATAGCATCACCGGCTTCTCCCCATCGAAACCCCCAACGTCGCCAACTGCAATTGTTTGTCGATTGCCGCCGCCTTTCCCTTAGGTTTTTGCGCTTTGTCGCACCTTTCCAGCCAAATTCTAGCACCTCGCCAAGGTGTAATCGGGTGGAAAAGTTAGGGGTTTTGGTGAGGAGGATAAGGGAATGCTGATGATGGTGTCGGAATCAGGCCAGATTTTTGGCTTGGCCGGGATCCTCTAAAGGTTATTTGAGAGAAATTTGAGATGTATGAGTTATTTTGAGAGAAAAGCAACGGTGTTAATTTAAGTGTCAAAATTTGCAATTTATGAAACCATGGGTGGGAACTTGCAGATTCGCCAAACCTTGGGTGGGAAAATGTTGTTTACTCTAAAAAAAAATGTCTATGACATTTTCCCTAATTATCATAATAGGAATGACTTAATAAGAAAGTGATTAGTTCTTAATGATAGTTTCTTATCTCTAATATCAGATATGTCATTGCATTAATTTATTTCTTTATTTATATTTCAATAAACAAATTGATACCATTCATAAATGCAATGGCCTAATTTCTTCAAACTGTATATAATTGTTGTACTTAATTTCAACTGATACATGCGTGTTCCCCTTTTTAAACATGACTTGACTAAAAAAACTAGTCATGAAATGTCATTATTGAACATTGATTAATGGAGTTCCTTTACAAGTCTTTTACCAAAANCTTCATTGACTTCCTCGGTTCAAACCTTAGAGCCATCTATCACATTTGTGATTTATTTTAGAACATTGTGTTTGTAGAGTATTCAATGGTCATTTGTGACTTATTTTAGAACATTGAGATTGTAGGGTATTCAATGGGTCCCTCAGGGATTAGCAGAGATTATCGAGATATCCTGGTCATAAAAAAAAAAAAAAAAGAGTAAATGACAGTTTCCCACCTAAGGTTTGGCAAATCTACAAGTTCTCATCCCTAGTTTCATAAATTGTAGATTCCCACCCCTAAATTAGCAGAAAATTGTTTAATCTAACATTTAAAAGGGTAAAATGATCATTTCAAAAATGAAAATTTCAAAATAACCCTTGACTTCTCAAATTCACCCCACCAGTGATTTCAGGTCATTCCAGCCTGTTCTCGGTGCAGTCAACCTCTCTTGACACCACCATTACAATCCCCTCAACCCCCACATCAAAACCCCTAACCTCTTCGCCTGATTGAACCCCTCGATCGCTAGTCGTCGCTCTTAGTTTCAGTTGGCGTTTCATCCAAATTTCGGCAAGTCCCGACACTAGAAACCACCCCCAACACCACCAATAGCATCACCGGCTTCCTCCCATCAAAACCCCCAACATCGCCAACCGTAATTGCTCGTCGATCGTCGCCGCCTCTCCCTTAGGTTTTCGCGCTTTGTTGCACCTTTCCAGCCAAATTCCAACACCTCGTCAAGGTGTAATCGAGTGGAAAAGTTAGGGGTTTTGGTGAGGAGGATAAGGGATTGCTGATGGTGGTGTCAGGGGGGGGGGGGGTCCAATGGTGTCGAAATCAGACCAGATTTTGGGCTTGGCCGGGATCCTTTGAGGGTTATTTGAGAGAAATTTGAGATGTATGGGTTTATTTGAAAGAAAAGCAACGATGTTAATTTAAGTGTCAGAATTTGCAATTTATGAAACCTAGGGTGGGAACTTGCAAATTCGCCAAACCTTGGGTGGGAAAATGTTGTTTACTCTATGACATTTTCCCTAATTATCAAAATACGAATGACTTAATAAGAAAGTGATTAGTTCTTAATGATAGTTTCTTATCTCTAATATCAGATATGTCATTGCATTAATTTATTTCTTTATTTATATTTCAATAAACAAATTGATACCATTCATAAATGCAATGGCCTAATTTCTTCAAANTAGATGTAGATTATGTTACCTTCTTTAATATTTGTTACTAAAGATAAGAAAAAACATTGCAATTCATGCTTGTAGAGTTGTAGTACTTAGATTCTCTGTTAAATTGTTCAATAATTGTGGTACCAAAACCAAAGTTGTTCCACATTAAATGCTTCTTGTTCTTAATTAAAAGCCCTCGTAATAAATATAAGCTAATTTTAGACCAACTCCAACTTAAAAGAAGAACAATAATCTAAAGCCTTTGGGTTCAAAATTTGGGCTCTTTCTAACTTTTGGCCCATGGTCTTATAATTTCGTTAATTTTGTGCAATGTAAAGTGGGCACTAATAGGGAAAAGATTGAATTATAATACAATCTTACAAATTTTTTTTTATAACTCTAACATGATAGCTCACAATTGGGCAGATAAGACCCACAATTGGATAGACAAGACTTATTATGAGCTGGCCAATTGTGAGCTGCCACGTCGGGATTGTGAGAAAAAATTTGTGAGATTGGGTTGTAAGTAAAATATTGTTCTATCTAATAAAAGTAATACCTCTATGACATTAACTCAAATGAGTTGGTTTGTTGGTCAAAAAAGTTTGCTCTCTTCATTGACTTCCTCGGTTCAAACCTTAGACTACCTATCACATTTGTTATTTACTTTAGAACATTGTGTTTGTAAAGTATTCAATGGTCATTTGTGACTTATCTTAGAATATTGAGTTTGTAGGGCATTCAATGGGGCCTCCCAAGGATTAGCGGAGATTATCGAGACATCCTAGTCATAAAAAAAAAGAGTAAACGACATTTTCCCACCTAAGGTTTGGCGAATCTACAAGTTCCCATCCTTAGTTTCCTAAATGTAGATTTCCACCCTTAAATTAATTGAAAATTGTTTAATCTAACAATTAAAAGGGTAAAATGGTCATTTCAAAGATGAAAATTTCAAAATAACCCTTCATTTCTCAAATTTACCCCATCGAAAAATTTCAAAATAACCCTTGACTTCTCAAATTTACCCCATTGGTGATTTTAGGCCATTCCGGCCTGTTCTCGGTGCAGTCGACCTCTCTTGACACCACCATTACAATCCCCTCAACCTCCACATCAAAACCCCTAACCTCCTCGCCTGATTGAACCCCCCAATCGCTAGCTACAGCTCTTAGTTTCAGTCAGCGTTTCATCCAAATTTCGGCAAGTCCCGACACTAGAAACCACCCCTAACACCACCAATAGCATCACCGGCTTCTCCCCATCGAAACCCCCAACGTCGCCAACTGCAATTGTTTGTCGATTGCCGCCGCCTTTCCCTTAGGTTTTTGCGCTTTGTCGCACCTTTCCAGCCAAATTCTAGCACCTCGCCAAGGTGTAATCGGGTGGAAAAGTTAGGGGTTTTGGTGAGGAGGATAAGGGAATGCTGATGATGGTGTCGGAATCAGGCCAGATTTTTGGCTTGGCCGGGATCCTCTAAAGGTTATTTGAGAGAAATTTGAGATGTATGAGTTATTTTGAGAGAAAAGCAACGGTGTTAATTTAAGTGTCAAAATTTGCAATTTATGAAACCATGGGTGGGAACTTGCAGATTCGCCAAACCTTGGGTGGGAAAATGTTGTTTACTCTAAAAAAAAATGTCTATGACATTTTCCCTAATTATCATAATAGGAATGACTTAATAAGAAAGTGATTAGTTCTTAATGATAGTTTCTTATCTCTAATATCAGATATGTCATTGCATTAATTTATTTCTTTATTTATATTTCAATAAACAAATTGATACCATTCATAAATGCAATGGCCTAATTTCTTCAAACTGTATATAATTGTTGTACTTAATTTCAACTGATACATGCGTGTTCCCCTTTTTAAACATGACTTGACTAAAAAAACTAGTCATGAAATGTCATTATTGAACATTGATTAATGGAGTTCCTTTACAAGTCTTTTACCAAAAAAAAAAAAAGGTTCCTTTACAAGTCATTACTCATTAATACTGATAAGGAAGTTTTCCTTTTTTTCTCCTTCTTCACCAAGTCTAGCTACCATTTTATAGAGTGGCATTTAGTAATAAAACTATAGGTTCCTTCGTATTAAATGTAAGAACATTATATTTCTTGTTTCACAAACAACAACTAAGATTATTCATGAAAATTTGCGTATTTAATTGGGAAAATATTTGATGAATTGAGTTCTAGTTTTTGTTCTTCAAAACCATAATTAATAGGAAGACGTATCCCACTTCTCGTAAACTCTTCCTTTTGACCTCATCCTTCCCTCACCGTGATATAATAAATCAAACCATAAATATCATCATGTTTTCTATTGATGTTTCTGTAAAAATATTATCAATGAACAAATATATATCAACACCAAAGGTAACCCAGAAAATTTGTAAAAACAAAACAAAAGAAAGTGGGAAAACAAAAAAAAAAAAAAAAATCCTATATTGTAATAACTAATAAGGCTAATGAACAATTTACAAGAAGCAATCAACCATGGGAGCTGATTTGTTACCGAGTTTAAACAACTCCAAATCATTCTCATGTGGAGTCAAGTTCAAATCCAAACACAAAACCCTTCTGCTATTACCTTTCTTCAGGACTCCCACATCGCCATGGCCATCAGAAACTTCACCACTGAAATTCAAAGCCGGCTGGAGATTCTCATTATTCAACCCGCCGGCTCTATGTCTCCTCATGTGACCGCCCAAGGCTTGGCCGATGGCGAACTCGAGGCCGCATATTGAGCACTCGTGCGTTTTGGGTTTAACCGGCGACTGGCTCTCGAGGTTTCCCTCCATCAACCGCGGCTTCTTGTGACTCGCCCGGTGGCCTCCCAGGGCTTGAAACGACGGGAACTGCCGGTTACAGGTCTTGCACTCGAAGACGCGGCTTGTGGTTGAAGGCATGCTGTTAACCATGGCTTCCAGGTCTCGTCCATGTGAAAGTAACATCAAGCAGTTGGCCATGGTTAAGCTATCGAGCTCCGTTGCTTCTCGAAAACCTCTCTTCATGGTGTGAAACGAACTGTGGTTTAGCGTGGAATTCAAGTGAAATGAATCGGTTTATGAGCATGCAGGGTTTGTATTTATAGGTTGGTTTAAGTTTTAAGACGAGGCGGCATTGACTTTTTCAGTTGACTATTCAGAATGACGGTAATGCCCTTATCTTTCTTCCCACATAAGTTATTAAAATATCAGTTAACGAGCTTGGGTGTGAAAAAAGATCATATAAAAACAACACGTCAGCGTGACCTAGTCTCTGAACCAACAGACGCGTAGAAGGGGAGTTCATATCCTCCTAGAATTAGAATTATAAAAAATTTCTAGAAGATTTTCTAATTGAAATAAATAAAAATATAATCAATTATTTTGATCGAAATAATATTGGTGAATTGAGTTTTCACGTGTCCATATAATAATTAATTAATTTTAAAATAACAATTGGACTAAAGAGACCATGAAGCTTCGTATCGTGGGATGATTGAATTTGAGTGTTCAATGTGTAAAGGGGTATCTTAACGTGACTGACAATCCAGCGGGATTTATACAAGGCCGCTGGGTTTTGAGTCTTGTTGAAATGTGACAATTTAGAGTGGCTTGAATGATGTGTCAAATGATAGACCATAGATTTATTTCCTAAATTTGAGCTTATCTGTTTATCGAAAATGGAGTTGTTGAGGGGGTTGGTACATTTTATTTCTACAATTTCTATGAACTTGCAAAGTAGAAGAAAAAAAAATTGCCAGTCCAACACGATCAATTTATTATTGATCTAGTGTTATTGACTGTTGAGTATCATCATTCTTGATGATGTTGGTTTGGTTTATTAAGAGATGACAGATTAAGGAATAATAGTTTATTTTAAATCATGATTTCTTTGAAAGATTATTTGTAATGATGCAAATATCAACATGACCTAATTAATTCCTTTTTCAGAGCCCACTCTTCATAATTTCTCAAAACAATAATAAATATTCAATTATTTTTATGTTAATTATCAAATAATTATAAACTTTAATTACTATTTTGGCATGAGTTTTTTTTTTTTTTTTTTTTTTTTTTTTTTTTTTATGACCAAATTAATTTACGCACACTTCAGCTAATTCTTCAGAACTGTGAAACTACCGACCGTGTAAAAGCTCAAGTGACTATCTCTATTAACAACCGATGAGGGACTAAAACTCAAAACCTCTTGAGTAATACACCCAAGAGTCTTTATCGAATCACTCGATCGTCCATGAGTGGTTTTTTGGCATGAAAGTCGAAGTCACTTTAATGGGGTTTCTCTTTTTAGAATTTTATGAAATATAATTATATAGATCTTTCATTTTTATTTATCAAAAATATGAAAGATTTTAAGTGGATTTCCAACTCTAGCTCTACTGTCCTAAGAATATAATAGTTGTATTTTTCAGATTTTATTTTTAAAATACAATACTAAACACGTTGTTTAACATATTTTTTTTTTAATTCATGAAATATAAATTATTTTAAGGAAACATTAAATTATTAATGGAAAAAAAATGACCAAACTTAAACAAAAGTATATGAGAGAACAACTTGATTAACGTGGTTTAAGTACCAATCTCAATCTCAATCCTATCAAAATTAATTACTTAATTAGTTAAGTAAAACCAAATTTAATTTTCTCTAGTTGTAGCATCACTCTATACCAATTAATTAAACATCAAAGTCAGACTCATTTTGTCGTCGTTTGCGAACTTGAGAAGAAAACTGAGGGAGTTAGTTTCAAAATCACAGTGCCGTGCAGTTCAATACATTCGAATCACTACTTTCATTTAATATATGGTTCCTTAATATGTATCTTCATTATAATATAATTATATACATTCGTCACATTAAAAAAATTTTATTTATTATTTTATTTTATTTTTCTTAATGATTATCGAAGGATTAGAGCAAGTAATATAGGTAGTTGGAGACTAAGTAGTCGGTTTAATTAATTTAATTTAATTAGATTTTAACTTATTAAATAGGATTTAGTTTACTCTAATTATAATATAATTCTTGCGTTTCACAAGTTGCTTGTTTGGACCAATAAGAACTCGAAGAAAATTCTTAGAATATATTTTTTGTTTTTATTAGTAATTTCGGTATGTTAAAGGAGTGTTTTTGACCAACTATTGTAATAATATTTAACTAACTTATAATATTATTTTTATTTATAATATATTTGTATTGTAATTAAAAATAGTAAGTATTGTTGTACACTTTACCTGTGGAATATAATATGAATTAATCCATACCGTACGATCTTATGACGATTATAGTGAGAAAATTTGGAAGGTTTGATGTGGATTAAGCTTATTGTCGTTTATGTGTGATCAAAGAAGTAGAAATTTTAATTCTATGGTTGATTGTTTCACAAGTGAACTTGTCATTCTTTTTGTTGTACTAGATATTATTTTATAGACGTTTCTTACAATTTCACCCCTAAGATTTCGGACGATAATTTTTCCTTTTCAATTTCAAGAAACTAACATTCTCACCCCTGAACACTGTTTCTATTAGTTAAATGCTACGATTTAAGGGGTAAAAAATATATTTTAAATAAATCACTACCAATTTTGACCAAACAGTTAAGACAAACGGTTTGAAGTTTTGGCCAAACGATTGATTGGTTTAGTATTGTTGATGCAGTAATTTGCACCAACGAGATGTACGTAAATTCTGTGATGAAATTTACGTAAGGGATTTGTATGGAATCTGCTATATGATGCAGGATCAATGAATGATTAAATGAAAAACATAAACAATAAATTTTTTTTTTAAGTAGTTTGGATGTTAGGCGCAAATCATACACCCACTGTTTCTGTATTGTTTTCTATGGTTTTTTTTTTTTTTTTTTTCATGTAAAAGTGTGGCTTGCATAATAGAAATCCTCTAATTTAGGTGAAAAGTAAACTTATATACTGTTAAAATGACAAACTTGTAAATAAAATTAACCTAAAATAAAATGACACGTGACATGAATCTATGTTCCAAGAATTAACTGCATAACAAATATAACTACAATTCTAAAATATAGAAAAAATTAACCGTTGGGTTAAAATTGTAAACTGTTTCCTTAAAATGTCTTTTTTACTCTTTGCATCGTTGCATTTTGCTGACAAAACCTGTATTTAGGGGTGTCAAAGTTATTTTTTTTTGAAAATTTCACATAGAAAATTTGTAGCAAAGTTTGGGGTGACAACTGATTAAGTCTTATTTTATAGTCAACATCAATGGGTATGACATGAATGTGTACGAAAGATTAATGAATTGATGCGTATATGTGTAGTTGTTTAATTAATTGTCAAGAATTGAAATGTAACTACTACTACTACTACTACTTTTTTTTGTCACTACAACAAAGCTAAATTGAGCTTACTTGGGACAAAAGATATTAATTGAGAAAATCATAATCAATAGTTATTGACTTTATTGGTGACCATATAATAAAAATTTCTAATTTATAATAAAGAGCTATTGTTATCATCAATGTCATCATCATCAACAACATTAATATTAATATTGTCACGTCAAGCAACTAGTACTGAATTTAGCCTCGGTTTAGTTAGCTTTGCTCAATTTTCGACTCTTTAAAATCTAAACTCAAAGTCGTTAGCTTTATTGGCAAGCAATTTCTAATTCTAGACAAATTTGGCACACTTAATTATTGTATACTTTTCGCAACGATTTTTTATTTTTTATTTTTACTAATAGAATTTAGTTTCTTCTACCAAAAAAGTCAATATCTTAAGGGTCCGTTTGTTTTAATATTTTATATCCTATTCCCAATCATATTCTCAAAGTAACTGTTTGTTTCATTATCTTCAAAAAAACTATTATATTTTTTCCAACTATATTTTAAATCACTTAAGTTTATTAATTTAACTAAACACCCTCAGAAAAAAGTTTAAAAATTAACAAAAATACCTCCATCCACCCACATTTGTCAGATTTCAGAATCTAGTATAATGACATACTACCGACTGAACCTGGCTGGTAGTGTGTCGATCTATCATTTTCTGGCCAGATCCACCGTGGATCTAGTCGTAGCTGGTCGTCAACGACGGCCAAGATATGGCCGCCGCTGAATCTGGCCTTTTCTAGCCAGATCCGAGGTGGATTTGGCTGGAAATGGCCATATCGGCACACGAACGGCTAGATTCAATAGGTTGTGCATCGTAACGCTAGATTCTGGCAGTGGTGGCTGAAATCTAGCAACTGTGAGTGGGGGTGTTTTTATTATTTTACAAAATTTTTATATATTGGGGTGTTTCGTATATTAGCAAACCTAGAGGGGTGTTTTTATTATTTTTTAAATCTTACCTCGTTATTTTCACCCAACTCTAAAAATATCAAAAATTTCTCAAGTTTTACTTTTTGAGTTTATTAAAATTCCCCCCATTGAGGTATCATTATTTTGGTCTAACTATACATTTTACACTTAATTCGTTAAATTAGACCATAAAACTTCAAACCATTTTGACAAGAAATTGAATGGAAGATTGAATACAAAAAGTCAAATTCATCATATTCACATTTCCATTTATTTTCTATCACATCAGTTTGTATAGAAATTTTTGTAAGATTTGTTTTTACGTATAGTATTACTCATAAAAACTTTAATGGAACACTAATGATAGAGGGGTAAATTGTTATATTATGATACCCAAGGGGGGGAATTAATGAACTATTTTTATTTTCCAACGCAAACTTGCGTGTAATTTGGTTAGAATTAGTGAAATTTGACCAATCTCTCCCAGCCTTGTTCAAAAGTTAGTTAAAATTGACTGCAATCGCTGTGGTCCATGCATGAGAAGTTGAAGGAGGAGAAGGTAGTGAATTGGTAAAGAGGGCAGCCGAAGCGAAGCTAATTAAGCCAAACTAAGGTTGACGACATATTTGTTTAACTTTCTACAACATCAACACGTCAAAAACTCTTCGCTGGCTGTTCGACCCAAGAATGGAATAAACTAGTTCAATTTCTAACATGGGAATATCTTTATCCAAATCATATTCTTTTCTTGCTATTTTTGCCAAACTTTTCCTAACACAAACAACCATCGACCATCTCCGACTTTTAAAAATTAATCTTTTTATATGCCATTTTATAATTCTCTTCTTTATTTCGAGTCATTTCTTGATTGCTAATGGGGTGATTACTAGAACTCATATCCGATCGATAGTTTTAGGGTCTCGAAAAATTAATTGAAGTGCACATAAGCCGGTTTGGACACCCTCGATCAATAATTTAATGCTAAATCTGAGTCAATATATATATATATATGATCCCACAAGTTTAATTATAACTTAAATGATAGAAATTTGGCAACGATTTCGTTGCAAAACAACAAGTTTTTTCTGGCATTTATTAGGTTTTTTTTTTTTGTTTTTCTATATATATATATATATATGATCCCACAAGTTTAATTATAACTTAAATGATAGAAATTTGGCAACGATTTCATTGCAAAACAACAAGTTTTTTCTGGCATAGATTAGGGGTTTTTTTTTTTTTTTTTCTTTTTTTCTATTCTAACTTTTGAAAATAAATAAATCTCACTATCAAGATCAGCATGAATATGAAAGGATCATTAGATTTTTGACTCCTGTTGAGACACTGCCAATATTGCTCTAGTCAGTTTGAAAACCTAATAAACATAAATTATTCAGAAGAATATATGGCAGGTATGTATTTCTCTGCATTATTGATCCAAATAATACAACCTTTTTTTTTTTTTTTTTTTTTTTTGTATAATAATTAAGTAAATGTCAAGAGTGTGAATATTGAGAAAAATGGCAGCAAATAATAGTATATAGAAATGTGTGGTACACGTGTATATAGATATAGATATACATTACTGTTATCAGATAAGCTGAAGAGTCAAACTTTTATAATTTTCTTTAAATAATATTGAGTCATTGATCACCAACCCAAGAAAGCAAAATTTTAGATAAAGTAAGCTAAGATGAAGAAAGATAAATGGTGGGTGACGTTTGAGTCAGTTGGCAAATAGAAGAAGTTATCCAAGTGTATTGTATTTTATACAGTCTACATTTCTGCAGGTTGTTTGAATTACGTATACAATCCAATAATTTAATGTGTAACTTTACTTGATTATTATTTAGCTATACATAAAATGAATTGACTTGATTGAGGTATGTTCTGAGTAGTCAAAGAAAAAGCTTTAAAGTCAGTAATATATTCAACTTGAGTGTTGCCGGGACTTCTGGTGTAGCCAGTTACCAGTTTCATACTTTGCTGGTTATCAGGAGTCTTTGACTTACTCATTTGAACACAAATTAATACTGTAGACGATTGTATGGTAAAAGTTAGGTAAATTGAGGCTAGGAGACGATCCTGATTCTAACGGATATATATGAAAAAAGTTTTGTATATTTTTAAAGTCAAAGACCAAGATATTGAACCATGTTATATTTCCATTTTTTTCAGCTTTGTATGGCAGTTCACCAACCCAGCAGCAGAAAGAATTTGGTTTTTGGTTTTGATTTTAGAACAGATGAATGTTCCTGGAAATGTATAATGCATGTTCAAGTTTAACAAAAGACCTGACAAATTTTCTTGACGGTAGCATGTATCAGACTCCATTAATAAGTGCGTTCCTACTAGGCGACCAACTTTACCAGTAAGGGCCGCTAAAAACTCAGTCCAGGTCTACCAGAGACTCAGAGTCATTCTCTGAGTAACACAGACTTCACCCAATGCCATAAAACTTCTGTTCAAAACCTCGGAAATTTCTCGTATATTTCAGTGCTCACTAGTCAAGAGTCATCATCATTGAATAAAAGTGGCCCTATTGTTATCAACTTCAACAGCAAATCGGCATCCTAGAAGCCCCTCATTCATTAAATTATAACATTAAATGAGAGAAAGGGCAGTCTCTAAAGTAAACTTTGGTGGGGTTCTTTCTTTTTCTGGAGGCCATGGCCCATGGCATAGAAAGCTACAGGATATTAATAGGATTCTTTCTTCATTTTTCAAACTTCTTCACCGTCCACTTATTAATGTATGCACTGAGGTGGGTTTCAAGTTAACAGTTCACACATTTGACATTCCAGAAGCAGTAACAGTAAAATGTCGAATTGAGTATTTGAATATTTGATTACGCAACCTTGCTCTCATCCTGATGACTTTTCTTTTGAATGCTGCATAGCTTTTCATAATCAACAGAGCAGACTGCAGTTTTCATTTCTCCAGATACATGGTGGCTTAATTAAGAAATCAAACGTTAAAAAATTTGATAAATTTCCTATTCTTATGATGTTTGAGTACTAGTTTTCAAAACAGTTCAGTCAAATATTAGCGCAGGCATTTAGTATTCTTATTATGATTATAGTTATTTTATTATTCTTGATGTTCCATGAGGTATTTTTAATTTTGCTGTATATTATTGATTATTACATCAATACAACCACCCTTACACTCAAAAGTCGACAGATTTTGTAGGGGGCCGCCTTAAAATTATTTGCTACAAAGGAATCAAAGATTTCTAGAATTTGACTTTCTTAGTACTCAAAAACTATTCAACCCAAGCTCATAATTCATGAAAAAGTAAGAGAGATGATGACAGATTTGGAAGAATTTGAATTATGATCATTCTTTAATATTGGATATGCAGTTCCTTAGTATAAATAAACACCAAACCACAACAATAAAGTTTTCACTTAAGTCAACCTAAAGAAAAACTACTGTGAAGATAATTTGGTAGTGTGAATTCCACCTTTAAGGTTCCCCCCATTGCTATTTACTACTTCTTCCATAGGTCGGCTGATAACATATTTGAGGTTAGAGCTGCAACACGCGGTAGCTTGTAGCTCCTTCTCAATGCAGCTACTTCAAGTCTTCAATCGTGCACAAAATAGATCCACATCCCATTAAAGAGTGAGTGCCAATCCAGTTGAATGTCACTTTGAGGAGTCAAACTCGTGCTTTCTGACATTTCGGTTCATTGCACCTATAGAAAACAATCAACAATTTTCATTTCAAACAATAATAATTACATAGATGTAAACCCACCCAAAGGATGAGGGCCAAATGTATTTCAACACAAATTACATAGAAAGATGTAAACCTAATGAAAGGATGAGGGCCAGAGGAGATAACGGCCAAAAATATTTCAATACAGGCTTCATCTTTTCATCTTCACAATCACATTAATGCATGAACAACATCATCTAAAATCTATACTTACCTTGCACATCTAGACTTCTCCAGCCTTCCACAGTTATCAACCAATAAATAATGACCTAAAATCAACTAACCTCTTAATCATAAACATCCCCCCTTCTCTGAACAAATCAAAGCTATGTATTTGATTGTAGCATACAACCAGGGTAAGATATTAAGCACATGTGCATTCAACAAAATCTTCAACCAAAATTTAGTTCTGGAATGAGATTCTTTAATGCCACTGTCAATGAAGCCTTATACTACTCGTTCTACGTCAAGTTGTTGCCTATGTGTTTCGAATTTGCAAGTTCTGCTAAAAAAAACATAGATTAATCAGCAAAATATAGATTGCTATTTACAAATAGCAAGTTCTGATGTCATGACAAACAGAAAAATATGCAGAAAAGTCTCTTTTCCATGTAAACGAAAAATCAAAGACTTCTTAGCCTAACAATTTGGCAAGAAAACTAACAAAAAATAATTAACAGAACACTTAAAGAGCTTCAATTAACTCTAAAATAAACTCCAGCATCAGAAAATTAACACCTCTTAGCCTAACAATTCAAATAATTTGGCAAGAAAACTAACTAAGATTATTAAAATGGCAGTAGACAAACTTCAATAAACTCAAAATACAAATACATTGAAGCAACAATGTATTTCATAAGTCTCAAAACTTGCAATTTATTAGAATGTCATCACGTTTCAGTAAATCTAATCAAACCTCAAATTACAAAGTAAAACCAGTGTTATTATTATTTATTAGAAACAATACAAACAAACCCACCAAGTAAAAATTGAAACTTTAGCAAATTTTCATTTCTCTGTTTCTATAGATACAAAATTTAATTCTTCCACTAACATTCTTTATCTGGGTCATGCCTCTTCTTCATTATCATTGCCTTGACTAACTGTACTAAACTTTTCCTGGAATGAATCTTGCTTCTGTAACCACATTATATGCCCCTGGAAAAGAAGACTCAAAAGATTAAAAATCAAATTTTGGAAAGTTTGTGTTAAGGGTTTGTTGATATGAAGAAAAGGGTTACCTGGAGAGCAGCAGCCCAAGCAATGAGAAAAGAAGCGAACCAGAACTTCTTGTCTTTGAGGAGCTGTTTGGCATCAAAATTTCCCATTTAAAACCCTAATCCAAGATTTTGCAGTTCTATCGGGGTTTTTGATTTCTCTACAGTGAAGTAAAAGGAGTTTTCTTTTGTGAATGAGCTTCTCTGTAGTATTTTCTCCTCCGATTCACCACGATTCAAGTGGGTTAATGCCACGTCACTATTCAGTAAGAAGTTTAAATAGAGTTAGTTCATAGTTGGAACTTGGAAGGCTTTTTTATGAATAAATTAATTTTCTGAATAAATGTATTTATGTGAAAAATCCCTCAATATTCATTGTGTTATATTGATTCTTAGTATTATACACATTTCACTCGTATACAAAGGCTTATGTTCTAATTTCATAAATCAATTTTTTATCAATCCTTCAAATAATTGAATACCATCCACCAATATACTTGATTTAAGCGAAGTGTATAAGATTAAATCTTGACATTTAACTCCGAATAATACTATGTGCACTAGCCAAAAACCATACAATCCAAGTACTAATTGACGTGACAGACTTCTTTTATTGTCATGTCAGTTCTCCCAAAAACTAAAAAAAATAAAATTTCAAATTTTCAATTGTTAGTATTTGGATTAGTACAATTTGATTAGTGCACATAAAATTACTCTTTAACTCCTGTGAATTGGATATCCTGAAACTTGAGAGAGTTCCATCTTTTGAACTAGATACTGGAAGTTTCTTAGTTGCTTTGGAAAATGACTTCTTATTTGATGTGTGTTCATGTCATGGATGCACTGAATTTCAAATATCATAATATCCCAATTCAACTAAAAGGGGACATCTAATAATAGCATTCATGTTATATGAAGTTGCTACAGTTCTCTGTAAAGACAAAATAGCTTGACTAGTAAAAACCTTCCAAAGCAACTGATATTAGTGTATATCATCAGTATGCTTATTTTAATGAAGGAAGAAAGATCATTTCAAGGCGGTAATTTTCCAGGTAAGTAGAGAGAAAGTTTCTCTCTCACAATCGAGGCAGTCTTGTCGACGGATTCACAATTCTGTTGCCGGTATCCTGAGTCGTGATGATATGATAATGGCATCTCATCTAGGACCTCATCCTCCATATCTATGATAATATTGTGCAGCAAGCAGCAAACAAGAATAATCCTCGGCAACCTGTTCTTATCAGGCATCCACATCACTCCATGAATTATCCTCCACACCTCCTTCAGCCTTACCAATGCCATCTGTGCCACCATTCGTGTTGCAGAATGTCGTTTATTGAATGTCACTTGAAGTTCTGAGAGGCCTTTTCCTTGATAAGGAGTAATAAGCCATGGCAACAGGGGAAAACCTGTGTCTCCTATGATATATTCCCTTACATCTGTTCCATCTGGAAGCTGTAATTTCTTTCCATTTAGTCTCTTTCCTTCTTCAGCAAGTTTAAAGAAGCCAGAGCTTCGGAGCACAAGGGAATCACCTAAACTTCCTGGCCAGCCAACAATGATGTCTCGGAATCTCATTTCAGGGTCCACGATTGCCTGTAGAATCATGCTGTAGTTCTTCTCACGATCAAACCAAACATTATTGGCAGGGTCCACTGCCGGTATATTCATGATGATGTGTGTAATATCGATTGCACCACAGCAATTGTGAAGGCCACGGATTTTCTCAAACTTGGACTTTACCCCATCCATTTCTGCTTCTGTTGAGGGCCACTGGAGATGATGGAGCCCTCTTTCCTCCATTGATTCCACAAATCGCCAGGTTATTTGGGAAACAGTTGATTGGTTCAGCCCAAATGAATCACCAATGCTTGATAATGATTCACCAGAGCTGAGCCTCCTAAGGGCAACAGCTACCATATCATTTAGAGAAAGAGGCTCGCCATTTGAAAAGGCAAAGCTTGATAGCCGAGCTGTCATATCTTCCTTCACAAGTGAGCATATGTAGTCGAATGTCTTTCTTGAAATTTTGAATACAGATTCAAATTTCTTCAAATTTTTTGATTCAGATAAAGGGCCTAACAGGTGGAAAAATACAACATAATCATTCTCGCATGCGAACATTGACATTCATGTCAAGTTTCATATTTAAAATGGAACATTAACCTAACATTAGTTTGTAAGAAAAATTGAATCCAACTATCATAAAATTAAAGTATAAGGAAGATGTGGATTGTTCAGTCTACATTGAGGCAAGCAAAATCAACGTAAGATAGCAAAACCTACAAACTTGATTCCAGAAACAAAGAGGGGAAATACTATATATCTGAAAATAGAAGACTGAGTGTAATGATTTTTACTTATCCATGTGGAAATGAAAGTTCCTTTCTGACAGTCAATTAAATGTTTATTAAAAGCAATCATTTAAACCACTGAAATCAACTACTTTGTCATATGTCAGGCAACCATTTCACCGCCATATACCTGATCCTATACTATGGATTTTTCTAGGTACAAGCACATCGAATTGTCAGCTATTAGACATCAAGGCTTAAACTGACCAATGAAAACCTCACTAGGGCACGTGGTTGAGGTCAACACTGGCAATGTTATAGTGTCATGTAGACCATAAAAAGTACCATGATACATTCACTGGAAGATGTATGTAGCAGCCAGGTACACTGGCAATTTCTGCTACAGACTTGCAAATTTGTTACAGGAAATTATTAAGGATAAACAGGTACTAGAAAAATACCTTAAGTCCTGATACAAATAGCAAGTGAACTATAATGGAAACTACCTATTCAACCAGTTAAAGACCAAAACAGAAAGAGATCTTGCCGAGTATCTACAGACCCTGATTCATGGGGCAGCTTATGACCCTGGAGTACTTCAGCACATGCGACAGCATTAAGTATTTTGTGAAGGTTTGCTAGAAATTATGTAATTATGTTATTTCTGTTCGTATGAAAACATACTTTTTGTCTTGAAAGAGTTCTTCAATAGCATGAGCAAGCTGTGTGGTATAAGATTTCAAGGTCATATGGAGATGAAGGGCATCTTGGACCAGGATATCATCTCAACTTTATACTCACTGTGTTAAAGAATATAATACCAATTAATCTTAACTACTCAAACTTTGTAAGTCAAGTCAGATGATGACAAACACCAATCAAGAATTTGATTACTCTGGTGATATTTTTTTTTTCCTTTCATTAGAGAAGCAACATGGAAACCCTTGAGTTCCTAAAGTAAATCCTTGATGGTTACAGCTCATTTTCCATTTTCAACTAAGTACACCTTCATCTTCTATTGTTCTAAAAGTACTTTCAAATTAAGGAATTTAAGTTATGCATGTATGGTTTTGGATGGTTCTTCAGCTGAAATCTAACCAAGTTGGGGAAAAGAAAAAAAGAAAAAAGGAACTTACATGTGCACTTGCTAAGTAATTTTCACAAAACAGAACATATGTTTAACCAAAAAGACTATTTCTTCATCACAAAATTAATTGTTCAATTTAGGTCTCAACTTTCAATGGAAAGAGATTGTAAGTGAACACTACACAGTGTAGCTTCTATAAACTTATGTCAGGGAATTGAAAAGGGCTCATTGGCCTTCCGGCAAGCACAGAGTAACAACCCAGGATGGGAAAAATCTTACAAATCGGATCACATTATATGCAACTGAAAATGGAACTGTATAAGTGTGGAAAGGATTCAGTCTTTCAAAATATACAGTAATTCAAAATGAAACAGCGTAACCTAACTTTGTAACAGAATGCCACACAACCAAGGCATTATACATTTTTATCCCAAACTTCTGAAGTTACACAAGGAGAACTGTAGCTAAGGTGCTAAAGTTCACAGTAATCTGTTCTAGGACAGATCCGAGGTTTAATCGTTAACAAGCCAATAAACAAATAAATATACAATTCCGTAATCTAATTGTAGAATCTAGATTTCATCAATACTCTCACATCCCCTTAAATCCAGAAAACAATCACAAAGAAACTATATACCTGGCAAGGTACTAAAACTACTTTTAGTATATCGAGTATCAAAAGAAGGTCAATAACACAAAGAACAAAAGCAAAGCAAGTAGTGCATACTTAAACATTTTATCCAGAGCCCTCACAAGGATATCTAAATGAGCAAACACCAAGTAATAAGAATGTACACAATCAGCCAAAGAAGTGAAAGCGTTTAACCTACTATGAATTCATACAGAATATTATTGCAATGATGGAATACAAAAGAAGATCAAACAAATTACAACAAACTGAATTCGACCCATGTCATAAAATTTCACCAAATATATACTGTAACAAACATACCCAACGAGAAACAAACGAATGCATACCACCAACAAAAAATAAACTTCAACACAATAAAATCAATCAACAATATAACGAAGCAGAAAAGAAAAGAATGTAGAACATAAAGAAAGTGTAGTAAGTAAAATGTTTAATACCGGAAATTCTCTTAGAGAAGTCGTCCCACCAATCCAAGGGCTCAGGTTGAGACAACAAAGAAGAAGCAGCAGAAGCGAAGACATTTTGGTCAACTTTCTTCTCAGCTTTCTTTCTCTTCTTTAATCCTCTAATGGGTCCCATAAAAGATGAATAAAATCAAAGAATTCTTCAGTAATAAGATGATGAAGACGGTTTGGTTTGTGGCAAGTGTGTTGGTGTTATATGTTACAGTGGTTTCGTATTGGGTTTGAAAGCATGCAGTAATAAAAGAAAAGAAAGAAACAAGTTGAAGAAGAGAGAGAGTTAGAAAGATGGATTGTTGAAGAAAAGAGAGAAGGGTTTACAGAGAATAACGTGAGATGATTTTTGTTAAAGCCAAAGACAATGTAGCAAAGCAAAGCAAAGCAAGGCCAGAGAAGTGAGAACAAACAAATTCATAAATCGTTTTGTAGTCTTATAGGCATGCTGTTCCTTCTTTTTTTTCTTCATTTATTTTATTATTATATCCTTTGGTTAGATGCTATCAAAATCGCAGATTTCATATAAGTTATTTTATAATAGAGTTCTCGAATTAAAAAGTGTACAAAAAAGGTAACAAAAATATTTCAGGTTTTACTGAGTTGAAATTCCTAGAGGAAAGGCTGAGGCATGGTCAATCTACAGTAGTAACATTTGGTCAAGTTTTTGTAAATGGGAAAAGTATTTAATTGTTTTAAGAATTTAATTCAAGGCATAAAGTGGAACGCATACGTTTTTCTTTGTAAGCAAATAATAAAAGAATCTTATCTCTTTATCTTTTTTACCTTTCCTTCTAAACCTGCTGTTCATCAGACTTTTTTTTAGTTTTTTGCATTTTATGCTGAAATTCCTGCAATTACTTGCAGGATTCAGGAGTTTGATTAAGTGGGTACAAACTAAAAAGGGCAAATTATCTAAAATCATCCTGGTGTACTTGTTTTTCGGCTAGTGCTGGTCGTGGTCCTTGCATAATACCTCGTCGTGTTATTGAAATGGAAGACCTTACGCAATGAAAAGTTGCTCGGGAATAAGTTTTGCCCTTGCCAACTCCATGAATTTACCTTAAACGTCAATAGAACCAAGATAAAAGGAGCCAATTCTAAAACTATAAAACTGAGGTTCCTATAATAACCATGAAAGATACAACACTTTTGTCTGCTTAATCAATTTGAAAGAACGAAAATTTCAAATTTCTATCAACTGGTAATGGAGTTTGTAGGATCAGCAGTTTTGTTGGGGCAGGCTGAAGAAAGATGGCCTTTTTCTCCACACTCGTAGCATGTTCTTCTCCTGATCTTACCGCTAACAATAGCTGCGCCAGCATTATCAGTACCATTGCTAGTTGCCACATTACTTGCTGTGTTATCGGTAATATTACTAGTCACCACATTACTTGCTTTGTTATCAGTAATCTCACTAGTTGTCACATTACTTGTCGGCACAGAGCTGGATAGAGTGTTTACTCCTTTCTTAGGAGGAACAGCACAACTTATCTTGACAGGTCTTCCACAAACAATCTCCTGATCCAACTTCAGTGCCATTGACAAAGATAGACTGTCATCGAAATCCACGTGGGCATAGCCTCGGAATTCCCCTGTTTCTTTGTCCATCCCAAAACGTATGGATGATATTTTGCAATCCGAAAGAAATTTTCTTAGGTCATCCTCGGTTATATCCCATGATAAATTCCCAACATATGTCCTGTTATAGCCTTCCATTATTTTTGGGGCAAAATCAGGTGTTTTATTGGCTCTAGTGACTCTAGTCGTCTTGTAGGGTTGGATTTTCAGAAAGAGTCCATCCCTGAGACATTGGAAATTCCATAAACTTGATGAGAACTGGGAAAGAACAATGAATGTGCTAGTTGAAGAACACATAATTTACATGTCACTCACATCTCAGATCCATCAAGAGCCAAGGCTCGTTTGGCAGCACCTTCAGTCTGTAGAGGGAATAATTTAGAAAGATAAAAAGAGCCAAAAAATGAAAATTATCAAAGGAAAATTCCTAACTTTTGAAAACCTATTTTAATGATAGCAATTCCAAAGTTTTGATTAATTTCGAAATTGAACTTCATTGCCTTTTTGCAAAATTTCAGTATTTCTCCTTGAAGAATCAAACATGATTATTACCATCCACCCACTATCTGACATTTTGTCTCAAGGCATTAAAATGTCATAGTATTAACCACAAACTGAAGCAAGTTTAGGAGGAGATGTAGGTAGAATACGACAAGACTAACTTATGGCATAATACAGTAGCAGATCAGATACCATGCCAATGCTCTCCGAAGTATTATACACTGAAAGAGCAGTTATTTTATGTACTAGCAACAAATATGTCACAAAAAAAAAGATGAAAGCAGTTAAAAATTTAGCTCAAATTTAAGATTGCCTAAAATTTTCAAACAGTCACAAGCAAGCTTAATCAAAATGCAGACAGCAATACACAAAGAAACTTACCCTGAAACTAATAATGGCAATTCCTCTAAACTTCCCAGTATCAGGAAATGTCATGTAATCAATTTCTGTTATTGAGCCACAGCCTTCAAAGTAAGTTCTAATATCATGCTCACTTGCGTTATATGGAATCCCTCCAACGTAAACTTTTGTAGCAACATCATCGTTCACTTGACTGCATAGCAATACAATGAATCGAATTGAGTGCAAGAAACATTTTGCAATAATCAAAATATAACGAGGCCCCTTCTATTAACTAAAACATCCTCCTAAAGCCACTAGCCAAGTAGACTTATGCACAAAACTAAAAACATGATTAAAACAAACATAACCAGGACGCTCTTTCTCAATGTTAAGGGTACTAAAAGAGGAAAAAAAAAAAGACACAATAGCATGAGCAAGCTGTGTGGTATAAGATTTCAAGGTCATATGGAGATGAAGGGCATCTTGGACCAGGATATCATCTCAACTTTATACTCACTGTGTTAAAGAATATAATACCAATTAATCTTAACTACTCAAACTTTGTAAGTCAAGTCAGATGATGACAAACACCAATCAAGAATTTGATTACTCTGGTGATATTTTTTTTTTCCTTTCATTAGAGAAGCAACATGGAAACCCTTGAGTTCCTAAAGTAAATCCTTGATGGTTACAGCTCATTTTCCATTTTCAACTAAGTACACCTTCATCTTCTATTGTTCTAAAAGTACTTTCAAATTAAGGAATTTAAGTTATGCATGTATGGTTTTGGATGGTTCTTCAGCTGAAATCTAACCAAGTTGGGGAAAAGAAAAAAAGAAAAAAGGAACTTACATGTGCACTTGCTAAGTAATTTTCACAAAACAGAACATATGTTTAACCAAAAAGACTATTTCTTCATCACAAAATTAATTGTTCAATTTAGGTCTCAACTTTCAATGGAAAGAGATTGTAAGTGAACACTACACAGTGTAGCTTCTATAAACTTATGTCAGGGAATTGAAAAGGGCTCATTGGCCTTCCGGCAAGCACAGAGTAACAACCCAGGATGGGAAAAATCTTACAAATCGGATCACATTATATGCAACTGAAAATGGAACTGTATAAGTGTGGAAAGGATTCAGTCTTTCAAAATATACAGTAATTCAAAATGAAACAGCGTAACCTAACTTTGTAACAGAATGCCACACAACCAAGGCATTATACATTTTTATCCCAAACTTCTGAAGTTACACAAGGAGAACTGTAGCTAAGGTGCTAAAGTTCACAGTAATCTGTTCTAGGACAGATCCGAGGTTTAATCGTTAACAAGCCAATAAACAAATAAATATACAATTCCGTAATCTAATTGTAGAATCTAGATTTCATCAATACTCTCACATCCCCTTAAATCCAGAAAACAATCACAAAGAAACTATATACCTGGCAAGGTACTAAAACTACTTTTAGTATATCGAGTATCAAAAGAAGGTCAATAACACAAAGAACAAAAGCAAAGCAAGTAGTGCATACTTAAACATTTTATCCAGAGCCCTCACAAGGATATCTAAATGAGCAAACACCAAGTAATAAGAATGTACACAATCAGCCAAAGAAGTGAAAGCGTTTAACCTACTATGAATTCATACAGAATATTATTGCAATGATGGAATACAAAAGAAGATCAAACAAATTACAACAAACTGAATTCGACCCATGTCATAAAATTTCACCAAATATATACTGTAACAAACATACCCAACGAGAAACAAACGAATGCATACCACCAACAAAAAATAAACTTCAACACAATAAAATCAATCAACAATATAACGAAGCAGAAAAGAAAAGAATGTAGAACATAAAGAAAGTGTAGTAAGTAAAATGTTTAATACCGGAAATTCTCTTAGAGAAGTCGTCCCACCAATCCAAGGGCTCAGGTTGAGACAACAAAGAAGAAGCAGCAGAAGCGAAGACATTTTGGTCAACTTTCTTCTCAGCTTTCTTTCTCTTCTTTAATCCTCTAATGGGTCCCATAAAAGATGAATAAAATCAAAGAATTCTTCAGTAATAAGATGATGAAGACGGTTTGGTTTGTGGCAAGTGTGTTGGTGTTATATGTTACAGTGGTTTCGTATTGGGTTTGAAAGCATGCAGTAATAAAAGAAAAGAAAGAAACAAGTTGAAGAAGAGAGAGAGTTAGAAAGATGGATTGTTGAAGAAAAGAGAGAAGGGTTTACAGAGAATAACGTGAGATGATTTTTGTTAAAGCCAAAGACAATGTAGCAAAGCAAAGCAAAGCAAGGCCAGAGAAGTGAGAACAAACAAATTCATAAATCGTTTTGTAGTCTTATAGGCATGCTGTTCCTTCTTTTTTTTCTTCATTTATTTTATTATTATATCCTTTGGTTAGATGCTATCAAAATCGCAGATTTCATATAAGTTATTTTATAATAGAGTTCTCGAATTAAAAAGTGTACAAAAAAGGTAACAAAAATATTTCAGGTTTTACTGAGTTGAAATTCCTAGAGGAAAGGCTGAGGCATGGTCAATCTACAGTAGTAACATTTGGTCAAGTTTTTGTAAATGGGAAAAGTATTTAATTGTTTTAAGAATTTAATTCAAGGCATAAAGTGGAACGCATACGTTTTTCTTTGTAAGCAAATAATAAAAGAATCTTATCTCTTTATCTTTTTTACCTTTCCTTCTAAACCTGCTGTTCATCAGACTTTTTTTTAGTTTTTTGCATTTTATGCTGAAATTCCTGCAATTACTTGCAGGATTCAGGAGTTTGATTAAGTGGGTACAAACTAAAAAGGGCAAATTATCTAAAATCATCCTGGTGTACTTGTTTTTCGGCTAGTGCTGGTCGTGGTCCTTGCATAATACCTCGTCGTGTTATTGAAATGGAAGACCTTACGCAATGAAAAGTTGCTCGGGAATAAGTTTTGCCCTTGCCAACTCCATGAATTTACCTTAAACGTCAATAGAACCAAGATAAAAGGAGCCAATTCTAAAACTATAAAACTGAGGTTCCTATAATAACCATGAAAGATACAACACTTTTGTCTGCTTAATCAATTTGAAAGAACGAAAATTTCAAATTTCTATCAACTGGTAATGGAGTTTGTAGGATCAGCAGTTTTGTTGGGGCAGGCTGAAGAAAGATGGCCTTTTTCTCCACACTCGTAGCATGTCCTTCTCCTGATCTTACCGCTAACAATATCTGCGCCAGCATTATCAGTACCATTGCTAGTTGCCACATTACTTGCTGTGTTATCGGTAATATTACTAGTCACCACATTACTTGCTCTGTTATCAGTAATCTCACTAGTTGTCACATTACTTGTCGGCACAGAGCTGGATAGAGTGTTTACTCCTTTCTTAGGAGGAACAGCACAACTTATCTTGACAGGTCTTCCACAAACAATCTCCTGATCCAACTTCAGTGCCATTGACAAAGATAGACTGTCATCGAAATCCACGTGGGCATAGCCTCGGAATTCCCCTGTTTCTTTGTCCATCCCAAAACGTATGGATGATATTTTGCAATCCGAAAGAAATTTTCTTAGGTCATCCTCGGTTATATCCCATGATAAATTCCCAACATATGTCCTGTTATAGCCTTCCATTATTTTTGGGGCAAAATCAGGTGTTTTATTGGCTCTAGTGACTCTAGTCGTCTTGTAGGGTTGGATTTTCAGAAAGAGTCCATCCCTGAGACATTGGAAATTCCATAAACTTGATGAGAACTGGGAAAGAACAATGAATGTGCTAGTTGAAGAACACATAATTTACATGTCACTCACATCTCAGATCCATCAAGAGCCAAGGCTCGTTTGGCAGCACCTTCAGTCTGTAGAGGGAATAATTTAGAAAGATAAAAAGAGCCAAAAAATGAAAATTATCAAAGGAAAATTCCTAACTTTTGAAAACCTATTTTAATGATAGCAATTCCAAAGTTTTGATTAATTTCGAAATTGAACTTCATTGCCTTTTTGCAAAATTTCAGTATTTCTCCTTGAAGAATCAAACATGATTATTACCATCCACCCACTATCTGACATTTTGTCTCAAGGCATTAAAATGTCATAGTATTAACCACAAACTGAAGCAAGTTTAGGAGGAGATGTAGGTAGAATACGACAAGACTAACTTATGGCATAATACAGTAGCAGATCAGATACCATGCCAATGCTCTCCGAAGTATTATACACTGAAAGAGCAGTTATTTTATGTACTAGCAACAAATATGTCACAAAAAAAAAGATGAAAGCAGTTAAAAATTTAGCTCAAATTTAAGATTGCCTAAAATTTTCAAACAGTCACAAGCAAGCTTAATCAAAATGCAGACAGCAATACACAAAGAAACTTACCCTGAAACTAATAATGGCAATTCCTCTAAACTTCCCAGTATCAGGAAATGTCATGTAATCAATTTCTGTTATTGAGCCACAGCCTTCAAAGTAAGTTCTAATATCATGCTCACTTGCGTTATATGGAATCCCTCCAACGTAAACTTTTGTAGCAACATCATCGTTCACTTGACTGCATAGCAATACAATGAATCGAATTGAGTGCAAGAAACATTTTGCAATAATCAAAATATAACGAGGCCCCTTCTATTAACTAAAACATCCTCCTAAAGCCACTAGCCAAGTAGACTTATGCACAAAACTAAAAACATGATTAAAACAAACATAACCAGGACGCTCTTTCTCAATGTTAAGGGTACTAAAAGAGGAAAAAAAAAAACCCAACTTATTGCTTACATAGCTCATCCTTTTGCACATTATAAATGCCAAAACTTTTGACTGTAATATTAAGAATGACACCACTATATCCACAATCTATATACAGACCAAGATGCCTTCACCAAAATTCTTCTTACACCATAGGGTGGATGCAGCATATATTATTTTATTTTCTTTCTTCCATTTTCCTAGGTATTAAACTAAGACCAATTCCAAAATCTTAATAGTACACAAAGGCTTCTCGAGACGACTGAATTATATAAACATCTCAGTTAAAACTAAGAAAATTCTATTCTGCTGTAATGAACAAAATAGAAAAGAAATGTAGCTCCAATTACCAATCAAATCATTTGTGAAAACTGTAAAAACACTTCAATTTAAGCATAAATCTCAACTGGGTAAACTCTACATTACCTATCATTCTCCTTGTTTGGCTCTTCATTTCCGACAAGTCCATCACTACCCTTGTTCTCTTCCTCATTCTTCACCTTCGCTTTTGCCTTCTTCTGTTTTTTTTTCTTCTTATTCTTCTTTAACTTCTTTGCTTGCTTCACAACACCACTCTCTTCTTCACCATCATCAAGTTTCTTTCTCTCTTCATCATTCGTCTTCCTCTTCTTCTTCTTCTTGTTATCACCACTATCATCTTTGTTCTCTTCTTCAAATTTATTGCTCTCTTCATCAACTCTCTTGTCATTTTCATTTTTGCCACACCCATTTTCGCTATTTACACTCTCTGTACCTGGCAAATAATCGAGGGTTTTTCTGCGTTTCTTTTCTCTTTTTGACAATCTGGGTTTCTGGGTAACGGAGTCCAGAAGCTGTTTCAGTGAGTGCGGCTTCGAATTCGGATCCAGATCGTGTCCCGTCGATTCATTATTGCTACCATTGGAATCAGGTATTGCGGTTGATGATGTTAGATTTTCTGCTATTGCAGCCCTCAGCTTTTGCTTAAGCTTCTTGTTTGACAATACCATCTCTCTTGTGGCTTCTCTTTAGCAAGACTTTGGCAAACAAATTTCAAGCCAGACATAAACCCTAATCATGGGGTTTTTCTGAGGAAAATAATTACAAATTACTTAAATTTTTGGAAGGACAAAAATACCCGTAATCCAACACAATATTTTGCACTGTAATTTGCTTTATAGATACGCATTACGCTCTACCTACTAGTGCTTTTCTCACGCGCGTTTATATCGTCGAAGCCTGGCCATCAAGCAAAAAATATTCATAAAATGATAAAAATAAAGCATAATAATTTGTTTATTAAATAACGTTGATAAATATAAATTATATACGTCAATTTTTTTAACCAGAATATATTAGATGAGATATTAAAGTTTTAATAAAAAGTGCATACGACCGCGTTAGAATGAGAGTGGGATTGATACATGAGCCAGTCGTAACATTACCCCCTTTAAAGCTTTTTCGTCTGTTTCAGTCTTTTAAATTTCTCTCATGGATGACAATGGTAATACTGTATGCACAACGAACTGTACAGAGATTTTTTATACAAAGCGACGTGATGACAATATTCTCTTAAGCCTTTTTTTTTTTTTTTTTTTTTTGTTTTTTATTGGTAAAATTATTTCTACACTGACATATCATGTGACGTATCACATCAGTTTAATAAACTCCCTTATACACGAGAGTTATATAAATCGTTTCACTCATTTTTTTTTTTTTTTTTTTTTTTTTTATGGTGATTGAGGTTGTGTGAACTAGTTTCTACGGACATCAACTAATCTTTTAAGGCTCTAAAGTGAACGATCAGATAAATCTTCTTAATGACTATCTCTATTAGTGTTTGGAGATATTCAAACTCAAAAACCTATATTAAACTCAAAATGATTAAACTTTTCATCTCCCTACCACCACCACCTACCATTACTTTGCTCAGAAATTAGTCTACCGAAAGAGTTATATACTTGGTCAATCTATTCTTTTCCATTATCTTTTCACCAAATCCTTGCGGCTAATTAATTAAAAATGTTTCAGGGTTGCTTTCTTTTCATATCTTCCTGGCGTTTCAAAGAAAATTAAATTATATCTTCTTGGTTTCATGGGTAGAATTTCCTAAAAAATGACCTTGTTTTTATTGGGAGCATTTCGTGATGACTAAGCTTTATCTATATCTATATAATATTAAGGTCTTTATCAATAGGCCTAAAAATCTTCCTCATTTATTATATAATAGGAAAATCTGTAGCTTTACCAATTCATTCAGAGTTCTGAATCAAACATGGGAAAGAAAGAGAAAAGGAAAAATAAGAATCGAACTTCTCATCCAAGCTGTAGCACAAGCACAACTCCTGAGGATACAACCAAGTAAGAACTATTGCTTCCTTTACAAAGCTAATCTATAGTTACGAGTCTTTTGAATTACTTAAACTGATATATTTTTTTTGTGAACAGTTTGATACCTGAAGGTGAAACGCCTGATCTAATCAGCTGTTTGCCGGATGAAATTCTTTGCTTCATCACTTCCTTGCTCCATTTCAAATCTGCTGTTAAAACCAGTTTACTTTCGTCCCGATGGAAAGACCTCTGGAAGATGGGTTTGGTAGGAGAAGGAACAATAGCTGATGCTATTGTTGCTGTTTCTAAATTTCTGAATGATTTTGATAGGCTACATCGAAAAAGGAATATCCGAGGCCTTCAATTAAGCTTTGACAAAACCAATATCCTCTTAGCTTCTGTTTCACCTGATAATAATAAGCTTCATCTTGATTTCTCAACTGGCAAACAAGAATTTCCTAGGCAATTTGGATGGCAGTTGGACCTGAATGGCCTAAACGCTACTCGCCAACCATCTCCCTCTAATTTCTTTGTCAAAACTCTTTATCTGCTCTCAGTAAATCACCACACCAGTGAGGCAGTGTCGTATCTAGTTTCAGATTTTCCTTTTCTTGAAAGTTTAACCATTGCAAAATGCAAAGGCTTACGATCTTTATGCATTGATGCTAGTTCAAGGCTTCGAAACTTGGCTGTCTTTGATTGTCCACAATTAAAGTCTTTTTACATTTGTGAAGCTTCCAAGCTTAAATCTTTTCGGTATCGAGGACTACTCCCTTGGTTTCATTTCGATCTTAATTTGGACTTGGTAGATGCCATGCTTGATTTCAGAAAAGGTCCTGGATATAGCTTCAAGAGTGGTTTCTTTAACTCAATCCTACATGGCATAGAATGTGTTGAAACTCTTACAATATGTAGATGGACCTTTGAGGTATGGCCACTCGAACATTTATCTCTTTTCAATGTTGATTTTGAACACTAAAAAAGTTTATTGTTTCAGAAATTGATTCATCCATTAATCGTATCAACAACGGGTTACCTTGATTTCTATATCTTTGAATTTGAAGACTTGAAAGAGTTATGGTGGATTGATTACGAGGAGGACGAAAGATTCAACAGTGATGTCTTGATCTCTGTCCTGAAACTTTGTCCTGTTTTACAGACACTCTCTGTAACTGTAAGATTTTGTTGCATCTTTGTGTTTAACAATCTAAAAGAGAGATCATTCTTGGTTTCTCCATGCCCCCTCCCTTCCTGACCAAAATGTCCACACACATTGACGTTTTCATTTGTATGAATCTGCAGATTGATTCTAAAAGTGATAATGTGCCAAGCACAGCTAAAATCTCAACTAAAGCCATTGGACATGAAAAACTGGAACATCTCAAGGCTGTTAAATTGGAGGGGTTCACTAATCAAGAACACGAGATCTCACTGGCAAAGAAGTTGAAAGAGGAATTCTCTGTGGAGCCAAAAGTTGTAGCAAAATCACAGGGTGAGAACTGCTGGCGAAGTTTAACCAAAGTATTCGACTTGCAGGAAAATAGTTTTTCTTACGAGTTTGCGGAAAAAAGGAGTCACATTAATTGGTTATGCCCAATGCATCCCCATATGAGTTTATAGCTATGAAACTTGATGAATCTCAGTTTTGTAAGTTCGATATAAAAAATTTGTCACAAAACTCAAATAATCTCAGTTTCGTAATTTATGCTTGAACAGAAGGGTTTGATTTATGAAAAGTTAAAAAGAGTTTGTTTATGTGGGCAAGTCAATTGGGAATTTTTGCTCACTAAACTTCTTGTTTACAGATTTTCTCTGTTTGTTTGTTCTTAATATTCATAAAAATCCATAGAGTAGTATGGAAAAGTTAGAACAATTTTTTTTCGTGGGAAAGTTAATTGGAATTTTATTCATATATAATATAATCCAGGTCTTTATAACAAAGTCAAAGGCCAAATATTATTATATGGTGAATAAATTACAACTATAACTTTGACATGGTTGTGTTTGGTTGGGGAGAATGTCACCTAACTTCAATAACGTCATCTTATATTACTAACATTACTAGTAAAAGTAATGTTATCTTACATTACTAATATTATCATGTTTGGCTATGAAATAATATAAGATTCTGATAATTTTTCAAAACCAATAGTGATTACTATTGATTATATAGGTGGTTATCTGAATACCATCATTTTCTTAAGTATTCTAAGATTACTCAGTAATCTTAATTTTGTTATAATTTTACCCCTAATTAGACATTATTACCCTTGTTCTTAAAACAATTTAACCAAAACACCTTAGCCACTCACTACCACTGCCACCGACTGGCCGTCAACAGTCGACAATAGTCGAATGCCGATTTGACTGTTAATGATGGCCAAATCAATGCACGATTCACCAGATTTGGTCGGTCGTACGCCGTTCTAGAGATTGTTGGTTGTCGGCCGGTCGTACACCATTCTGGAGATTGTCAATCGTCGGCCGGTGGCCGATAGTCCTCATGAGTGATTGAGATGTTTTTGTTAATTTTTAAACTTTTATTGTGGAGATGTTTTAGCTAAATTCTCAAATGTATGGATTAAAAAAAACAATCTAAATAATAATATTAAAAAGAAGAGCAATTCAATAATCTATATAACATAGCGACCAATTTATTCAAATCTAATCAAACATATTTAATATAACATTCCTAGTGATCTTTAAGGCAATCTATCTTCGCATTAATATAACATTCCTAATAATACAATATTTTATGAATAGTTTCACCTATACCTTTGTAGACGAAGAAAAATAAGTACAAATAATTAAACTTTGTGGAAGGACAAAAATACCCCTAATTCAATCTCCTTCAACCCTATAGGTTTTCCTTCGCTTTTTCTTCATTTTCTAATTCTTTTTCAACACACTATTTTGTATTTGGAATTTGTTTTATCCATACGCGCTTACTACAAGTGTCTCTCTCACGCGTGTTTATATAGTCTAAACCTTGTTAATGGTTAATAAAAATGATAAATTTGAAGCATATTGATTTTAATTCAGTCAAGTTAATATATATATGAATTATATATATATTTCAATGAGATTAATTGAATATTATCACTAAATTACTCAATTTTTCACATTCAAACAATTTTTAAGTAGTTTTTTTTCATTGATTAGTTCCTTTATTTTCTTTTTTATAATTAGAAATTTAAATCAGTCATCTTGTATGAAAATTAAGCAAATATTCCATCATTTAAATTAGTTGGCATCAAACAAAAATTTTACCAATAATAATTATCTTAATTTTTTTTTTTTGGGTCTAAAAAGCAAATAATAAAATACTTGCTAAACGTGAGATAAATAACAACTGTTTTTCACAGACAGCGATATGAGATATTAACGTTTCAATGAAATGTGCATACCACCGCGTTTGAAGGAGAGTGGGATTCATACATGAACCAGCTGTTAAATTACCCTGAAGTCCACTTTCAGAAACTTCATCTCAGTTACTCTAATGTATTACAAGAAACTCTTCTTGCCAATGGATTCCTTTATGGTTTTATATTTTACCTCTTGATTTTTGTGGTGGGTATCAGTTGTTCTTGATCTTCCAGTAAGGTTTTGATTTGAACTCGATCTCACAATTTGTGCTATTTCCAACTTCTTGTTGCAGGTATAAATTTTTCGTTTTGGATTCTGTGGTAAATCATATCGGAGCTAAAGGGCTCAGTGTTCTACAAGTTAAGGTGGATTGAAAGTTGAGTTGAAAATCACAAGAAGATAGATTTTTAAGGTAATAGCTACTGTTCTCTGTGTTCCTCTTTTTATGTTCTTATTCAAGTTTCCCATTTGCAGTTTTGCACTTTGGGTTGCGGCAGCCATTAGGACTTGTGCTAAATTTGTTATACTCTTGACCTGGCTTCAAGCTCTCTCTCATCCTTATACCTTCATTATAACCTTTTGGGCATAATCATATTTGCAATAATTAAAAGTGTTTTAAAACCCAGTCCGGCCGATTGAATTGATTCAACTAGGACTAGAGGCCTTCACCGGGTCGGGTTACAAATTTTTCTATTCATCGAAAACCATAGAAATTAGGACATCAATTCGTGAACAGTTGATTGTTGGAATGTTAGGGCTTTTGAAGAGGAATGGTTGGTGAGTCCAATGGTGGTGACGACAGTGATTTCTGGTGAGTGAACTGGAAATCGCAAAACTATGTCACCGGAAAAAGCCTGCTGTTGTCAATTGGGGAGGTGAACGGGGCAGAGGTGAGATGGGTTTTGGTCAGGAGGCCGAGGGGAGTGTTTTCATCGTCGGATTAGACCATATTTGCTGACCCCGACAATGGTGTTTGGGGTGTTTTTGCAAGATTTCAAACTTATGGGGACTTACAATAATTTTTGTTAGATTTTAAATCTTTAGACACCGAGGGTCAAACCGGTTAAACTAGTCAACCCGGACCCAACCACTTTGCCAGGTTTCACCCTGGCTGGGTTTTAAAACACTTGCATCTTATTCAAAAGAGAAATCATTAGTCTTCGGGTGCATCTTTCTTGGTCAATGATATTTCTAAGACATACACGGGCTTAAAAAAAAAAAAAACTCTAGCTTGGTTGTTTATTATCTGCCGCCCAGAAGACATGGTTTGTTCTAGGTTTAACACACATAAAACAAAGTTCATGCTTATGAATTTATTTTTTGACTTAATTAAGTGTTTTTCACCAAAAACACATATACCTTATTGAGGAAGTTCAAGATGTAACCTAGGAGTATGGACCAAAAGATTTAGGGTGTGTTTGTTTTAGTATTTTAGATAGTATTTTTGAAAAAGTAAGAGTTGGGTAATTATTACGAGATAGGATTTAAAAAATAACAAAAACACCCCTTAAGTTTGTTAATTTACTAAACACCCCCGTAATAAAACATTAAAAATTAACAAAAACACCCCCACTCACCCATTTAATTACCTGTAGCCGACCACCACCGCCGGAGGGTAGCCAGAGTCATCGTATCGGTGCACGATCGGTTGACTTTGGCATGACTTTGGCCGGTCATCCACTGATATGACTTTTTCTAGCTAGATCCACTGTGGATCTGGCTGGAAAATGTCAGATCTACGGCTAGATATGACCGTGTTTGGATGTCAACGATGACCATATCTTGGCTATCATTGACGACTAGCTACGGCCAAAGATCTGGTCGTCAACGGCTAGATCTTTCATCTTGGGCGGTGGATCTAGCCTTTTTCAACCAGATCTACAGTGGATCTGGTCAGAAAATACTAGATCGATGCATACCGACCAGATCTAGTTGGTAGTACGTCATTATATCATATTCTAGCCACCTTCTAGTGGTGGTGGCCGGAATCTGGTAAATGTGGGTAGATGGGGGTGTTTTTATCAATTTCTAAACTTTTTTTGAGGTATTTAGTTAAATTAACAAACTTAAGGAGATTAAAAAAATTGAATAAAATATAATAGTATTTTCATAATAGAGAAACAAATATGTATTTTGAGAATAATAGAAATAGGGTAGGGCAAAAGACACCCTTATCTATTTTGTCTCTACGCTCAACTTATCCGATGTTTTTGCAAGAAGTATTCCTTTAATTCAGAGTCAACACAAAATGCAGTGAGAGTTAGAGGTGGAACAAATGGGTCGGGTTAGGCGGGTCAACCTTAACCCGACCCGCAATGAAGAGGGTTCAACGGTTGAACCCAACCCGCCAGCAACCCCCGGGCGTGCCGGGTTGCTATATGGCAACCCGGCGGGTTGCTTTTTTTTTGCAATAGCCAGCCCTTGCCAACTCGCCGGGTTGGCCAAAAAAAAATTAAAAAAATTAAAAAATTAATTATTTTTTTCAAGTTTCTCCCATTTTTTTAGTTCTTTTAATTAAACGATTATGATTGAACTCTTACAAATAATTTTACACAATAATATTAAACTATACTTCTAAATCATAAATATTAAAATGTATAAAATTTCGTAATATTTGACACATTGTTATTATTATTTTTTATGGTACGTAAAATATAAAAAAATTAAATACTAAAGTCTTATTCTCAAATTTTCATGTCTTGTATAAAATATAATTCATTCTTATGCTAAAATTTCATCAATTGAATGAATAATTGTCAATGAGGGAGGTCCTAGTGAACCACCCCCAAATTAGTTGTTTTGTAAAATGTAATTTGTAAATTAGTTGTCAATTATTGCATTCTTTTTTCTTTACTAAGTTTTTCTCCCATTGGGTTTTTCTTGGTGAGGTTTTTAACGAAGCAATAGTTGTTGTAATTTCTTATTTTATTTTTTGATAAATGAATAAGTCTAATTTTTCTTATATTACAATTTTATTGTATTAAAATTGAATTAATATTTGAAATGTTAANATTTCGGCCACCTTCTAGCAATGGTGGCCAGAATCTTGTAAATGTGGGTAAATGGGGGTGTTTTTGTTAAAATTTAAACTTTTTTGAGGTGTTATAAATTAATAAACTTAAAGAGTGTAAAAGTAATTGAATAAAATATAATAGTATTTTTATAATAGAGAAACAATCGCATATTTTAGAAATGATAGGAATATGATTGGACAAAAATATGGAGAAAAACGCACCTTATCTATTTTGTCTCTACGCTCAACTTATACGATGTTTTTGCAAGAAGTATTCCTTTAATTGAGAGTCAACACAAAATGCAGTGAGACAGACCTCTAATTTGGATGATATCGAAAAGGAAACAGGTGGAAGTTTCTTTCAACATTGGACAAGATTCATAACAAGGCACATTACTCTTTTAAAAAAAAAATTATTTAAATAAAGATTCAGAGGAATACAGCTTACCCTGAAGGTACGTATAGCCCTATTATGAACATGGTGAAAACATTGTCAGTTTGTCTTTAAACATTCTCTGTTACTATCTGCAGATGAAGATGACAAGCAATATAAAACATTTTCTGAAAATGACAAAACAATTACATATGCTGGGATGGTTGAGTTCTGATAAAATGTGCAAGAGCCGGCTTCTATACATATTTGTATATAGGGTATATTACAGTAAATCCCACCCCGGTAATTTTTAAAACTAACTATATCACCCTTTTATTTGTTCCTTTTTAAAATATTCTCATACATAGCCACCTTAATAATTTTAATTCCTACAATGTTAAGGGTTTGTTTAAAGGACATTTTAGCCATGAAAAATAACAAGGGCAAAAATAATTGGAACGCTGTAGACTATCAAGTCTATCAAGTCTACCATAGTCTTGTGCTATGTATTGGTAATATAGTATTTATTGTTTTATTAAGGGTATAATTAGTAAGTTATCAGATTTTATGGTTGGATTTGTGATTATTAAGTTGGCTATATACATTCCTTTTTTGCTTGACTTTGAAAATTGAGGGTGATAATGTTAGTTTTTGAAATCAATGGAGTGAAGTGTAAATCAAGATTTCACCTCATTAATTTAATAAATACCACAATTTTCAAAATCAGAAATTAGAGCCAACAATGGAAGGGATGATGATGTCAGTTTTGAAACCAAGGGGATAACAGTCGATAAGTCAAATTTGGGGGTAACAATGTAAGTTCACCTTTTGTATATAAAAGTTGAGTAAACGACTTTTTCCCACCCAAAGTTTGCCTTAGAACCATTTTCCCACCCAAAAAGTTTCAAAATACCACTTTTTCACCCAAAGTTAATATTCCGTTACTACCCAAAGCTGATTCTGGAGGTACAAATTCTCTCCATCACCACCATTTGAACATCTGATTTCCTCTCTAAAAAACTCCTTTCACTCCGACACCTTATTTCTTGCTGATTGTCGACCACCATAAAAGTTAGAGTTTGTTGTTCTTTGCTGATTTCTGACTAATTCTGATAGCGAAAATTCAATCAGTCACCACCATTCAATTCACCGACCTCTACTCTACAAAACTCTTCTTACCCTAACTCCTGGTAACTCGCCGAACACCAACTAAGAAAGTGAAATGTATTTTGGGTAGTAACGGAGTATAAACTTTGGATGGGAAAGTGGTGTTTTGAAACATTTTGCGTGGGAAGGTGTCATTAAGGAAAACCTTGGGTGGGAAAAAGTCGTTTACTCTATAAAAGTTTCTTCAACAGAGACACACAAACTTTTGTATACATACATTAAGTCAATTGCAGTAGCAGACATATCAACTAACAATTCTTTACTCAATGTGTCCCCATTGGATATTTGGAGTAAAAATAAAGAAATTAATCTTAAGTTGAGATTCTTAGAACAAACGAATTCATTGCTTCCTTAACTTGGCCCTAAGGGAAATAAAAATAATACATAGTTGGTCTTACTTGACAATGTCAAACAATATTTCTTGCCTTCTTGCCTCAATAAGTGACCAAAAAATAGACTAATCCATTCAAAACTTCCTGCCATATCTGGATTTTGACCTCTGCAATATATAAACAACATCCCTGAAGATCAAAGAGAGTAAGAAGTTTCTTTTTTATTTTTTTTTTTATTTTTTGTTTATATTGAGATTGTTCTGAATATTGAGAAGGCTAACAAGATATTGGTGCAGGAATCCAGTTATGGAAGGTGATATGATCAGCAGGATGCCTGATGAAATCCTTTTTCATATAATTTCTTTACTCCCTTTTGAGTCTGCAATTCAAACCATTTTTCTGTCAAACCGGTGGAGGCTTCTGTGGAATTTGGCTTTGGTTCAACATGGAACCAAAGAAGAGGTTGCCAGTGCAGTTTCAGGATTTCTTACAAATTTCAATGAGCAGAATCCTACAAAGAATACCAGGAAGCTTCGGTTTCATTTTGGGAAAGATGGTATCCTCTCAGCTATTATTGCGCCGAATAATAAACTTCATTTAGATTTCTCTACTGAGAGACAGGATCTGGTAACGCAGTTTGGTTTCGAATTGGAGTTGAATTGTGAAAACCTTGTCCACCAGCCAACTACCCCTTCCTTCTTTGTCAAAACTCTTAATCTAATCTCAGTTAACCATCTTTCTAATGAGGCGGTTTCGTCTACAGTTTCGAGTTTTCAGTTTCTTGAGAATTTGAAGATCACTGACTGCAATGGGCTGACATCTTTATGCATAAACTCCAATACAAAGCTTCAGCATTTGACCGTCTTTGATTGCCCACAACTGACATACATCCATATCAAGTCTCCAAAACTCAAAACTTTCCGATATAGAGGACTACTTCCTTCAGTTTGGCCTGAATTTCATTATAACCTGGCAGATGCCATGTTTGATTCCAGGCAAGGCCCTGGATTTAGTAGCTTCAAGAGATGTGATTTTGACCCAGTTTTATTAACAATAAAGAATGCCAAACTTCTGACGCTATGCAAATGGACTTTTGAGGTACGTCCAAGAATATAAACTCTATCTGATGACATTAATTTTGAAATTTTGTCCTGCAACTTATGCAAAATTTCCCTGCAGGCACTGATATGTCCTTGCTTGTCCTCTTTAAGGGCGGAATTCCAGTTCTATAATCTAAAAGAGTTGTGGTGGATTGACGATTCGAACGAAGGATACAACAGTGACTCCTTAATCTCTTTCCTCAAGCTCTGTCCTTCTCTAGAGCGACTCTTCATAACTGTAAGTGATCTCTCAGTCCTCATTTCAACTAAAACTTGCAGCAGAAAGTTAAATGTACAGGCACTTTTAAATGTGCAGATTGATCCTGAAAGCTACTGCGCGACGAGCGCAGCCACATGCTCAATAAAAGTTGGTATGCACACAAAATTGAGATATCTCAAAGTGGTCAAATTTGAGGGATTCACAAATCAGGAGGAGGAGATCACATTAGCTGAGCGTTTACAAGAGATAGTTACTGTGGATCCCGTGATCCTGGCAACATCTGATGGGAACAGGTGGTGGAGTTTGGTAAATGATGCTGAAAACAAGTCAAAGCTACAGAAAATGGGCAAATTGGAAACATTGGCTTCCCGATCAAGCGAAACAAAATGTTCATATAAGTTAGTCGAAGAAGTAAAACACAAGAAAGAGTTACTTCTTGAGCATACTCATATGGGTCTGTGATGGAAAATTTCCATAAAATCCTGAGAGTCCATGAAAGGCTTTCTATTATTCATTGTAAATAAGGCAAGCTGTATGTAACTGCCACAATATTACTGGAAGTAAGAGCTTTGTTGCCCATAAGAAAACGATCTAAGAATTAAAATTTGCAGCTATGTTGAGGCCCTCCAAGAAGCTTATTCTTTCTTATGAAAGTCAACCAGGGGAAACCTCTTTGCAGGCATTGAATTTAATTTACGTCCTATACTGAAAATGATTTTTTTTTTTTAATTACTGTAAAAGTATACTTCTTCAAACAGAGCATGAATATTATATTATGATGATATATCAATTGAAAAATAAGCAGGTGGACTATCAATATTTCAAGAAAATCAAATATCAAACCAGCAAGTAAGGTCCTGAAAATGATGGTGTTTTTAACATATTAATAAATTATTGAAGTCTAATCACGGAAGGGAATTTTTCATCTGTTCAATCTTCAAAGAGGAAAAAGAAAAAAAAATACTTCTCTCTTCTCTGGTTCCAGTTGCTAGCTCGCTTGTTTAGACTGATTGCTTAGAGTTGAATAGTCGATGGATTTCTATATATATATATTTTGTATTACACTGGGGTTCATCTGAGTGCCTGAAGTTAACTTCAGTTATAACTAGAATTGGGATTCAAGAAATACTCTCGTATTATAAATACTTAAATTAAATAGCTATCAGCTTTTCTGCAAGTCCGTTTTTCATTAGATAAGTAGGCAAAATTCCGGAAATTGGAACCCGCAAACATGTTGATAAGATGAATCCTCTCGGATTAGTCTTTCCTTGATCTTAGCTGATTGTATACTGTATTATCTTAACTTTCCAGTATTTTCTTTTATAGGATAATCTCAATTGCATATTTTTGTTATAGGACTTTCCTATGGTAAATACACTTTTATAATGAAACAGATTGCCTCAATATTCATTGAGGATTTCAGTCACTTTACACGTTTTTGAACCTCTTTATGGTATCAGAGCTTTCTTCTATTTTTTTTTTTTTTTTTCTCTTCTCTCCTCTCGATCCTTTTCATGGCTGCTTCGTCCTCATCATCTTCGCTTCCGCTAAACACGATGGTGCATATGCTCACCTCAAACTGACCTCCACCAATTATTTGCTCTGGCGAATCAGTTCTTACCTCTGTTGACCAGCCAAGGTCTCTTTGGATATCTGGATGGTAGTGTTCAGGCTCCTTCTCCAAAGATTACTGATCTGACGGCACTACGCAGGAAAATCCAGCCTACACTTCTTGGCTGAATACAGATCAGACTCTCCTAAGTCTTCTATATTCTTCTCTCACGGAGGAGTCTATGGGTGAAGTACTTGTTTGAGTCATGCACATGAGGCCTGGACCATCTTGAAGCCTCATTCTCTCACAAATCCAAGACTCGAGAACTCTAACTCAAGGACGAGCTTCAACTCATGCAGCGAGGCTCCAAATCCGTGGCAGAATTTTCTCGCCTCTTCAAAGGCATCTGTGATCAACTAACGGCTATTGTCGCCCCATTGACGACTGGATAAATCCACTGGTTCTTGAGAGCCTTGGGACCAGACTACAAAATTTCTCTACACAATGCTCTCTCAGCTTCCGTTACCTTCTTTTGCAGATATTGTTCCAAAAGCTTTGAGCATGAGATTTTTGAACGCTCAGTCTCCCAACAATCTGCCACCTTGACATTCTATGCTTAGCAGAATTCCTCCTCCAGACCGAGACACACCAAGAAAGGGAAGCCGAAACCTCCCTCTACTTCTGCCTCCAAGTCGTTCACCTCCTCTCCTCTCCTCGTTTTACTGTCAACTCTGTGACAAGGAGGACACTTGGCTAAACGCTGCTGACCTTTCTTAATCTCAAGAAAAAGCAGTCTGCCAATCTTGCTGAAGCCTTCGCTGCATGTTCGATTCTGGACTCAAATGACTCTGCCTGGTATCCGGACTCTGGTGCAACGTCTCACATGACACATGATGCTGAGGGTGTGGATGTTCCTGCCGTCTACTCTGGTAATGAAAGGGTGATGGTTGGTAATGGTCAGTCTCTACCTATTTCTCACATTGGTTCCGTCTCTACTCTTATTCCTAAAAGCTCACTCCTTTTATCCAATGTTTTAGTTGTTCCTGGCATCAAGAAAAATCTTATTTCCATCAGTCAACTTACAAAAGATAATAATTGTTGTGTAACTTTTTTTTCTTTTGGTTTTACCATACAGGATCCGGTCACAAGAGTAGTGCGGGGGGTCGGCAAATGTGAGAATGGCCTGTACGTGCTCGATCAAAATCATCATGCCTTTGCTTCAGTTGTTTCTTCCAATAAGCCGCGTGCCTCTGTCCACTTGTGGCATGCACGTCTAGGCCACCCAAGTTTTCGTACTGTTGACTCTCTTTCTAGGTCTGGTATTATTTCCTGTAATAATAAATTGTTGGGTTTAGATTCCAGTTTATGTGTTGGTTGTAACCTTGGCAAAAGCCATCGTTTACCCTTTTCACTTACTAATAAACGTTGTCTTTTACCCTTTGATCGCTTACATTGTGATTTATGGTGTCCTTCACCTACTTGCTCCACTACTAGTTTTCGATATTATGCTGTGTTAATTGATGATTGTACCCGTTTTACTTGGTTTTTTCCATTAAAACACAAATCTGATTTTTTTGATACATTTGTCAATTTTCAACGTTATATTGAGACTCAATTTTCTTCCAAAATTAAGTCTTTTCAATGTGATGGTGGACTGAATTTACAAATAATAAATTTCGTTCACACCTCACATCTTGCGGTATTGTGTTGCACATTGCTTGCCCATATACACCGAGTCAAAATGGGATTGTTGAACGTAAACACCAACATGTTACTGAAACGGGTCTCACCATTATGTTTCATGCTCGTGTTCCGTTGCCTCTTTTGGTTGAGGCTTTCTCAACGGCTGTTTATCTCATCAACCGACTCCCCTCGCAAACTCTTGATGGCAAAACTCCCTACGAGCTCCTGTTTGGTAAACAACCTGACTACTCTATGCTTCGCACTTTTGGATGTTTATGCTTTCCTTATTTGCGAGATTATGCTCCTAACAAATTATCTCCCAGATCATCTCCTTGTGTCTTTTTAGGTTATAGCCCCCTTCACAAGGGTTTTCGCTGTTTTGACCGCAAGACACAACGTTTACATGTCTCTCGACATGTCCAATTTTATGAAACTATTTTTCCTTATGCGGGTGCTGATACACAACAACTTCCCAACTCAACACCTTATATTACTTTCTCTGATTTTTTGGAGTCTAGTAATAATGTGTCTCCGGCTTCATCAGATTTGTTGTTATCTTCACCTCTGTTAGATTCTGTTTGTTTACCATGCAGTGATGGTCTTGGTGAGTCTTTCTCTTGCACGTCTCCTGAAGTGTCTCCTGTCCCTTCTCCAAGTCCGCCCACATAGTCTGTTTCCATACCGACGACCACTACCAACACCCACTCAATGGTTACTAGAGGGAAAGCTGGTATATTTAAACCTAAAGCTTATCATGCATTAGAGATCTCACATTCCTCTAAGTTTTTTTAGGCTTTGCTTGCTCTCCAAGAGCCTCGGGGTTTCAAGTCTGCTGCCAAACACCCTGAATGGCTCTCGGCTATGGATGATGAAATACAAGCTTTGAAGAAAAATGATACTTGGGCTCTTGTACCTCGCCCTCGTACTCACAATGTGGTTGGTTGTCGTTGGATCTTTAAGACCAAACTTCATGTTGATGGTTCTATTGAACGTCATAAGGCTCGCCTTGTGGCCAAGGGCTACTCTCAGATTCATGGACTTGATTTTGAAGATACNTCCATTAAAACACAAATATGATTTTTTTGATACATTTGTCACTTTTCAACGTTATATTGAGACTCAATTTTCTTCCAAAATTAAGTCTTTTCAATTTGATGGTGGTACTGAATTTACAAATAATAAATTTCATTCACACCTCACATCTTGCGGTATTGCGTTGCGCATTGCTTGCCCATATACACCAAGTCAAAATGGGATTGCTGAACGTAAACACCGACATGTTACTGAAACGGGTCTCACCATTATGTTTCATGCTCGTGTTCCGTTGCCTTTTTGGGTTGAGGCTTTCTCAACTGCTGTTTATCTCATCAACCGACTCCCCTCGCAAACTCTTGATGGCAAAACTTCCTATGAGCTCCTATTTGGTAAACAACCTGACTACTCTATGCTTCGCAAATTTGGATGTTTATGCTTTCCTTATTTGCAAGATTATGCTCCTAACAAATTATCTCCCAAATCATCTCCTTGTGTCTTTTTAGGTTATAGTCCCCTTCACAAGGGTTTTCGCTGTTTTTATCACAAGACACAATGTTTACATGTCTCTCGCCATGTCCAATTTTATGAAACTATTTTTCCTTATGCGGGTGCTGATACACAACAACTTCCCAACTCCACACCTTATATTACTTTCTCTGATTTTTTGGAGTCCAGTAATAATGTGTCTCTGGCTTCCCCAGATTTGTTGTTATCTTCACCTCTATTAGATTCTGTTTGTTTACATGCAGTGATGGTCTTGGTGAGTCTTTCTCTCGCACGTCTCCTGAAGTGTCTCCTGTCCCTTCTCCAAGTCCGCCCACACCGCCTGTTTCCATACCGACGACCTCTACCAACACTCACTCAATGGTTACTAGAGGGAAAGCTGGTATATTTAAACCTAAAGCTTATCATGCATTAGAGATCTCACATTCCTCTTAGTTTTTTCAGGCTTTGCTTGCTCTCTAAGAGCCTCGGGGTTTCAAGTCTGCTGCCAAACACCCTGAATGGCTCTCAGCTATGGATGATGAAATACAAGCTTTGCAGAAGAATGATACTTGGGCTCTTGTACCTCGCCCTCATAATCACAATGTGGTTGGTTGTCGTTGGATCTTTAAGACCAAACTTCATGCTGATGGTTCTATTGAATGTCATAAGGCTCGCTTTGTGGCCAAGGGCTACTCTCATATTCATTGACTTGATTTTGAAGATACGTTCAGTCCTGTGGTGCGACATGCTACTGTTTGGATTATTCTATCCATTGTAGTCACTTCTGGATGGCCCTTACATCAATTAGATGTTAAAAATGCCTTTCTCCATGGTCATCTTTCTGAAGAAGAATACATGGATCAACCACCTGGCTACACCGATCCACAATTTCCTTACCATGTGTGCCTTTGAAGTGTGC